GGGTACGAGTCACGTGTGGCTCATGGCTGCCATCCTGGATGGCACAGCTTAGAGTCTTCAGCCTAAGTGCTGGCTCTGGTCCCCCGGAGGTATAACTTCAGCAAAGTCGCCTGGTGGCAGGGCGACGCTTCGACACAGCAAGGCCCCCGAGGGAGGAGGTGATAGGATTTAGATTCCGGCTCATAGTGTAAGTTTCAATGTAAGAAAAATTGTCCTGGACTTTGCAAAACAGAAATGAAGGGCTGTATCTTTTTTGGAGACTAGATCAAAGCAAGTGTCAATCCAGAATTGAGTGCTGAATTGGGGAACAAAAGATGATATCAGATGCCACAGATAACTTAAAAATACTAGCATCCCGTGGGTTTCACGTGCACTAATCTGTCGACAGAAAGTGAGTATCAAGCTATACCCCTAAACCCCGAGGTTAAATTTGGTCGCTTATTCAAATTTTTGCTTGTTGGATTCTCTGCCTGCTGTCCGAAGAGAAGTCAAGGGAAGCACGGAGGTGACCCGAGTGCCAGTTTGAAGTCACCACATGTGCCCTTCAGCCTCTCCAGCTGGACTGGGCTCCTGTGTCCACACAAGGTGTTCTGGGGGCTTCAGGGGTCCCGCCCACCCCTGCTTATCACAGGAGGCCTGCACTGGGCTAAATTAAGCCTAGCCGGACCTATTTGTGAGCAGAGAAGCTCCTGCCAAGTCAGAGATTCGTCCCGCTGAGGAATGTGCTAGGGAGGGGAGACTGGCTGAGATCATGGGTATTTATGTTGTCTCCACTGGCCAGCTCACTGGGGCCGGGTCAACAGAGCCTCTGGGACTTAACCAAGAGTTTAGGGGTGACAGACAGGGTCTTAATCAGGAGATCAGTGCGAACACCAAGGCAGTGTGTGTACTGAGACCTCTAAAATCAAAGTCTAAAAACAACAACAAACCCTAGACACCTTATTTTTTTCTCATGTATTTTTTAATAGATTTTATTTTTCAGAGCAGTTTTAGGTTCACAGCAAAATTGAGTAAAAGGTACAGAGAGCTCCCATGTCTCCCCCAACCCTGCACAGCCTCCCCCACCATCAAAATCCAGAGATACCTCATGAACTAAACCTCATTTTCATGTATTTTTTTCCTTAGACCCCTACATTTAGTGTCGACCTGAATAGCTGTTCTCCTTCCTCTGACTCATGCATCTCGCTGCCTTTGGGGAAATTAACATTTATAGAAACATTACCCTTTCCACTTGTGTTCTTTTCACCTCGTTTTTACAGTATCTCTGAAAGGTAATGAGATTAGCACCGGAGGGAATGAACTCTTGGGTGATTTACCTCTAGAATACAGAGGAGCTGTGCAGAACTGTGAATGATGCGAAAAATGGTTGACTCTGCACTTTCCTATGATTTAATCTAACAGGATACGAGAAAGCTAGTGTGTGGGCCCAGGCCTGGTCACTTTTCGGCCCTACCCTGTCTGCATTGCGCATCCTGTTGCCCTAAGTACCAGGCTTTTCATTTTCCCTGTGTAGTGCTGTAGCTCAGTCTATATCCCTCTTGTCTAAAAGCTGAGAACTGGGAGCTGGGAAGAGGGGGCCTCTAAGGCCTGACAACTCATGGTGGGTCTCGGGGTAGACATCCTGGAGGCTGCAGTGGCAATCACAGGACAGCCCTGGGTTGGTTGCGTGTCTGCTGCTGTTGATGTCTCTCACTGGTTTGCATCCCCATGCGGCTCTGAGGCTGGGTCTCTTCTGTTCACTACACTCTACTGTGCTCTTAGGCCGTAGCTGAGGATGTGTCTTCTGCTCTGTCCAGTACCTGCTAGAGTGCCTTCCCCATCCAAGGTAGATGCTCAGTAAGTGTTCGATGAAAAAACAAGTGAATGAACAAATGCTACTGTTGCCCAGGTCTCAGCTACCCTGTCCTCTGCCTGCTGACTATGTTTTTTTTCCTTTAAGATTTATTTATTTATGCACACAAGTACTGGGGTACAGGCCAGAGGTACGGGTTGGGGGTGGGTGGGAGGATTCACCAGAGACAGTGGGAACAGAACAGGCAGACTGACCGAAACACACTGCTGAGGGGTGCAACAGGTGGGACAGGAGAGGCCTGCTGTGCCATGTGGGCAGCTCCCTGGCCGGCTGGGATTGAACTTGTGTTGCAGAGGCTTCAGAGAGCTCCATAGTACTGTGCTTAACCCCTTGAGCCACCAGGCAGGCCCCTGAGCATGTTTTTTATCTCTGCCCCTGTCCCTCTAGGTCTCTCTCCCTAGCACGCGCACACACACACACACACACACACACACACACACATATACACACACAAACACACACACGTGCGCGCAAGCTGGCTGATCCCTATAGACTCGGTGCTTATTCACATGTGATGTCTGTGCTAATCTACTCAAGGTCAAAGTCAAGGTCAACTGGGATGGGACGGGAAGGGTATTGTGTACAGCCCCCAACTAAGGACTGAAGTGGGTTGAGCTTGAAAGACTTACCTGGACCGGGGAGTTTTGCCAATTACCAGTGAATCGTTGTATTTGTATTGTATAAACTAAAACTTTTCCACTGTTCTTTATTCTCTCTCTGGGGGCAGAACACAAAAGCAGGCTCTGGCAGGAGAGTGCCTGTCTTTCTAGAGTCTTCTGGTTACTGAGGCCAAGGACGCTGCCCTGCTGTCCTTTCCTTGGCACTGAAGGCCACTTGTCACATGGTGGGATGATCTGTGTCCCTAATTTGGAGCTTAGCTGCACTAAAAGAAGACAGTGAACCTGGGTCTGTGGGACGGCAGAAGATGGCACCTCCACCCTAGAATCTAAGGGCTCCTCCATCATCAAAAAACCCATTTGAGCATCTGACATCAACATAGACTAGGAGCGATGCTGGTGGCTTGATCATCTTTCTGGGCAAGTGGGAGAGGTCCCCATGCAAGGTACTTGGCTGGATAAAAACATAAAGTTTGGGGGGGGGAGTGACTATTTGAAGGTAGTTCTGACAGTCAAATATTTAGACCTACTAGGCCCTATGTTTGCTCCAAAACTGAATGAGCAGAAAGAAACTTCATCCACCAAAGAACAGACTTGGACACCACTGAAATGTCTCCAAGGCCTGTGCAGGACCAGCTGTGTCTAGCACATTCAATTTGCCCAACTAAAATTGCCCATTTCTCTCTAGAAAAATCTGGTCTGCAATCTATTTCTGCCTCTCTTCTCTCCTCCCCATGTCCCAGACTCTGACTATTCTTAATCCCTTGAGTTTAAGAGGTGCTCAGAGGCAGGTATATTTCCTGTGTCCCTCAGCGCAGGGAAACACTCAGCACTGCTGTTAACATAGATAAGTCTGGTGACTGAAAGGAGCGGTAGTAGGGAGCCAAATTTTTGTTCTTTGTGACCTCAGTTTAGGGGATTACAGACACAGAGATGAAAAAATAAGAAAGGATTTGGACAGTTTCCTTTTTGTGATGAACATACCCATTTTAACTTTTCATCATGAAAATTTTCAAATGTTGACAAAAATAAAGAGGAAAACACCTCCCATGTTTCTGCCTCAAGGGCTGGGAACCATGACCCACCACCCAGCTGTGGCAATTGCCACCACGCTGCTCACACCCCTGCTCCAAATTCTCAGGCATCCTGAGCTGTGTTTGGAAGATAACCCTACCTACCTCTCGCAGGTAGGGCTCTGTTTTGAGATGTAACCACAATGCTATTGTTGTACCCCAAAACTTAAACATGATCCCTTACTGCCACCGAATCCTTGGTCTGTGCTCTCTTTCCCCTCTGTTCTAAGGTCTGGAGAGCTTAGTTGGCACCCCGAGTCTCAGCAGAGCACCCAGGGGGAATGTTGATCCTTTCAGGGGAGGGCGAGAGGAAGACAGTGAGGGGGGCCGGAGTCTTCCCTGCCTTTGGAACTCTGGGGTCCAGACTTGTCCCGGGGCCATGCTTTCTCCTTTTCTGTCTCAATTTTAGTAAACTTTTGTCTTCAATAGGCAAAAATATGCTGCTTAGAGAATAGTCAATTTAGAACAGAGAAAGTCTCTTGAAGGCTTCAGGTGAAAAGTTTTTTGCACAGTCACAGCATTGTCCTGAGTCCTTTTGCTCAGTCGACACTCTGTGGCCATTTCTGCCTTGTCCACTTGTCCTGTTTGGGGGCTCACTTCCTGGGTGTTTACTGTACATGCAGGGGTGAGGCCCGGTGAGGGCCTCAGCTCCGTCACAACTGTTAGGTCTTTGAATGGGCGACGTGCTCGGGACTTTTCATAGTCGGTCCTTTATCCTTCACTGCTACTCTTAGGGGGAATTTTAAACCCATTTTATAGATGAGGAAATTAGTTTTAAGAGGCTGTTAACTTACACATGTAAAAGGTCACCCAGATGCTAAGTGGTAGGAGGGCCTTTCTGCGTTTCTAGATTCATCTGTCCTGAAAACCACGTCCTAGCCTCACCTACCTGAATGACCAAGAAGCCAGCAACCAACACATCCAACATGCCACTGCCATGGTCTCTGCCCCACGAGTGTGTGATTGAAAAGGGTAGATGAGATGGAAATACAAAGCATGATGCTGTCAATTTGGAAGTATAAAAATAAAAGGATGAAAACGCAAAGACATGAGAAATGATGTTTAACAGGAGGAGATAAAGCTTCACAAGGGACGTGGCATTTAATGACACTATAAGGAGAATAGTGACATGGCGCTGAGACAGCACAGGCCATGTGTGCATGTGTGTGTGGGTGTGTGCACGTGTGTGTATGCACGAGCACATGGGGGAAATCCAGTTGGTGGGTGCAGTGTGATGAGAGGGAAAGCTGGATAAGGTAGGTTGAGGTCAAATTTCAAATAGACGCTGTAATCAGGCTCAGTTGGGTAAAATTTAATTACTGTGCAGTTAAAAACCATCAAGTTTTTTGAGTAAAGGGTGTGAGTCCATCAAAGCTGTGCTTCAGGGAAAGTTTAATCAGGCGGAGAGTCTCCAGGAGACCAGTTGTGAGACTGGTCTCATCTCTGTGAGGAGAAAGAAGCCCCTCAGAGAAGAGTGTCCAAGGCTGGAAAGGAGGGGCAGAATTGGAAAGAGATTTTGAAATCCCCATTGCTAATCTCCATTAGAGAAGTCTGAAGACAGTGTGCTGTGTTGCTCCAAAGCTCAGATATAATAATGATCTCCCTAAGTGTTGCACCCTGTTCTAGTTGCATTAGAGTACATGATATGTTATACTTTTATGATTTAGCTGAAACTATTATAACTTCCCAAGGCTCGTTGAAAATCTCCATAGCAATTTAATTGAGATATAATTCACGTGCTTAGCAACACATCCATTTAAAGTGTGCGATTCATGTCTACACCAGTGTTTCTAGCATAGTCATAGAGTTGTGCAGTCAAAAATTTCCAACTTTTCCTCTATCAAGTATCAGTTCCATTTTCTTATCTTAAAAATGAAGGCCCAGCAACAGATAGATGGTAAGATCTTTAAGCTGTGAATTCTTTGCCAAAGGAATTCAAGTATTTCCTTCATTTTCTTATCTTGGATTTGGTCCAATCAAGCCCACATAATTTACATCCTTCTTTTTTCCTCCCTTTAGATTTAAATATTTTTCCTGAAGGAACTGAGGTCTCTGGCTGACCCTAGTTAGCCTGGGGACAAAGAGGAAGTAAACAAGGATCTTGGGCAGCTGTGTGCCAGGCAGTGCTGCTGGGTGGTCCTTCTGTTGGGGGAAAAGGCTGTCCTAAAGCTGATTCCATTCAGGCTTTGTGGACTCCACCCCCACCCCAGGCCAAAGCCAAAGACACTGGGAACTCCAAATCCCATCCCCACCCAAGGGAAGGTGGCTGGGACCTGAGGGTGGGGTTAAGCAGCCAGGTTGGTATAAAGCCAGACACGTGGGCTTTGGAGGGGTCCCCCATTTTGGCTCTCCGCCAGCTCGCAGCGTCCGGCCAGCTCTGAGAGTGACTTTGGATTTCCAGGTCGGCGGATCGGGTAGGACACATTAAAGACTTTATTTCCCTATTTTCTCCCTGAGTTGTACATTTTCCTTATTTCCTTTTCCCTTGTAAATAAACCTTTTATGAACCTTTTGTGTGTGCCTGCAGTGGAGTATTCATAAGTCCCTTGTAAGCGCGCAGGTGAGGACCCACAGCCAGGCAACCCGTTCAATATCAGGGCTGCCCTATAACACTTACCTACTTGATCTCACTTAGTCCTCGCAGTGTCCCTGTGGCATAGGCATCCCCATCTTCATTAAAAAATAAAACAACTGAGACAGTGATTAAATGCCCCGCCCAGATCACTTCCTGGGTAGGTCACAGAGGAGGGTTTGCACCTACTTCTTTCCAGCCTGAGACCCATTCCCTTGTGGGTTTCACAGTGCCACCCACATGCCCTCTGTGTTTACTTGCTTTGATTAAACAGACAAGGTTTTCTTATGCAAAAATGGTATAAAGGGACTTTCAGGGGGGTCTTCTATTCATCCGTTTATGACTCATCCAGGCACCCTGTGTTACCGCCTGAGATAAGAACCAGCAGCGTGGTATGAGGCTTCAGGTGTTACAGCCTCGTGTGTTTTCAGACATGAGATTTTTTTCCTACCTGTCAGGACTTTTCTGACTTCAAGCCAAACCTCATGAACCTCATCAAGAGTAACCTTTTGTAGTTATATATCACATGGTCTTCCATAGGAGATGTTTAATTACTCTTTACTCATTCTTTATCACTCACTCCATTTTGCAAGTGGAAAAACTTTAGCAGAGTCTTCCCCAAAGTACGCAGTGAATTACTTGGTGACAGAAATAATAATAAACTTAGGAGTCTTTTTTCCTGTACCTGAGCACAGAATTCTCTGAATCCACTGGAAATATTATGAGCTCAGGAAAAACAAACTGCAGATAATAATGTGGTGGTGGTGATGACAATATTATAATTACTATATCAATCTCCCAATATTCCTATTACTGTTCAGAATCTTTCCCTTGTATTAATTTATTGTGCACTACAACCTTCTAAAGCAGGTTTATGAATGAGGAAGGTACAAAATTATATCCCTATAAGGAAACTGCTGTCTTTATTTCTCATCTAATAGAATGTTTATCACCTCGTCTCTCTGAAGGGTCTGTAGCTCAGGGACCATATTCCTAGTTGTGAGCACAAAGCTGGGAACATACTAACTTGTTAAATTCTCTAATTCACAGATAGATCAGTCGAAGTAAATAAATAGCTTTCACAATGTCAGGCCATAGAATTGATGTTGGGATCTTGGGTTTTTCCTCATACAGAATTAAAATATGTTTTGCTGCCAGTTGCTAATCTTTTGATGTTAGCATTGTCAGGTGAAATACAAGATGCTCACTACAACTTGAACCCCAGATGAGCAAGAGACAATTGTTTGGTGTACATATGTACCAAATACTATAAGGGATACACTATACTAAGAATTATCTGTCATTTATCTGAATTGGGTATTCCATGTCTTAACTGACTAAATCTGGTACCCCAGTTTACTGTTGTAAATGCTACGTCACAGACTTCATCAGGGAAAACACTGATTCATCTTTGTACACTGAGCCCTAAAACTGAAATGATGCCAATCCCTCAACAAATATTTTTGGACATCGATAGGCTTCATGGTTTCCTCCTCCAGAAATCTGCTCCTTTTTTTTTTTAAACCTTTTCCTATTTTAGTTAATTGTCTGATTACCACCTACTTGCTAGAAAGCTCAGCGTCTTCTTATTCCTCCATCTGGTTTAATCTCAGTCTCTCATAAACCAGTCGGCCCTGTCGAATCTACCTCTGAAATGTTTCTTGAGTCCTTCCACCCTTTGGCCTCAGACATCCTCCTCCCTAATCCCGACTCATCCACCTCCACATGTGCCAGAAACTCCTTCTTCAATGCAGACCTGGCTGTGATGGGGTCTCACCCTGCACACCTTGATGGTCCTGTGCTCTGCCAGTCATGGCCCAGTCTTCCCAGTGGGCCTTTCACAGGCCAGAGACAATCTGTCTTCTCTGCTGAGCCCCTGCACCTCCCCACCACCAGTTTTAGGGCTTAGTGTACACAGGTGAATTGGTGTCTTCCCTGATGCAGTCTGTGACAGAGTTACACAGAAAGACCTTTATTAACTACAGAAGTAAAACAGCCTCTAGATAGAGCCCTGCAAAGTGACTGAAGGGACAGTGACTGTAGTACAAGGGGCGTCTGTGGGTGTCAGCACACAGGAAGCATTTTGCTCTGTGTAACCACCAATGCCAGTCTCTGAGCCTGCACCAGGCAGTTCATGTGCCCCGTCTCACCAAGTCTTTATTCATTCTTTACTCCATTTAGGTTGTTTTCATTTCCTTTTTCTGTTTGTCTTATTTCTGCTTCATCTCAAAAAAAAGTTGTTCCCTTCTTAAAGTCATCATCAGAGTCCTTTTTCACCCTAAGCAAACCCAATATGTAAAAGTCTGATTTTATGATAAAAGCAATGTGTTGTTTAAAACAGTGTTCATTGTGTGATTTCTTCAAATAATTAAATCTCTGGGGATATTTAAAATAGAATTCTAGATACAGCAATTTGATTTTCAGGAACACTGCTATGGCAGGAAGAAAAAAAAAGAATTTAATACAGACTCTGTCCTCAGTTCTTTGAAGAATAAGCAGGCTTGGGCAGTGCCCACCTTCCCAGGGCAGTGAACAGGTTGGGAGGATGGGCAGTAGCTCAGGGAAGTTCTGAGGCCCTACAGTTCGTTCATCTCTAATTGGGTGATGGACCCATCTGTATCCTGACGTCAAGCCCAGGAAGAGGGTTGAGGTAAAACTGAGTCGTGAAGTTATAACCCAAGTAGGACTCAAGTTCGGAGCTGGCTCCAGGGTACAGAGCCTGTGGTAGTTAATGACTTTTAATGCCTGTGGTGGTTAATGACTTTTAATGCCCGTCTACTTTTCAGAACATTGAGCTGAAGGTTGAAGTAGAGAGCCTGAAACGAGAACTCCAGGTCAAAAAACAGCATTTGGATAAAACATGGTGAGTTGCAATTTGATCGAACTGAGCTCTGGCCCTTCCAGAGTTTGACTCAGTAACCTGAGAGCAATAGATTTGGGATTGGATCCCTGAACCTTCTCTCTGGCACATGAATGCTGAGTGAGCCCAGTTCTGGAACTGAAACAATGAGCTTTCTTTTCCTTGGGCTCTCTGTCTCTTGCTAAGCCCGACAGATCTTGCCATAGATTGGTACATGCAAAAGACCTAAGATTATGAATTTCCTCTACGAATATCAGCAATGGCTGTCACAGAGTTTGGGTGAAATGGGAATTTTCACATATTGCTGGTGAAAGTTTGAATTATCGCAGCATCTTTGTATGTGGCACTGCTTAGCAAAGTGAAAAATAAGCATTTCCTTTGAGCAAATAATTTTTAGGGGAATCAAGTCCTCATAAATAGAAGCGCTAATCTGAAAGGATGAATGTTAAAAGGATATTTACAGCAGCCATTATTTGCAGTGTCAAAAAGCTAGAAACAATTGTCCAGTAATAGTAGGTTGAAGAAATTTTTATATAACTATTCTGTGGAATATTATGCAGTTCGTTATAAAGAATGACTTGGTTCTGTGCACTGTCCTAGTAGGAAATCCCTGAAAAACTAAAGAAGGGGAAAAGTACTGAGTGATGCTTATAGTTGGGGTGAAGACAAACAGTCCTCTCTGAATATATATGTTTTGATTGATTTTGCATGGAAAAAACCGCAGGGTTACACACCAAACTATTTAGCATCATTTATTTCAAAGGCATGAGATTAGAGTTCATGACAGGGTGACTTTTTTTTCTTTATATATTTTCATATTGTTTAATGGTTACTCTTATATATATATATATTAGAAATTAAAAATCATAGTTTAAAATAAATGTTATTAAAATTGTTTTTACAAATAATTTTCAGATTGTGTCCTGGGATCAGTGTACATCACTCTGATCTGGCATTCCTCTAGAATCTACAGTATTTCTTGATATTTAGCATGGCAGCCCAACCAGATCAGAACATTCAAAACTAAACTGAAATATACACAGTAGTCTGGTACCATTAAACACTAAAGTATTAGTGACATAATATATTTTAAGAAAACTTAAAAGGACAATTGAGTAATAAATTTTGAGAGTGTATAATGCTTTAAAATTGTTTCAGTGTCATTCAACTTTTATTAGGTGGCATAATCCTATATTTCAAAATGGGAAAACCAAGATCCAGAGCATGAAGTTATTCTCGACTAGCAGATTTCACATCTTCTGGTTTCAAATTCAAGGCTCTTTTGACCTTACAACAGCTGTAGCTTGTTAAACTACAAGCTAACTGAGTTACTCAGAAAATACACAATTTCCATTTTCAGGATATTGTAGTTAACTGTTGTCTATTGCATTGATCAAGAGGAGCAGAGAGTCAAAAGTGGATGATTCCTAAGGTCCGCCAACTTAGAAGTCTCGGGTTATTCCCTTGAGTTTTGACCTTTATACAATCAAGACCCTTCTACCCTCAAAACCGTGTAATGATAGGGGATCTTAAGATAAATATAGGCTCTGGGATGGTGGTAAGTAGGTTCCGTTATCAACCAAGGACGTGTGACTTTCAGAGAAACCCCATTTGGTCTCCAGGGATTTAGCCTCCTGCACTGGCTTGGGTAGAGCAGCTCTGATTTAGCCTGAGTCTACAGAGGCTCAATATTGTTCTCTGCCCTGAGAACAAGAAGATGGTGTATGGTTCTCAACAAATGGCTTCAAACAGGAATAAAACCAAACCGGAATTAAGATCATTCAGCACCTGATACTACCCCAAAATTTCTAATCCTCAGACATCCAAGAGCAGCTGTCTTTAGCTATAAATAAACTGATGACACCTTACCCGCTTCATGTTAGTGCCTGGGCTTTCATTCCTGGGGACATCAGAGAAGCAAAGAGCCCTGGACTTCCACGGATTAAATGTCCGCTGCCTTTGCACGAAACCATGGAAACTAGATGGAACTCTAAGTAGGTAGCCCACGTTCAGGAGTCTCTAGGTTATTGCAGAGGAGAGCATTTCTGCGGCTGTCTGCCTGGGTATTCTGTTCTAGCCATCTAAATGGAGGGAACACTTTAAGTTCAAATAGCAAGAAAGGTGGGGAGTTAGCAGAGCCCTGTGGGAGCAGTCTGGATGGACCCACCAGGGGAGAGATGATAGTGAACGTGGGTGCTGAGTCCTGCCCCCCCAAATGAAAGATTCTCCTCTTGAAGCTACAGCAGTGTGGAAGCCTCTGGGAAGTCACAGTCAGTCTGAATGACAAATATTACAAAATTACAGCGTCCCTAAGAGATTGCCAGGTTGGAAAGAACAGTTGCAGAAATGATTACAGAGGAAAAAACATTTTTCTTGTCATCAGTGAGACTCTGACTGAACAAAACATTGGATTGATAAGCTGTGGGGCTGGCTCTGACTGGCGGTGCTCTGTGGTTTTAGGGCTGATGTGGAGAATCTCAACAGCCACAATGAAGCTGAACTCCGGCGCCAGTTTGAAGAGAGACAGCAGGAGACGGAGCACGTTCACCAGCTCCTGGAGAATAAGATCCAGCTTCTGCAGGAGGTGAGCCGGTCAAGAGCTGGGGTCTTCTTTCCCTCTCTCCCTGCTGCCCTGTCTCCTGGCATTCACCTTTCCCTTCCTCCTTTGCTCCCCAAACTCCCCAAGTGCTCCAGGCCTGCTGACCTGGGATTGGCAGCTTTTCACTTTTTATTCCTTTTGCAGGAATCCAGGCTAGCAAAGAATGAAGCTGCGCGGATGGCAGCACTGGTGGAAGCCGAGAAAGAGTGTAACCTGGAACTTTCAGAGAAACTGAAGGGTGTCACCAAGGACAGGGAAGGTGGACTCGGAGACCAGATCAAGGCCGACCAATACACTGAGGCCCTGACACAGAGGGACAAGTAGGTGTCTTTGTGTATTTGTCACTTGTCTTTTGCCTGTTCTTGTGGCTGCAAGACCAGATAGCTCTTTTAAGGACTTTAGGAGCCCTGCAAGCAAAGGATTTTCTTTCTCAGGTTGAGTCTTCCACGGTAACCATTAACAGAACTCACTGTGGGCAGTTAGAGGCCCACGTAGGGTTACGTGGGAAAATGGTCAAATGGCTGCAAGCAGATGTGGATTCACAGGGAGGGAGCCTGCTGTGTGCCAGCCACTGGGCTGAGCCCTAAGGTTATAGAGATGAAAGGCTCAGTTCCTGTCATCAAAAAGCATGTTACATGATTTTAATAAGTTCTCTGATAGAAGCAACATGAGCGACCCTGGGAGCATACACAGATATCATCTATTCCAGACTAAAAGGTGAGGTGCCATGGAACACGTGCTGAGAGAGGTGAAGTGGGAGTTGAATTGTGAAGGAGGAATAGGAGTTGGATGATATGGTGTAGGAAGTGGTTGGGGCAGGGGATATTGTGTGCAGGAGGAGAAACTGTGGACGGGCATATTTCCAGACTTGCCAATAGTTACCCAAAGTCTAGCAGAGGGTCTAAGGAAGACGAGTGAGAGGTGAGCTTTATTGGGAATGGGGTGCACTTGTTCAGCTTTGTATGTTGTAAGAAGGAACCCAGATTTTCTCCTGAAGATAACTGGCAGTGGTCGAGGCTGCCCTGTTCACTGTTTGGGTTATTGCCCTGACCTCCTCACTATTCCCTTCACCTCTGTCCTGCCCCTCTCCAGCCCAGCCCAGTCTAACCATTCAGAGCATTTTTGAAGCAGGGAATTTAACAATATTAAATTGCAGATAAAGGGAGAAGCCTGAAAGAGGGACTGAAGGCATCAAGCTATAAATACTAGTTTATAGAACTGTATCCTCCAGCTTCCAACCCTTGACACACCCACCAAAGGAATTTAAGTGCCTGTAGAGCAGAGACTGTGTCTTATCCAACTTCACAGTACCAGTACCTAGTAGAGTGCCTGGTGGACACGCAGTGGTTATCTAAGAATTGTTTCTTGATTAACCCCCACTACCATACCAACAACAAAAACACAACTTCTGGGTGCTTATTCCAAAAGTTGCATGCCTATGACCTGTAGATTCCTGGGCTGGCTTCAGGAGCTCCATGAACCCAGTGAAAATATAAGCAAAATGCCATTTGTATATATTTGGGGGTGAGGGCTGAGGAAACATGGCTTTATAAAGAAAAGTACCAAGAAATTCAATTTACAGTGGATAAAACCTACTGTGCTAGACAGGCTGTCTTTGGAGGGAGCTGAGAAATAAAGGTCATAATGGTCATAATAGTAGCGTGAAAATATTGTTGTTCTTACTTTTTCTTTACTCCAGAAGAATCGAAGAACTGAGTCAAAATCTGGCTACCCAGGAGAAGCTTGTGGAACAGTTATCGCAGGAGAAGCAGCAGTTGTTACATCTGTTGGAGGAGCCAAGTGGCATGGAAGTGCAGGTGAGGTCTGGGTGGAATGTTTGTCTCCTGCTTCCCAACCCTGCTATTTTGTTTTGTATATATAAGTGTATGAGTGATCTAGTGCTGTGTAGCAAATTACTACAAGCTTAGTGATTTAAACAACTGACACTTATTATTCCACAGTTTCTGTGTGTCTGGAGTCCAGGTGTCACCTAGCAGGGTCTCTGCACAGGATTTCACAGGTCTGAAATCAAGGTTTCAGATGGGCTGTTTTCTCATCTGGAGGCTCACTTGGGGAAGGATCTTCTTCTAAACTCCCTCGAGTTGTTGGAAGCATTTATTTCTCTATAGCTATAGAAGTGTGGCAGCCAGCAGTGGGATAAGAGTGAGAGAAAGCCTTGTTGCTTCTCTCACATCTAACTTATCTTTCAAGGGGCCTGCCCGGTTTGGTCAGGGCTATCAGTATACATCCCTTTTGGTCAGCTTGAAGTCAGCCAATCAGGTACCTTAATGACATCGGTAACATCATGTCACTTTGCCACATAACATGACTCTGTATCAATATTCCACCACCTTTGCCATATTCTATTGATAGGAGCCCATCAGTGGTCCTGCCCACATTCAAGCAGTGAAGCAACGCAAAGATCTGGATACCTGGGTCCATCCCTGGGTCTATCTTAGAATTTTGCATACCACACCAAGCGATTCATCACTACATAGAACATCTAGATGCATTTTTAATATTGAAGAAGGAACTGTTCTTTTACTGCAGTGAAAATAATTGCATTGATCACTATCATTGCTTTTAGAAGTTACCTTAGGAGAATTCTCCTCCTGCAGTCCACTTTTAATTTACTAGAAAGATATTTTCTAAAGGAGCCCTACAACATCTCCTTTTCTAAGAAACCAGGTATCCTCGAAGATCTTAAGCCAATGATAAAACAAAATGTGGGCAGCTTAAGTTACTGGCTCACAAATACACAAGTTGGAGTCAGGATGACAAGAACAGTGACATGAGCCATTTCTAGCAGTGCTTCCACTGCTTGGCGTGGCACAAATGGCAAATAAGAATATTGGGAAGGTGGAGCAGTAAACAAATGGATTTCTCACTTGGGGGTGAGCAGCCAGGGTGCTTAGCACAGTTGAGTACAAGAAATCACTGTCTTGGCCACACTTGTAAACCTTATACACTGCGTTTGGAAAGCTCTGATTGGAAAACTCTGGTTAACAAACTCAGGAATTGAGGTGTAGGCATGTAATTTGACAGGTAGGAGTCAAAATTAAAGTTCATGACTTTAAAATTAAGTCAAAATTGGGGTCTCCCTGGTGGCACAGGTGGTTGAGCGCCGCACTGTGAAGCTGTCCGCAGCCTCTGCAGCGCGGGTTCAATACTGGCCGGTTCGATACTGGCCGGCCGGCGAGGGTCCCACATGGCGAGGCAGACCTCTTCTGTCTGGCCCTCTGCTCCCCTCAGCAGTGTATTTTGTCAGTCTGCCTGTTCTGTTCCCCGCTCTGTCTCTGGTGGATCCTCTCACCCTCCGCATCTCTGGCCTGTACCCCGGTTCTGGTATAAAAATAAATAAATAAATCTTTTTAAAAAATTAAGTCAAATTTAAAGTTTAGTAAGATACATATTGAAATATAAGGAGCATTTTTAAAGGGACTTTTGAAAAGATTCCAAAACAGTTTTTAATTAGAAAGACCTCGGCTGCAAAGTAGGGGGATGGGAATTTTATCTTGATTCTTGTTAACCCATGACTATGGACATATCACTTCTCAGCTTCTGTCTGTGTAAAATGAAAAAATGAGTCCAAATAATATCCAAAGTCTCCTATAATTCTGACCTTCTGTATGAGCCCAGCATCTTTGGGAAAAATGTATAGTCACTCCAAGGTAGGGCACTCTGAAAGATGTAATATTCATGTAAAATCTGAAATAAAATCACTCTCTTTGCTCTATTTTTTATTTACAGGCTTGTAAGTATATAAGGTGTACATGTGCTTGGTTTCATCAGTATCTTTGGTCTACACTAACATAGGTATATGTTATTCAATATTTGCAATGCAAATAAGGAGAATTGGTTTGGTATCAGTTTCAGAACACACTTGAAGAGCAGAAAGATTATAACTTCAAAGAGTCATCATAGTTTATGTTCTATTCTAAAGGTACGCTTAGAACGAGATAAGTACAGCATCCAGAGGATAATAACACTGTGAGGGCTGAAAAAATGCAGGAAGTCACGCAGATTATACCAAATGGTTATGATTCAGTGTTGCCTGGTTCTTGGAATGTCTTAGTATTACTATTCTCCAACTCATTATACATTTACAAACCTGATCATATAGTGCTGAAGTTAGTTCCTGAAGGTGATCGTGGCTGGAGGTGGCTGTCCCCTCCAGACCCACCTCCGTCTGTGAGCTCTGGGGCTGGCCTCTTAGCACCAGGTGGGCCTGTGAGGCACACAGGCTAACATCCAAGTCACAAAGCTCTTTCATAGGGGCCGCTGGTCATAGGTTTTTCCAGATGTGAGGGACAGAACATCTCCCACAGGTCATTTCCCACCTCCCCACTTTGAATCTGTGTCTTAAGCGGGGAAAGATGGGCCCCAAGTACTGCTCAGTGCTTAGAATTATCCTCTGTTGTCATTTCTGCAACAGCCTGGCATGGCCTGAGAATGCAGCTTTCTCCTGAGTGGGCAATAACCCTCTGAAACAGCCTTTTTCTCCAAAAGGAAACTGGTTTGGGGAAAGGAAATGGCTTGGGTCTCTGTGCTTCTATCTTTTATTCTATGACCTAGACAGAAAGAAATATTGAAGTGATTTCTTTAATATCTTGGAGCCATCTAGCTATACTCAAGTGATTCAAACTGATGATGGAAGGATGCCATCAAGTCCAAATTTAGAGGAAGTTTCCTGATCCTTCAATAGCTGGTTCTAGTTTGAAGCCTCATAGATTTTAACTGGAGAAGCCGGGTGGTATGAAAAATTGAGCTCAGATTCTAGAATTTGAATCCCAGTGTCGACACTTTTTAGATGAATGGCCTTTGAACAATTTACATAACCCTCCAAGTACAGTTTCTGCCTCTGTAAAATAGGGGTCAGATACCCAAAGTTCAGCTATTTAGGAAGTGCCTAGCTAACTGCTGATATCATCATCTGTGTTAGCAGCCTGAAAGAGAGTGAGGTTATACCAAAAATGAGTAGCAGCTAAATTAATGAATTAATTAATAAGCAAATGCGTAACAGCTACTCTAAATACTTATATATTCAAATTAAACATCAAAACAGCCCTGCAAGGTATATGCTGACATATAAGACAGAAAAAGAAAATATTTTGTAATAAAATGTTTATTTGAATATGCAATTTATTGAGCACAACTACAGTAAAGGACAGTCAGGAGCTTATATCCACGTGAGAAATCATGTGAACATCACAGCTTCACATGCAGTTTGATGCAGGCGGGTTGGGTTGCATTGGTAATTCAAAGACAGCAAGTGGCAATGTCAAGGTGAAAAACTCTTGGCAAAGTTCCAAGCCAAACAAAAAGCAATCCCCTCAATTTACATAGCAGTTTAATTCATGGAAAAGTCAGTATAATAACATTGTGTTCATTTATGTCCAGAATGACTTCTGGGTTCAGATGATTATATAAACAATTTCACAATGTCCATCAGCACCCCACGGAATATTCAAAAGTCATTCAGCCTTTAGCACATGCTTTGTCCTACCCATTGCAAGTGATGGGGTATCCCTTGAACCTCTCATTGTTGTGATGACAACCAAAACAAGAAACACCCCCATGAATTTGCAAAATGCACTTTAGGAGATGGTACTTGTACAGTAAGGACCACTGGTCTAAGGAGTTTTACCTTTTAAAGGCTTTATAGTCCAGTAAGAGATTGGCATGTGAACTAAGAACCAAAATACAGGGTGATAATGGGAATCTCTTACCAAATGCAGTACCTAGTGCATTGTAAGTACTTAATAATGATATTTGGAGGTCACCTTTGGCCTGAGGCCTTTTAAGGCTGAGTACAACAGGCAGAAAATATAAATGCATTCTAGGCAGGAGAAACAATATAGACAGTGGTATAGAACACATATAAGGAATTAGGAGTAATTGGTATTACCAAATGTATGATAATGATTGAAAAATGCCATAAGTGTCAAACTAATGACTTCATGTTGTAGGCAACAGAGAATTAAGACAAAAAGTTGAGCAAGCGAAATAAAAGCATATTATTTGCATTTCAGTAAGGCTATCCTGTGGTGGTTTAGACGGAGGATTGACTGAGCAAATCATTGATGTCACCTCCTAAGATAGCAAATCATGGCTTGATACGAGATTTCACTAGTTCATGTAGTCCATTCTGTGAATTAGATTGGGATGAAAATATAGAACCAATTATAAAGCACTTTGTCTCCCCCCTCTGTATGCAGTCATGTGTGACAACTCTGGCTATTAATGGCAGCTGCAGCCTTTGCTGTGGGTGTCATCCTTGTCTTACTAAAACAGGAGCATCTGAGCTCCACTGTGTTACACTTCAGCCTTTGCCTGCCATTCACCTCTCACCGAAAGACCCTCACCCTGATAATGTCAAAGGCTCAAGTTCATTTCCTAAGTTCTGGAAATGCCCTACAGAGACTAACGAATCCCCTCATCTCCAGCAAAGTCACCCCTGGGACCCCTGACAGGTTTAGGGGGTGAGGAGCTGGTGAGGTGAGGGTTCGCTTCCACACCCTCACGAGTGAGAGCCCGAGTTGGGCTTTAGAGATAGGAGGACTCGCAGCTCTCCCCCTTCTAGATTGAGTTGTCCGTGTTACAAAAACTCACCTGACTCCATTCCACATTGTTCCTCCTGTGATCCCAGTACGAAAGTGTGGACGCAGCCATAATCTTGGAGTGCAGAGATTCAGAGCCTCCGTTCCACAAATAAGACAGGCGGTTTTGGTGCAATTCTTTGATTTAATTGATTTTACTATCCCTCTAGGAACTTCCTGTCTGCCAGTATATGAGGCCCCATCCATTTCAGCTGGAGAGGGCTGTCCGATAGTTACGAGCCCCTATTATGTAATTAACTTCTAGAACAGCAACAACGGTTGCCCTGATGAGCATCATCACGTGGTTGCTTCCAATCCTGTCTCCATTCAGAGCCACAAGCCCTCGTGATCTGTGAGCTCAGGAGTCTTTGGAAGTGACTGTCAAGCTGCCACTCTTTGTATCTTTCTCCCTAGAAAGTCAGAAAATCCAGTGGAGTGACGTTCACAAGGCATTTTTCTCTTCTTTAACGAAGGTACCTGTAAAGTTGGAAGTGGCATCTGCAAGAACCTTTAAATGAAGCCAGACCTGGGAGTAAAGGCAGGGAGGTAGGGTGTACTTGCGAAGGTACACCCTTCTGGAGGAATTCTTGTTTTATTTTTTTCTCCCCATTTCCCCCAGCATAATGTAAGCAGTGTTTACTAATATTAGTATTTACTAACATGTCATGACGGTTGACCTAAAAAATGAGCTAGGACAACAGGATTAAGGAGAGGCTTAGAGTCAGCAAGCAGTCAGGACCCTCCCATTTACACGAAGCAGCAGACACTCAAGCCAGTGCATTTCTGCCTCTTTTGGAACCTAATGTAACTAGCACTGCATGCAGTGAGGCGTGCTTCCTAAAATAGCAAACATCCCAGCGTTACCATGGAGAGATCTGACGTGGAGGCTAAGGCAAGAATGCATTCTAAACGCCCCAGAGACTGAAAACCTTGCAGGGATTAGTAGCTCAGGCAGCTTCAGTTGACTTCATATAAGGCGATTCTTTTTTTTAGAGAAGCTTTTCATGTCCCCTTCTTAAGCCGATAAATATTGACTCTGAAGACCCATTTGCAAGTCCTCATTCAACATCACTGTCTGTCCCCCAGACATAACCTGTCTCAGAAATAGGTCTTATCAGTTAAGGCAATCATAGTTCTGATCCTTTAAAAGCAGCAAAGAAGGGGCTTCTTTACAACTTGATCAAGACTATCATTCAGTAAAATGCACAAGGTACTTTCAGGCGAAGGAAGGGGAACACACAAATGCATAAGGCTTAGTCTCTGTGTCCCAGACTCTCTCCCTGAAATTCCAGTCCATCCTGTTGCCGGGCTAGTCCTGTGCCATCACTGCTCCAGGTCACAACATTAAGTCCCAATTCTCTAGCCTTTGTCAAACATTAACCAAGTTTTAGTTACCGAGTTCCCTCCTAGGTGGGTGTCTACCTTCCAGTTGGGCCTCCATCCATGTTCTTTGAATGAGCAATGATAGAGATTAGATGCATGAAGAGGGGCCTGATCATTCACATATCCCACAGAACCTTTCTTCTCCCTTTACCTACAGGCTAGCACTGTGTTTAACACAACTTGCAAGGATTTTGATGATGCTGTTTTTTTTTTTTAAATCTAGAGTGCCTTTGTCTCCTCCATCCTAAGACCCATCTCAAGCCATTTTCACCTCCTTCAACTCTGTCAACCCGCACTAACCCATGAAGTCCACGTATTGCATTTAAGTCACTACCATGTGGGTCACCCGTCAGTTCCCATTGCAGCATGCACGCGTTCTCCCCTTCAGCTTAACTAGAAGCTCACTGAAGGCAGAGGAAAGAGATACCGAGTCTGCATAAGTTCTTGCTCATTGGTTGACTAACATATACTTTAAAATTCACTTAAAACCTATGGGCATTTAGTGACTCAAATTTGAAAGTGACTCAAATTTGTGTTTCTTTACTATCTTAAGATGGATTCGGCTGATAACCATAGGGCTGCAACCTGTCGTTAGAACTGGAAATCTGGTTTTAAAACAAGTGTTTCAAAATAATTGTGCTATTAACTAAGGCATAGCATAATTGCTCCTGACTCCTTAAAGATTTCCAACCAGCACTGGGAAATCGCGCATTTGCTCAAGGGGTTACTATAAAACCAATCTGCCTCAACTTTGATATTCTTGCATTTGCTCACCTGCTTTGAATCACTTTATTTATTTTGAATCACTCTGCCAGAATCACTTTATTCCTTTTGGCATAGTTTTTAGTAATTAGAATGTCTACATCCAATGTCATAACTAGGGCAGTGAAACCTAACACAACTGGTTTGGGACATGGGGATTTTCCACCTCACTGATTCTCTTGGAAACTCCCTCCCGGTCCAGAATTAGGTTTTAGAAGCACTGCCACACAAGTGTGGTGTCAGTTCTAAGAGATACTACCTAGTCCCCCAAAACTAGAGGTGAAAATAAAGGCATGTAATGCAAAAGATGACTGGCAGAGTAGTACTTAGGAATCTTGCTCTAAGTGAGGATACAGCTCTCCAAATTCATCAGTTTTGTAAATGCTCCTCATTGATGGGCTTTGCCATTTATCTACAGAATTTCCGATATTTTGCCTGAGAATTTTTTTGAATACAGTTAAGATCATCCTAACTCAGTGATTTTCAAAGTGTGGCTTCCAGAGTGCAGCAGATGCAAGCCTGGGGGATTTGCTAGGAACGCAAAATCCCAGCCCCCCCCCCCCCAGACTAATCTGAACCAGAAACTCGAGGAGGGAAGTCTCGGAAGCCTGCATTTTAGCAAACCCTCCAGGCACACCACAGTTTGAAAATTGCTCTTTTGCTTGTTTCCCTTATACCCCACTATCTCTTCCTCCCTCCGCCCTCCCTCTTTACCTGAGAACCTCCAGCTGATGATCAGTGCCTTGTCAGTTCATCTGCTTTATTTCCTCCTATTACTCAAATATGTGAAATTGTCCAATACTTGTCCTTACCTTTCTGGCTTACTCGCTGTCACAGAACCCCTTCAAGGCCCTCCATTCACTGTAATGGTGACATTTCATCTTTCCTTGTAGCCAAATAGTCCTCCATTGTGTGGCTAAGCCAGCTCCTTACCCAGCCCTGTGAGTGGGCACTTCTATGGCCTAGCTATTGTAAGTAATGCCACAACAAACAACGTGGAGTGTATAATTTTTTGAGTTGATGATTTTGTGTTCTTTGGAGACTTCAAAGTTGGATTACTGGATCATACTGTATTTTCTTTTTAGTTTTTAAGATCAGTCCAGGCCTCTTTCCAAAGTGGCTGTACCATCAACAAGGTATGAAGGTTCCTCTCTCCACATCCTCTCCCACACTTGTTGAGAATCTTTTTGATGTAAGCTGAAAATCATTGTTTAAGTTCACCTTATCTGTTTTGTAAACTAGAAACTGATGGGCAGACAACCGTGATTGAGTCATAGAACCTAGAGGAGACAAGTGCTTGTGAATGTATTGATCTTACTTGAGGGCAAACTGCTATTAATCAAAATTCATAATTTGCAGTCACTGTCCTGACTCTAAGACCATAGAGGGGTTTTGTCTTTTCCCTGTTTCATGCACTTGGAATGACATGGAAGCTGACATCTTTTGCTGAACTGCTTTTATATCCATCCATCCCATTCCATGTACAATTATTTCATTCATTTATTTGCTCTATAAAATTCTGTGGTTAAATATATGCCTTTATTTCTGTGGACAATTGGGTTTTTTACTGTTTGAAGTTGTTATGGCTCACACTGTCCTTCAAGATCTCTTTTTTTTGTAGCCATTACCCTTTTCCCCGCCTTCTTCTCTTACCCTCAGAAGCTTCACTTCATTATCCACTAATTTTTGTAAGTATTTTGCTTTGTTGAATTTTACTTTAACATGCTTTTGAGATTGATTGATGTTTGTGGGTATCACTTTATTCTTTTTTATTGCTGGTTAGTGTTGGATTGTATGCACCAAACACCAAAAGTGTGTTTATCTTACCTTCTTAATTTTTTTTCTAATCAGAAAATACATGTTTATTACAGAAAATGATTGTAGGGTCAGGAACGGACACTGGGCAGGTTTTCTGATCCAGCAGACCGGGTAAAGGAGGAGTCAGAGTCCTCAGTGGCTTTTGCAGGTTTTTTATTTAGATTTACCAGGTACACGGCAGGCAGAGGCGCTGGGGTCAAGTCTTCACTCTGGGCTCTCCGACCTTCTCTCACATTCTCTCTGCTCTTCTCATGGCTCTGCTTCTCTTTCGGCTTCTACTGGCGTCCCCGTGACGCCGCCCTTAAAAGCCCAGTCTCAGCCCAGGTGAATCCCATCTACCTCTGCCCACGCCCTACTCCAGGTGCCCGCCATCAGGCATGCATTCAGGACCGCAGGGTTCCCTCATCTATCCTGATGGCGGGAGGGCAGAAAAGCCTGACATTTTTTCCTTACCCTGCAATGATATAAATGAAAGAAGAAAATCAATGTCCATAATTTCCCTCTCCAGACGTAGTCACTGTTTAATGGCTTGTAGCTCTCCTTTGAACCTTTATTTCATTTTTCACATATATGTTATTTTAAACAGATTGGCACAATTCTTTAACTATAGACTATTTTGTAATATTGGAATATTTTCTAAATTCTTTAAAATTAAAAATATGAATATACACTCTGCTAAAAATTCAGATGATTCATGATATATAAAATAGTCCTGTTGACCCCCCCATTTTGCTCACTGCCCCTATGTAGCCAGTGTTAACTATGTACAAAATCTTGGATGCTGATAAGAACCACAAAATGCTGAATTTATCACCTACCTTTTTTTGTAAGTTTAATTTTTTTATATATAAAAGCTTTGTTATCTATACACCAGTGATCTTGTGGTCGGGATTAAATTATTTTATACATACCAAATGCTCACATTAGAACTAGTTCTAGTGCCATAGTTTCCTATTCACTTTGAGATGTGGTTTTAAAATATTTTCTCTGTGAGTGAGTAGGTGCTATTTTCAAATAGATGGTGAGTGGAAGCCTGGGAGAGCTCTCCCTTGCAGTATGTTGATCTTTACTTACAGCAAACATGTTCTTCAGTGGTGAATTGGCTTTTCTCCATTTGCACTGACACTTCCACACCAAACATTCATATATATTGTCATTAAAGTTTAGAGGCTGTCAGTCCCATGCAAAATCATCATAAGGAATAGTGACTAATACAAAGTATTTAGTTAGGTCCTCAAGAGCACTTTATTTCATTAATTACTTTGTTTCATCAGCGTTTTCCCCAATAGGAAAACAGGGCTTATGCATTGCAAAAGAGGAGGCCTTGATGAATGCCCTGATTGGCACTCGTAGGGACCTTTGAGTCCTTGCTGCTCTTGAGAAGAGTCCTTTGGTCCTTTAGATGGTACAGTGGCTAATGCCCTGGCAGGCAGGGAGTCTGTTCTTGGGTGAGTCTAGAAACTCCTTGCTTCTCTATAAATCACTGTAGATTCCAAAGATTATTATTTAATTTCTTCTGACTTTAAAGCTCATATACCTAGAAGCAGGCAAAAAGTGCAGCTGTTGTGAGTTTTATGCTGCACTCTATGGTACATTTTTTCTTTTAAGCCAGAACATGCATATGTAAGTGAAATCACCTCACCATATTTTTGTAACCTGTGAGGTCCAAAACTCTGAGGACTGTCCTTTTCTCTCATGATGAAGCTACTGAGGTTTTATTTTATGATTAAACAAGAGAAAAATGCAATTTTATGTGTGTGGAGTCCCATTAAGTTTTAAAATTACTTTAAGATAACCCTATATAGTATATCAAGGTAACATTGTTAGCTATTTAATGAGACACACCATTAAAGCACCTGCCCTAAATCAATCTCCTTTAATCTCCCTTAAGTAGTGTGGGGTCATTCAACACCTGAAACTTAACATAATCTTGTAACACAACGTTCCTTCAGTTTCGGGTCCTTGGGAGCTGCCGCTGGAGGCACTTACAGCCCGGGTTTATGAGTCTGGGCCCTGTCCCAGGGATGGGAGTCAGAAATGCAGGCTGCTGCTGCCCTTATTAGTGAAATTTAACATTATTATTGTAAATCATATGCCCATACCATTTTTTACAATAATATTGTTAAAAAAAAAAAAAAAAAAGCCCAGCTCCAGGAACTCCAGGTGATTCTGACTGCTCGACACCCAAAGGTGGGGCGACTTACCTGAAGTCAGCGCAGTCCCCTGCCCTGCGCTGCAGAGGGCGGCGCTCCCTGGCACTGGAGCTGGTGCCCACAGCAGTGGGGTCTTTGTTCTGGCATTTCTCCAGCTTTCCCACCCACCACGGGCCCGCCGTCTCCTGGCCCTGAAAGGCTCCGGTAGTGTCAATCCACCCTCAGGTGTCTGCATTCCTGAAAAAGCCCTTTCTTTCCACTATCTTCACCATCTTGGTTAACCAGTGCGTCGCGTGGTATGTGGAGTTTCTCCCGGGACCGCTTCTGTGCGCGCTCTTCCTTATCCAATAAAGGGAAAAAAAATCCAGGACGGGTGCAGCCACTCCTCGCCCCCAGCATCGCGGGGGAATCACCTGTTCTCGCTCCTGGGTGCTCCGAGTGGCCCGGGGGAGGTCCCCCAAAGCCGAGCCTGCGTCACCCTCGGGCTTATGCACCGTTCTTCGCCTCCCTCCCTCCCTCGGGCGCGCGGCTCGGGCTTTCGGATCCCGGGCCCGGCGGGGCCGGCGCGGAGGTGGGGCCGCGGCGGGAGGCGGCGCGCGCGGGGCTGGGGCGCGGCCGGCCGGGCGCTGAGGACGTGGCACAGCCCGCGGGGCGCGGGGGGCCGGCCCCGCCTTCTCCTCCCCACGCGGAACCGCGGGGCGCCCCGCAGGGCCGGCGGGAGGATCCGGGAGGCGACCTCCAGCCCGCGCGCGCGGCCCGGGGGAGGGGGGCAGCGCCTGTGCCGCGCGCAGCTGCGCCCCCGCCCGCGCCGGGGCCGGCCCCCCGCGCCGGGAGCGGCGCCCCGAGCCGGAGCGGGGCGCGGGCGCGCGGGGAGGGGCGCCCGGACTACAGCTCCCGTCGGGACGCGCGGGCGGCGCCATCTTGCAGCCCGGCCCTCCGCCCGCCCCTCCGCCCGCGGGCCGGGAGGACGTTGGGGACGCGGCGGGGCGGGCGCGGCCGCGGAGGCACCGGCGGGCCCCGATCTCGGCCGCGCCGCGGACACTCGGCATCCCCGGGGGCGCCTGTGCGGCCGCCGCGGCCCGGGCGGGGCTGAGCGCCGGGTACCCAGGCCCGCGCGCGCGCGCGGGGAGCTGCGCCCCTGCGCCCCGGGGCTCCCCGGGCTGTGCCATGCCCGCCCGAGGCCGCGGGCGCGGGAGACGCCGCCGGCCGAGCGCCCGCGCGTGAGCCCCGCCGCCCCGGAGCGCCCCGCGGGGAGGAGGGACCATGAAGGAGGTTTGCAGGATCTGCGCGCGCGAGCTGTGCGGGAACCAGCGGCGCTGGATCTTCCACACGGCGTCCAAGCTCAACCTCCAGGTGCTGCTCTCGCACGTCCTGGGCAGGGATGTCCCCCGCGATGGCAAAGCCGAGTTCGCCTGCAGCAAGTGCGCCTTCATGCTCGACCGCGTCTACCGCTTCGACACGGTCATCGCGCGCATCGAGGCCCTGTCCATCGAGCGCCTGCAGAAGCTGCTGCTGGAGAAGGAGCGCCTCAAGTTCTGCATCGCCAGCATGTATCGCAAGAACAACGAGGACCCGGGCGCCGAGCCCAGGCCCGGGAGCGGGACCGTGGACATCTCCGGCCTGCCCGACGTCAGGTACTCCGCGCTGCTGCAGGAGGACTTCGCCTACTCGGGGTTCGAGTGCTGGGTGGAAAATGAGGACCAGATTCAGGAGCCGCACAGCTGCCACGCTGCGGAGGGCCCTGGAAGCCGACCCCGCAGGTGCCGCGGCTGTGCGGCCCTGCGCGTGGCCGACTCCGACTACGAAGCCATTTGCAAGGTGCCTCGGAAGGTGGCCAAGAGCATCTCGGGGGGCCCCTCCACCAGGTGGTCCACCAGCATTTGCACGGAAGAGCCCGCATTGTCTGAGGTGGGGCCCCCCGACTTAGCGAGCACCAAGGTACCCCATGATGGAGAAAGCATGGAGGAAGGGACCCCAGGATCCTCGGTGGAGTCCTTGGATGCCGGTGTCCAGGCCAGTCCACTCCAGCAAAAGGATGAGGAGCCCGAGAGACGCTCCAAGGAGCTTGTCCAGTGCGACTGCTGGGCGGATGAGCAGGCCTCGCCCCACGGGTGTAACCACAAACTGGAGCTGGCTCTTAGCGTGATCAAAGGGCTGGATTACAAGCCCATCCAGAGCCCCCGAGGGAGCAGGCTTCCCATTCCAGTGAAATCCAGCCCACCTGGGGCCAGACCTGGCCATCTTGTGACAGATGGCGTGGGCTCCGGTTTCCTTAGCAGGTCTTTGAAACCCCTGGACAAGACACCTGTCAGTTATCCCTTGGAGATTTCAGACCTGCAGGAGCTGTGGGATGATCTCTGTGAGGATTATTTGCCACTCCGCTTCCAGGTATACAAAGTAACTGCAGAATAACTACCTCCTCCCTTTCTGAGCTGTCGCCAGCTAGCCTCGGGCACCGCACCGCTTCTGTCCAGGCCAAAGTTAGTAATAGTTAAAAATTAATCCTCTATTTAAAAATTTATCATTTTTTAAATTTATCTATTGAAAAATTAATCATCGAGCCCACTTTTGCTGTACCTTTGGCTTGCGTCCTCTTTAGTAAGTGTGATTGACACTCAATTGCTCTTCAGGTTTTTTGGGTACCATTAGCTGTTGGCCTTGTCAAAATTATCAAAATTGCATGCCTTTAAAATAAAAGGATAGGTTCCTAATTCACTTTACCCTGTGAAAAAGACATTTAATTTTTTTTTATTTCTGGCACTAAAACGGTTTCCTCTAATCTCCTCCCACCTCCCCCTTCTTATTTTGTTTGGTCTTCACTTTTATATTTATTAAGTGTTTTCTCCCATTTTGTAAGGGAGTTAGTTCTCCCAGAACTCTAAGCCTATCATCCCTGGCTATGCCACATATGAGTGAAGAGCGTGGAAGTTCAGGGAAACCCTATTAATCCTCCAATTCTTTAGGGATTCTTTCTGGACAATATTTATAATAAACTAATAGGGCATTTGAGGACTAATGATGACTTGTACATAAAAAGCCTTGGGAATTCAGGTGTTATTTGAAATGTTAAGGCAAAATTTCAGAGCTATGTTTGATATAAAAGAAGGATTCGTCCATTATTGCATATGGTAGAGTTTAATCCCTTATACTCTCGAATTTCTTAATGGCTGGAAGCAGCAGTTGATCTTAATTTGTGTTATTCACATCTGCCTAGTTGATTTCATGCCAGCCTCTTAAATACAGGGACCTGGTGTCTTTTTGTTTCTGCAGTAACATTAGATGCTACTGGATGCTTCAGTTAGTTGTGAAACATCTGGCACATTCTAGTGATATAAATTCTATAGTGGTACAATTACAAAGGTAGGCAAGCTAGAAGATGTTTATGGAGAGCCTGCTACTGGTCTATATCATCCCAGAACTTAGAACTTGATAATAAATGAAATCATTGTCACTTAAATTTTTTTGAAAAGGTCTGTTCTGCAAAAAATTTGTATCACAATAATAATTGAGCAAAAAATTAGAGAAATAATTTAAAATTTGCACACTATTGTCAGAAACACGTGAAAGTGTTGTGAAAAGTTTGTCAGAAAGTTTAAAAATGTATTTTCACTTGTATAAAATACTAAGTCATATGCCTAACTCTCGTCTTTTTCTTTTCTTTCATTGGAACTTCACAGCTAAACTTGGGCTTTACAGTATTTCTGTAACCAGACAAAAACGCCACAAATTAAGCATGGTGTTTGCATATTAGGAGCAGAAAGGAGTCTGGGGAGAATGGATGGAAGAAGCTCTCTCTCCCAGGCCTCCTGCCCGCCCCAAATATGCTCATTATTGTAGGCAGGTGAAGACTTAGAAAATTATAGGCAAAACAGAGGCGTTCTTTTCTCCATATTTAAAAATACTATTTTTTTGATGCCTGGACTTAGTAAATGTTACAGTTGGGAAGGATTTCAAAGATGATTTTCATGCAGTCTTTCAATTTAGAGATAATAGAAGCTCACGGTCTCAATAACTTAGGCCAGGCAGAGCGGAGGATTCCTAACCATATTCAGCCATGAGTGCTCCAGAGAGTAAATCACGTTGCCTGGTGTATACAGAATTAAATAAGTACGGGCCCTAAACGAAGAGGTTTCTTTCTATAACCTGAAGATTCTTTAGGGATTCTTTAGGGTCTTTAAAACAGTACTCATTGCCTCTCTGCTGTTACCTGGCACCCATTCTTTAGAGTTTGTGGGCTAATCAAACATTGAGAGGAAGGAGAAAACTGGGGGTTTGAGGAATCTTGGTGCTTCATTACTTTGCTGCTTTCTCCATTAATAAAGAATGTGGGAGAAAATAAAGTCTGGGTTCAGAGAGTTTGTAAATAAAATGTATATTTTGAACCTCTGATCTATTGTTTATGGGGTTGGCTTTTAAGTGCCTTTAAGGCCTTTGGGCTTTATGGCAAAACCAGAGCTAGGTGGGCAAAGGCAGGCTGGTTTTGTCTATTTCTCTGAATGAGTGTGGGGAAAAACAGAAAGAAATGTAAGATATTTTGATAGTTCTCTTTTTAGTGTATAGAAAGAAAAATCATGAAAGAAAGAAAGACTTACTGCAAATATTTAAAAAAATTCCTCATATCTTAAAATAGTGCGATTGCTCTGTAAGGTCATTTTGATTCCTTTGTTCACCCTTCCTCTAACTCCATCCTCTGTACTATTAAATACCTCCATCAGAGTTCCTCCTGTAGCTCTTCTTTTCCTATCTCCCTTTTCTTTCTTCTATTATTAAAGAACCACAACAGTGTAATTCTTTTACTTGCCGATTTTCCAATAGTAGGCAAATTAATTTATTTGCCCTCTACAAATTTATACCAGAAGACCCGAGGTTGTTCGGATAGCTAAGGTTTGGAAGTGTTTTTCTAGGTGGTGATTTCCTTCTTAATCATCTTGTCCTGAACCAGAAAAGCTGCGACAGGAGGGATGTGGTCCCTTAGTAAATATCAGTTCACTTCTGAACCACGTGCAGCTTCCCTTTCTGTCTAAATTCAAAGAGCAAGAGATCTTTGCTTCGAGCCTGGCAATGCCAGGGCCGGCGCCTGTGTGGCTGCGGTTAACTCGTCCCGCTCATAGCCCAGCTTCATAACCCAGATAAGGCTTTTGAAAGCTGCAGGGATTAGATGCTGGTCAGAGATTAGACTCTAATTTTATACCAGTTGATTGTTCTTGTGTGTCTCCTATTGTTAGGAGGAGGGTAGAAAATTACAGCAGTTTGAGATCTATGACTTGCTATTGTGAGGGTCAGAGAAATGCTGTTAACCCAGAACATCTAAATAATGGCCTTTTAGTTGAAAGACCTTATATTATACAAAATCAGGCCTGGAAGCAATTCTCTTTTCTGATGCTGGGAAACATTTGTCCTAATTGAGTCAAAAGTGACTTACTTTAAAATTGTATTATTATTGCAATGTGATTTAGTAGGTGATAGTCTGGAGAGTAACGCTGATTCAACTAAACAAAGCATTACTGTTTCAGGCTCTAGAAAGTCTTCACAGGAGTGACTAGTTTATGAACTTGGTACTTTACAAGAATTCATTATGAGTCGTACACTAGGAGAACTTTGCTAAAGGTTCTTTGGACAGATTGTTATGTGAAAGGACATTTTTCTGGGATGTGAAATAATAAAGAAGAACAAAACCATCTGCCAGCATTTAGGTCCATATATTACATTTGCAGAATTAGGAATGGCCTGTGATTATTCAGGCCAAACTGGGTTTGGGTGAGACCCAGAATGAAGTCATTCCGTACTCTCCTGTGGCATTCTTTGGTTTTAAAGCTCTTGTTGGATATTATTAAACATCTGTCCAATTATAGGAGACCCTTTAAAGGGTTAGGACTTTGTCCTGGGACTTAGGAGATGGCTGTTTTTGTTTCTTTGCTTTTATTTTTATTGTTCTTGTTCACTTGGTAAACATTAACTTTTGGCCCCTACAGTATTCCTGGTATGAATGTAAGCTTAGGCCATAAAAGCTACAATGCCAACTTAAAGTGTGTTTGCTTTCATTTTCCTGATTTCCTGTGTAACTTTGGACAAATTACTTACCTTCTCCAAGTCTCTACTTCCTCAAATGTAAGATGGGATTGAGCCAGAAGACTAGTTTTATAAAGTCCTTCATGGCTCTCAGATTCTGTGGTTTTAAATAAATAAAGATGACCTCCTTCCCACCATTTTAAATTTAAAGGCATTTTCTTTAATGCTGCTTGTTATAGTTTAAATTTGAAAAATATTTTACTATAGAGCATAAGGAAAAATTGTTTTGCATTGAGGAAGAGGCTCAGTTTTATAGAAAATGCTTTATCAATAAATAAAGGATAAAATTATCAGTTGGAATGTAAATATCTGTTAGAACAGTTACCTCTCCCATATTGCTTCAGGGTAAGGCTCCTGTTATACCCACAACAACAAATATCTCTCTTTTCCTAGGAGTCTGACCTCTTCCCTGACCTCTTTTTCTTCCTCTCTTACCCTCTAGTCCTGTTTCCTCCACTTCTGATCATCCCACGTCTATCCATTTCTCTCCCTCTCGGGCAACCCCGCTGTGACCCAAGGTGCCATTACCTTTTCCCTGTATTACTGCATCAGCTTCCTCGTTGGTCTCCCTGTTTCTGCTGGTGCTCCCCACAATGCACTCACCAAGCAGCGAGCATGATCTTCTCCAGTTTCCTAGGATTGCATCAACTCCTAGAAGCACAGCGGCCGCTTCTCATGACAGTGAGCCCCAGCCTAGCTTGTTCACCCTGCGTGCACAGGTGACCCAGCCCTGGCCCTGCTTGTGTTTCATCTTCTGTCACTGCCTCCTTTGCCCACGAGGCTCTGGCCTTGCTCTCCAGCAAAGCACCCACCAGCACAGCCAGCACTGTGTGGCTTTCCAGCCCTTGAAATGGGACGAGGCCCAGTGGAGATCAGCTGTGGGGGTCAAGTGGACCCCTGGTCTCAAGCCCTAGTGTGCACGCCAGTCTCGCTGGCCTTTCTATATCCAGGCTCCTGTCTGCCCTGGTTCTTCCATCCGCTGCTCCCCTGCCTAGATCCTCCTTCTGTAGACCTTTGAGGGCCTGGCTCCCTGTCATTCAGGCTCAGACTGAGCTTCCACTGATGAAGCAATTCAGAGTAACATCACTTTCTCTGCTTCCCTTCCTTACCACTTAGGGCTCATAATTCCTTGTGCCTTCACTATGTGGATCCTCCCCCACCCCCACAGCGCTTTGCATGCTGTGGTGCTTAATAGATGTTAGGAAAATGAATAAATAGCATCGGAGGAATTTCTTCTGAAATCCTTACATTTCCAGGTAGTTGCTGGTAGGAAGGGATTGGTTATCTCCACTGCCTGGAAGGTAAAGGTGATGGAAAGGGAAAAAAAAAAAAAAAGATTGCTGTTGGCTTTCTTCTCTTCCTAATGAATTTATTATAATTTTCCTAGTTTATTCCTGGACTGTTTGGGGTTAGTTGCAAATATGTTGCATCTTTATACTCAATAGCTCAGTATGTATCTCCTAAAGCAAAGACATCGCTGATGTAAGCAGTGTCCAGTAATGATGAAATTCTGTTATCTAATGTATATAGTCCTTATTCAAAATCTGCCCGTTTTTCCAGGCAATGACTAGGGATGTTATAAAAGAGGAAATTGAAATCCAACTTTTCCTCTCTCAGGGGTGGTTTGTTTGATTAGCATTCCTTCTGAACACCCTGACCGAAATAGGAGAACGTGAATATTTGATTATCATCAGCATTTTCTTTATAATCATATCTTTAAATTCTGAATTGTTTGCTTCAACTGCATATGTAGTGACTTGAATTCATGGGACCAGGTGGGGAGGGTGGAGCTGCAAGGGAACATATGAAAGATGGAAGCGAATCAGTGGTTTATATGAAACAGAACTGTCTTCGGGAATTTGTAATGAGTCCTTACAGCTCTGGTTTCCCAAATCTCTGGCAAAAGGTGTCAAAGATACATGAAGATAAACTTTAGTGTTGGCAACATCTAACTTGCTTGTCTTGCTGTTTCTTCCTTAGCCCATGGCTGACGATTTACTCAAACAACAAAAACTGAATTCAGACAACACCGCTGCAACCCAGCAGTCTGCACCCGATCCCCACTTGGCAGATCTCCAGGAAAAAATCCAGCAGACAGAGGCCACCAACAAGGTATGGTCAGTCCCAGCCCTTGGAGAGCCCAGGCTTCCTGAGGAAGAGGCTGGCTTTAGACCAGCGAGACCATTGGGAGGTGGGTATTGTGTATTTCTGGGGCTGGAGGAAGTATTTGATTGAAAGTGTAGGCGTTCTTAATCTTTCGTCAAGATCTTAGTTCTGCACAGATCAGAATTTTGGGTGTCCTTTAGGTCTGTGATCAAAACTGGAATACAGTCTTGAACTTATAAGGTGCTGAAACTGGAGGCTTGTGGTTTTGATCTTAACATCTCAACACTGGGTAGCCCAACGATTTTAAAAACGTCCACAGTTCGAGAGGCCGAGCTTGGTGTGCCCTCGTAGTACAATGTGCTACGCTAAAAGCAGATGCCCCTGGGCCCCGTGACATGGGGGCCAGGGCCCACAGAGCCACCATCCCAGAGAAAGCACAGCAGGCGAATGGAAGTCGTGTGGGGGCAGGGAGCAGGGGCGTGGAGGAACCTCGCAGTCTGCCTGCTGCTTTCTCTTGCTGATTGACTCAGGACTCTAATGGTTATGAAATCAGGGGGGAAATAACATGGTACTGTTCCCTAAGAAATCCTTTAAATGCGAACGTAAAAGAGGACTTTATGGTTACGGCTGATGCTAAAAGAAACCACTGCCGTGACCACTGGTTTTCTTTGCTGAATTCAGATTCTTCAAGAGAAACTGAGTGAAGTGAACGGTGAACTGAAATCTGCTCAGGAGTCATCTCAGAAGCAAGAGGGCACAATTCAAAGCCTCAAGGAAACTCTGAAAAGCAGGGAAAATGAGGTAAAGCATTTGGCAAGCAAGGGCCTTGGTGGGGCCTCGTTGTATCAAAGTAAACAAGGATGGTACAGTGTGTGGGAATGAATCTTAGCCAGATAAGAGCCTGAGAAATTGTAGCTTACCCTAAATTGGTGTTCTAGAACAGTCCCACTTAAAATCTATACCGGGAGAATGATCTCATTTATCACACTAACTTGGTGTGAAAACCTCGTTTTCAGACCGAGGAGTTGTACCAGGTGATCGAAGGCCAGAATGACACAATGGCCAAGCTTCGGGAAATGCTGCACCAGAGCCAGCTTGGACAGCTCCATGTACGTGAGGGTCACGCGGGACGGGAGGCAAACTCAGGCTGAGGATGTGGTCTGGGTCACAGAGGCCAAAACTTGGGGTTCTTTGCAGTGGCCAGCTGTGATAAGTCTCCTTTTCTCTTCAGAGCTCAGAGGGTGCTTCCCCTGCTCACCAGCAAGTGGCACTGCTTGACCTCCAGAGTGCCCTGTTCTGCAGCCAGCTGGAGATCCAGAAGCTGCAGCGGGTGGTTCGGCAAAAGGACCGGCAGCTAGCGGACGCCAAACGGTGTGTGCAGTTTGTAGAGGCCACAGCCCACGAGCGGGAGCAGCAGAAGGAGGCTTCTTGGAAACACAATCAGGTGAATCATTAATCGTTTTTGTGGCCCTAAATGCTGACTTTGCCCCGATCGTTACTCTTTATTCAGACAGTTTGGCTGACCTGTTGAGTCACTTATTTAATGTGAGTGATTCAGTCCAACATATGTTGCCTTCGTGGTATATGCCGGATGCTGGGCTGTGTTGATGAGACACAGGAGTGGGCATCACAGGCTCTGTTCAGTTTATTGTAGTTTGGATTGAGACACAGTTGCATAAATAGAATTTCAGTGTGGTAAATAGGGTCCTCCAGGAATACCCAGGAGGGGCTGAGGGATGGGGTCAAGGAAGGCTTCCTGAAGGAGGAGGCATCTGAGGTTGTTCTTGAAGGAAAGTAAACGTTAGACTGAGAAAAGTGGGAAGACTATCCAGATCAAAGGCATGGCATGCACAGTAGCTGTGTATTTGTTTTTAAACTAAAACATAATTCTTAAATGGCTTTTTATCCTGTTAGCTTACACCATATGCTACCAATTGGTTTTGACTTAAAAGATTATTTCTCAAGTTCTTTAACACCAACATGTAGTTTTTGAAGGATCTCCCTGAAGATTAAATATTAACCCTAACAATCCTTCAAAATTATGAAAATTTCAGGTGTCCTGGCAGAGTTAGGAGAGGTGGTAGAAGGATGGGTATGGAAATAACTTTTAACATTTTGTTATTTACTTAAAGGAAGTTTTTCCCTGTGTTTTATTTAGCTGATAAGAATATAAATCATCAGAACAGATAGTTTAAGGGTTATTGATTTTATTATCCAACGTATTTGATATATGGAAATTAAGATAGGCATCTTTCTTTAGAAAAAAAGAGTTCTTTAGGGAAAAAAAAGAATAATATGACTATTCTCTCCTTGAGCTTTTTGTGAAGTAAAGGATCCAGATTTACTGTAGGACCGAGTCCCGCTTAGTACTTATACAAACCTATTATTTTTAAATCAAATATCAAACTGTATATCAAACTTACATCCTGTTCCCACTCACAGTTCCCACAATTTCCCTCAACCTGTTTGGTTCATGTATAATGTTCCTGTAGTAATTTTAAATCGCACTTTCTGCTACTTCATTCTGTTTCAAAGTCTTCCTATCTAATGACTGTGTGAACATTTTAGATGGTTTAAACATCTGTTCAATTCAGGAATTGCGAAAAGCCTTGCAGCAGCTACAAGGAGAGCTGCAGAATAAGAGCCAGCAGCTTCACATCCTGGAGACTGAAAAATACAATGAGATTCGGACCCAGGAGCAAAACATCCAGCACCTCACCCAGAGTCTGAGCCACAAAGAACAGGTGCTGCAGGTGAGTCTGCCTCGTGACTGCGTTCAAACTGGGCTGGAGGACTCTGGCGGTTCTGTTATTTACTCTTGAGACATTAGCCCACCCTGTGTTGAGTGTACCTGCTGCCTGCAGGACACAGCGAGGTGGGGAGAGGGCTCCAGCATCAACAGAAAGTATAATCCAAGAACCAGCCAATGCAAGAACCCTAAATACAGACCCGCAAGACTTGAGCAACAAGTATCCCACAGGTGGCTGCTAAGCAGCCTGGGAGTCAGGTACTCTGTGCTGGGAAAGCAAAAAGAAGGTGTGACAACTGCTCTCAGTCTAAGTATGTGAAGGCGTCGCAACAGAAATTCCCAGTTACTTAGATAAAGCAAAAGTTCTAGGAGAAAGTGGGAGGAGAGTAAACAGGCTACCGCCTACATGAAGCTTCATTTCCATCGAGTCCCTTGTGTTCCGTGGAGCTTACAGTTTTTTCACAGTTTGCATATTTTGCACAATTTCTTCTCTGAGAGCAAGCCCACCTCTTCTCACCTGGGAAATACTCAGCCCTTTAAGACGCAGAGACATTGTCATCTCTTGGGTGAGATCTTTGGTGACACCTTCAGGCAGAGTTAGACACTGCAGCTGTACCCTGTGTTTCCTGGGGGCTGCCCCCCACACACCACCCCCCTGTGATACAGAAGAGCTCATTTACGTCCATTATCTCTGTTGAACTGTGTCCCCCTAGAGAGTGACCACACTTTGTTTTTATCATGAATCACTAACAAATAGCTTCCAAGAATTCAGTTGCTACAGAATAAATGAATAAGGGGACATGCTTATTGGTTTCCTTAGGAATTCCAGGAGCTACTGCAGTATCGAGAGAACTCAGACAAGACCTTTGAAGCAAATGAGATGCTGCTTGAGAAACTCCGGCAGCGAATACAAGACAGAGACATTGCCCTGGAGGTAGGTGCCCTCCGCCGCGGCACAGTGGATGACCCCACAGAGGAGCGCGTCTGCTTACTCCGCAGCTCTCCGGCATTGCTTTTTCATTTCTTTTGTGCTTGGACTCTACTGAATAAGGGTGGTGAGAAAAGTGGGTTTTACGGCGTTTCAGGAACCTTATTTTCCTTGCAGCGGGCAATCGATGAAAAGTTCTCCACTCTGGAAGAAAAAGAAAAAGAACTACACCAACTTCATCTTGCCGTGCGGGAGCGAGGCCACGACCTGGAGAGGCTCCGCAGCATCCTGTCCTCCAACGAGGCCACCATGCAGGTGAGTGCAGCCCCACACCTGGCCTCCCTCTCCACAGTCCCTCTGAGAACTGGGATTCTAAGCCTGGGGCACCAGCCCCTTCCATCATTCCTGCTTTATAAGAAAAAAAAAAATGGCAGTGATTAGTTCCATCATTATAGATGAGGGAACGAGAAGTTTTGGCAGCCCTGTCATAGATTGTGAACTTCGTAGGGGAAGGCAGGGAATGGGGATTTCTATATATAATTCTTCTGATATATTTTGAATCCTTGTAATATTTATATAGTTTTACATAAGCATTCCCTGGGCGCAACTGTTGTGTCTTTCTCATAATTGTGTGTGTGTGTGTGTGTGTGGCCATAATCAGAACACTTACTAATCTTATTAATATGTACTTGGGGCTGCTTTCTTTGTGTCTGCAGAGTATGGAGAGCCTCTTGCGGGCCAAAGGCCTGGAGGTAGAACAGTTATCTGTGACCTGCCAAAACCTCCAGTGGCTGAAGGAAGAAATGGAAACCAAATTTAGCCACTGGCAGAAAGAGCAAGAAAGTATCATCCAGCAGCTGCAGACGTCTCTGCACGACAGGAACAAAGAAGTGGAGGCAAGGCTTGGATGCGCTTGAGGGCAGGGGCTTCGTGGTGACCCGGTCTCAGTCTTATACTCTTGGGTCTGGGGTGCCGGTGACCCGAGTCTTTAGTCTATTCTCTGTCTGAGCACATCAGTGGCCTCCAGTGAAACTTACCCCCTACCCCTATCAACTTAGGGAAACAATCCTCTTTCTCAAAGAGGTTACATGTATTGCCAGTGCTCACTCACTGAATACAGATTTGCAGCTTTCTGGGTAACAGGCCCCTGCTAGACCTGGGGAAACAAAACTAAATAAAGCATGATACGAGCTTCCAAGAATTCCATAGCCCTTCTCCTGTGATGGATTCCTACAAACCCTTTGGCATGTGGAGGAGGGAGTTTTTCCCCCATCACTCACTCACACCCTTCCTTCTCTGCCAGGATCTTAGTGCAACCTTGCTCTGCAAACTCGGACCAGGGCAGAGCGAGATAGCCGAGGAGCTGTGCCAGCGCCTGCAGCGGAAAGAGCGGATGCTGCAGGAGCTGCTGAGTGACCGGAACAAACAAACTGTGGAGCATGAGATGGAGATTCAGGGCCTGCTGCAGACCATGGGGGCCAGGGAGCAGGAGAGCCAGGTAAGCCAGGGGCTGCGTTGCTAGCCTGCGGAATTCAGAAGCTTTTGAGCCTTGGAAATCGAAGAGTTGCATCATTTTACTTCTGTTCTTTTAGTTGTTTTCCTTCCAGGTATTAACTAGACTAGTTTTATGTCCATCATCGAAGCATGAGATGTTTTTAGAACACGTTGCTTTGGATGTGCCTGAATAACACACGTACCCCCTGAAGTCAGGCCCCGCCGATGTCCTTAATCGTCTGATAATTTTGACAGAAAGGAATTCAGGGTTCTGGAGTGTTTTGCTTTTAAGTCATAGAAAATTGAGTGTTTTTTGCACCTAACCAAAGTATGGCAAAACATTTCACATATTTTTTCTTAGTCCTTATGAAATCTGAGGTCTCTTAAGAAAAAATACTGCGATGAGAATAAATAATCTCATAATAATATGGGTGGTACTAATCTCAGAATAGCACAACACAGGATTCTTCATTTATCCTTATTTCCATGTAACTTTCTTCTGGGGCTAGAAATTGGTGTGCAGGCACACATCCATCGTCAGTGGGGACACATTCTGTTTCTCAAATATTACATGCAAAAATATCACCTGGATAGCTTTTAAAAAATAGATTCCAGAGCTCACCCCCAGTGACAGAAATTAGAAGGTAAACGTGAGATTCAAGAATTTACCTATCTAACAAGCTCCAGATAATGGGACTATTGCTGGTCCAGGGCCCACAGTTGTGGGAGCGCTGCTCAGAGCATCACTGCTTGGGAGGGAGACCCATCAGACAATTGCATGTATGGCGTGCGGTATCTTGTGTGTTGTTTACTATATGTGCAATAAAAATTTCCTAAGTGATTTTAATCAAGGCATATTAATAATGTCCTGATACTGCTAAAATGGCTATGTCCAAATACCTGAGGACCCCAAATTTTACTTACTGAAAATCTAGGGTTTTTTGTATTTCCTGAGAAATTGTGACAAGGTTCAATTTCTCATTTGAAATGGTAATAATTCTCCCCAGGGATAGCTAGCGCTTTTATACAGCTAATAAATATAGTTCAGCTCATTGTCTTACACTTCCAGTAGTTTCAGCCTTAGATTATTATTTCCATGTTTGCTGATTAAATGCAGACGTCCCATGGCTAATGGTTAGTAGTATGCCGATCTTTCCCTTATTGTGCCATTAATTAATTGTCTTTAAATACCATGAGATTTTAAGTGACACAAACTGGGTTTGGTGACTCTCCTGATTTGTGGTCTATTAAAAGTGTATCAGTGAAATTGAGTCGTTCAGTAAATATGTGTTGAGTGTCTAGTACCTACCAGACATAACTCAACACTGAATAAAACAGACTACCTGTACTTAGGAAAGTCCAGGTCCTCTTGGGAGATGAAACAATAGAAGAGAGAGCGAGCAGATAGTGCAGGAAGCCAGGTCTGAATGGCACCCCTGGCTAAGACCGAGGGGGGACCGACCACAAGCATGTTTGTGTGAGGAACTTCCAGGCTGAGGGAACATGGGTCTCAGAGTAAAGAAAGACGCCTCTTGTCCCAGAGACTTTGCACCAGACTCAACACTTTAGCCTGGTAGACTTCTAGTGGCATCACTTTCAGATTATTTCATCTGAGATAAATGTGTTTGCAGTGAGTTTTTCCAATAGTCTGCCTAGAGAGACGGTCTACAAAATCAACTACATTTTCCCATAGAAACTAAGGGCAGGGAAAAGGGCCCCCACTGGCTGTGCACACAGGGTTGGCTTTTAAAAAATAACATCAGAACACAGGTTTTATTGGAGTATCTTTCTAATGGCGTGTGCGATTTCCTCCACCCAGGCAACTGCAGAGAAGATGGTACGAGCCCTAATGGAAAGAAATTCAGAATTACAGGCCCTGCGCCAGTATTTGGGAGGAAAAGACTTCAACTCTAACCAGCCAGCTGGTGTCACCTCCATCGGCCCCCACCCAGGGGAGCAGACCGACCAAGTAAGCTGTGTAGACATCACCCTGGCTGCGTCTCCTTTTTACACTTAAGGCAAAAGTCTGATCATTTTTTTTTTAAGATTTTATTTATGCATACAAGAGCTGGGGTACAGGCCAGAAGTCTGGGGGTGGTGAAAGGATTCACTAGAGACAGAGTGGGGAGCAGAACAGGTGGATCTACTGAAATACACTGCTGAGGGGAGCAGCGGGCGAGGCAGGAGAGGTCTGCGCCATGTGGGTCAGCTCCCTGGCCGGGGATTGAACTCTTGCTGCAGTGGCTCGGACAGCTTCATAGTGCTGAGACTTTACCCCTTGTACCACCAGAGAGGCCCATAAGTCTGATCATTTTAATACCAAATTGTGTAAGAATATTCCAAGTGCTTGTTACTATGGTTGTATTTCCTTCATCTTCCTAAACCCTGGACTCTTCCCATTTTTAGGGTTCAGTGCACATGCCCTCCAGAGACGACAGTATGTCATTGACTGCCAAGGGGGACACCAGCATACCCAGGTCCTCGCTAGGTAAGTATCCGATTCCACTTCATGGAGGAACCTCTGTCTTTCCCTCCTGTAACTCTGTTACTCAGTTTGGCCAAAATTCTTTTTCTCCCTACCCTGGTGAAAAAATAATTTCGGATTCCCCCCAAAGCATGAAGACTTACTAGTTCCAGGAAGCACTGCCCTTACCTTAAGCTTAATTGAAGTTACTTCTCTGGGCACAAGGTTTGGCCAGGGAGATGCTGCTCCTTCCCCATAGGCTGTATGGTCAGATGCGGGGGTGGTGTTTCCAGACCCACAGAGCCAAGCCATGGGGCTGACGCCTCCTCCTGGGCACCTCTCAGCGGGCCGGGACTGCTGTCGGTGGCCGGCACCACCCAGTTGCAGTGCTGGGAGAGGTGGGCAGCGAGCCTGTGTACTTGCCAGATTCAGCTCCCTCCAGGGGGTGGCTGTAGGCCTTGAACTCCCTGGGAGGAGCTGAATTCTGCATGCGTTGGGAGTAATGCTCAAGCAGATGCCTTGGGTGAGAGTCCCCGACTTCCACAGAGCAGGAGACCAGAATCTAGGATAATTTCACAAATATTACCCAGTGAGGGTTGGGAGTGGCCACTATTGATGAGATCCTGATGATGGCGCGTGGCAAGAAGGCTGTGAACATGGAGAATTATGATTTTTGAATGCTATTAAGAATGTAAAAGCTTTGTGTTGATGTCTTGCCGGTGTTAGGGAATTCCCCAGAGAAGTCCAGCAAGTAGCTATTTTCTAGTAGGATAACTTTGTTGGTCAGAAAGTTAAAATGCTAGATTTGTTTAATTTATTCCCTTTATTTTTTTAAATAGAAAACATTAATTTGTATTTCATAAATGTCAAACCTATACACAAGTGGCAAAAAACAGTACAGTGAATTCCATATAAACTTTTATTAAAATGCACTGTGACCACTTTGCCAGCCTTGTGCTATTTTTTTTTCCATGTACACACAGACATTGTCATTTTTGAAGACTCCACATTGCTAAAGTCCCTCAGTTTGGCCCTGATTATTTGCTCACTGTCAAGTTCAAGGTAGATATTTCTAGCAAGAGCACTGCATGGTGCCTCCTTTCTCAGCACATCACATCAGGAGCCCCTGATACCAATTTGTGTTGGCATTGGTGATGTTACATTTAGTCACGTGGTTGAGCTTGTGTCTGCTCTCTCCGTGGTACAGAGTCACTTCTCCCTATGTCATTAATTAGTGATCACCTGGCTGTCACCTGGGGATGCAGACAGTTGTGTTTGCCCCTCATTTTACCCAGTGCTTTTAGCATCCTTTGACCTTTGCCTGGACCAGCTATTACATTGGTAGTTTTTAAAAAGTGATTTTCTATTTCTAAAATTTCTTATTATTATTGTGTATTCTTTTGTAAAGAAGAGCTGCCCGTCCTCCACCCTCCTAGCTGTCTGTGTCAGTATGGACTAAGGGAGCCCTTTTTCAAAAAATCATTTTGTTGTCCATTTCTGTCATTCTATTTGATGCCCAAATTCTCCCAGATTTGGCCACTTTGAGCCCCTACAGCCTGTCCTCTGTCTTTCCCCAATCAATTTTTGAGCTTACTTTTTGGTATAATGAGATGTTCTCTGGCCTTTTGCTTTCTTGTCTTGGCCTTGGAATTACCCCTCACTCTAAGGCTGTCTCTGGTTCCTTATAGTGGAAAATGGCATTTTGAGGTTAGTGTCAGGACATAGATGTATTCATCTCTAAAATCAAAAGATGCCATTTGATTGGAAGATTTTTTTTAGTGATTGGAAATAGATAGATAAGAAATACAGATATAGATACTTGTTTCGTTATCGTTGGAGTGTGTGTCTTCAGGGTAAGTTCCTCAGAAAGAAGTAAGAGACACCACATTATATTAGTAGCCACTAAAGCTCGCACGGTGTGTTCATTTTTAGGAGACTTGGACACAATCGCAGGGCTGGAAAAAGAACTGAGTAACGCCAAAGAGGAGCTTGAACTCATGGCTAAAAAAGAAAGAGAAAGTCGGGTGAGTTTTCTAATCAAGCTTAATTTCTGAATTCCTGTTTTTTTCTTTCAAAATAGAATACAGTTCTCCAAGTGTAATGTCTGGATTGAAATGCAAGGTATACCTTCTTTTCTTTCTGGAGAACAATATGAATGACTTTAATGCACATTCTCTCTCCAAGCTTTATGTCCCCATGACATCATCTTGGACCAGTGTTTAGGGTCCCTCACCCTTGGTTTTATAAATGGGGACTGTTAAAACTTCTGAAGTGCTGACACAACACAGCTTTCCCTGCCCACCTCTAACTGGAATAAAATAATTGTAAAACCCTTGTGAAAAAATGAAGGGTAGGTAAGCTGCTGCTTGGCATAGTGATGCAAAGGCCAGGGAATAGTTTAGAAATACGGAACAAGAAAAATTGGGGCACAACCAGGAATGTTTACTGAGCACTCACTAAAGGTGCTGGGTACTTCCATTAGCACTAATGGTTACAGCTCTAGCAGAGTCAGTGGTATCAGCCCCATTTTACAGACGAAGAAGCTGAAACACTCTTTTGCTGGGGAACATGGAGGTGGGGAGAGTCACATAACAAAGAAATATCAAAGCTGAGATTTCAACTCAATTTATCTGTGACTCAAAAATATTTCCTAAGACGTCATTTCCTGGAGCAGATACTTACTATTCTTAGCAGTAGTTTTCTTAGAAGAGGCCTCTCAGCCTTCCAGAACCCCTCTCCCTTCTGCCTCCCTCTGTGACCAGCTGCGGTGGAGAAGAAACGGTGGGGCAGAGTCTTAGGCAAAACTCACAGCCTTAGGCCCCGTGACTTCTGCTTTATGTCCGTCAGTGTCGTGGGCTCGGAGGCCTGCATCCGGACCTGCCCTGAGTTTGGCCAGTTGCATGACTCCTCAGTTTTGTTGCTTCTCCCTGCCATAATTAGGACTATATTATAAAACCTGTGTTCATATTTGCGGTGAGATCATCCTTGTAACTTCTGTTTTGACTTCTCTCATCATAACCATATTTCTCCTTACCATAGTTCTCATTTTATTTGACTCAAATTTTGAGGATCTGAAAGTATGTGGCATTTTAAAAATACCAGTTAGCTGATTGTTGGTGTCAGCTTAGTCTCCACGTGCTGTTCCTCTTTCTTATACCTACTTAATTGAAAGTTATATTACTTTCTTGGCTCCGTCCTACATTTAGGCTCTTAAAATTAGAATGACTATAAGTAGACCTTTTGAGTGAGTTTAATTTCACTACATTGCTTGCCTTCATGTGTCCTTAACCCACTAACTTCTCAGCTCAATGGTATATACATCCACTATCAGATTCCCTCGAATATTAGGGAGTAACCAAAAAAAAAGGTAGATTTTTCCCAATTTTTAAAACATGGTAGTAGCAATAGCAGCAGCGGCAGTGACAGTGATAGTTACCATCACTGATGGCCTCCTGGGGGCCAGCTACTTTAAGTACATTTTTTCTAATTCTCATGCACCCCTGAAAAGTAGATATTATTCCCAGTTTACAATTGAGGGGAAACCAAAATTCAGTTTAAACGCCTTGTCACGGAAATTATGTCAAGATTTAACCCACGTGTTTGACCACAGAGCTTATTCAAAGCACCCTTTTTTCCGTATCCAAGATGTCAGCAAACTGAGAAAACATGGTAGCAGATAGTTTAATGATTTACCTAATTGATTACTGAGAAAGACTTCAGTAAAGGACTCCATGCAAGGCCCGGAGGCCTGCTGGCTAAACCCTGGAATCCAGCAGCTTCACCTACCCAACTCTAGGCCCATAGGGGCCTCACACCCATCTCCATGGTGGAAAGAATCTGCCTTCGGAGAAGCAGTGGCGAGAGCAGGCTTCCTGCAGGCCGCTGCCTCCTGGGCAGGGAAGGCGAGGTGGAGGCAAGCACCCTGGTTTACCCCTTCCACTGTGTGCCTTGAAGGTGTGTCTGCCTGCCGGGGCTGCATGAGCAAAGAGCTGGAGAGATGTCACTAGTTACACCAGTTGCGCTTCCTCAACACAGAAGCAGGTGTAAGGAGATGCGTCCTCCTAGCAGACCCCGCCCAGTGCCATTAAATAACTGTGTAGTTATAAATCATCATGTGTCCACTGGGATGCTGTAAGCATTGATGGAATGAGAATATACACAAATCAAATTTTTATTGCTTAGAACTTAAATTTGAGATCTAATTGCCGTATAACATTGTATTAGTTTCAGCAACATAATGAATTAACTTATATATATATATATATTGCCAAATGGTCACCCCAATACATCTAGTTGCTAACTAAACTTAAATTTATATATATAAGGACAGAGGTACTGCTTCCTTTAGGGAACTTAGTTGTACCCTAAACAAGCCATATGGTCAGTCTTCACCTGTCATACCTAGTTTTTTGTTTTAATTACATTAAAACCTGTCCTTAAATGCTTATTTACAAATAATCTGCCATCACCATCAATATTATATGAACGAGAAGTATCTACAGGACAGACACTATCGCTTCCTGACATCACATGCCACTTCATGGCTCTGATTTTGAATTTCTCTGAGCTCTAATTTCCTCATCTGTGAAATAGAGAGCACAGCAGTTGCTATCCTGTGAGTACTCACTCGCTCCTTATTCATTTAACTATGAGGGAACCTTCCCCAAGCGGGGGCTAGTGCTTAAGAAAAACTGTTCTTGCATTGTCTAATGGTGACCAAGCTCTTAAGTATCGCAATAAGCTCATTAATTAAGCAACTTCTCTGTGTTTCACAGAGCCAGCTGAAGGGGGGCACTTCATTAACACCACGAGGGCAGCTTCCCACAGACCACCCTCTGCTCCCACACTGCTGATCTGAGCGAGTAGGGCACTGCCCCTCTTCCAGATTTCACTTGCGTTGTTGGCTGGTTTATCTCAGTGTTAAAATGTCAACGTGACAGATACTGTTGCTTCTGTGCACCAACCTCGGGACTTCTTCTCCCCACAGATGGAGCTTTCTGCTCTGCAGTCCATGACAGCTGTGCAAGAGGAGGAGCTGCAGGTGCAGGCTGCAGAGATGGAGTCCCTGACCAGGAACATACAGATCAAAGAAGACCTCATAAAGGTCGTTCAAAGTTTTTAAAAGACCATTGAAAATGATCACAGCCCAGTATGCCTGTGGGGACCCTCAAACACTTGGGAATTTCGTCCCTGGCCACTGCTTATTTGCTCTGCACTGTTACTTTGAGTCCCTCCCTTGATGCCTCTGCATTCTCCTTGACTTGTATCCACGCTGCTAAGGTTCCATGAAGAATACTCAGCTTCCTGTGGCTTGTCATCCTGCCGCTAGAAAGTCTGGCAGACTCTTTTGGGACCCTTGTCCCCTCCGCCAAGTAGCCTCTTTACAACTGCTCTTGTGTTTTGACTTCTAGGACCTGCAAATGCAGCTGGTTGATCCAGAAGACATGCCAGCTATGGAACGCCTGACCCAAGAAGTCTTACTTCTTCGTGAAAAAGTTGCCTCAGTAGAATCGCAGGGTCAGGAGCCTTCAGGAAACCGAAGACAACAAGTGAGTTATTAGAAAACAAAGTTAATTTTCACTGGGAAATACACAGTGGAGAGCTGCCATTCCCAACCATTTATGAAGGGCCCAGGGGGTGGGATTTTGTAGAGACTCCACTTTAAGTTTCCTGCCTGGCTCAGGAGCAGCCACAAATGATCCTTCCTAACTGTGGTTCCTTGGGTCTTCCTATACCTGACCTCACTTCCATGCCAGACTTCTCAGAAAGGCCTGTGTATGCCCTGCTTGCTCATCTTCCTGTCTCTCAACATCTCTCGTTACTCGTCCAATCTGGCCTTTACTCCAGCAGCTCACAGAACCAGACGCCTGCAGGCCGCACACACTCACACTCCTCTTTATGGAGGTTGTTATAACTCGCAGCGACTCAGACAGGGCCTGGCACATGGAAGGTGCTCAGTAAATACTTCGGGGCTGAATGAACAACGCTCTGGATCCTATTCTGTTCACCTCTTGCCCATCCGCTCCCATTTCTTTCTCTTAGCCTCTTTTCTGGGCTTCTGGCTTCATGCGCCTCTTTTCCTTGCTCCCAAGTTTGAATTCTGCCTAACAGAGCATTAAAGATAAAACCATAGGGCCTCCCCTGGTGGCGCAGTGGTTGAGGCCTGGACTGCGGCGCCGGTTCCTTCCCCGGCTGCTGGCAAGGGTCCCACAAAAAAAAAAAAAAAAAAAAAAAAAAAAAAGATAAAACCATAATGTGACCTTGGCTTGAAAACTGTAAAATGCCCCGGGGAGCTTTGGTGGGTGGTGAGGTCGGACCCGCCTCGGCTGTGGCACGTCCTGTGGCCCCTGCTCAGGGCTGTCTCTGGCTTCCCATCTCAGCGTCCCTCTGTGGTTGCCTCTTTTCTTTGTTCCTCAGTTGCTGCTGATGCTGGAAGGGCTGGTGGATGAGCGGAGCCGGCTCAATGAGGCCTTGCAAGCAGAGAGACAGCTTTACAGCAGCCTCGTGAAGTTCCACACCCACCCAGAGAGGTAAGAGGTTCTGCTGCTCTTCCTCTGTCCTCGTTAAGTGCCAGTGTCTGCAGTGTTGGGGGGTGGGGGGGGGCAGGAAGCAGAGACAAACACTGGGACCCACATTTTATTGTTTACATGGCGATCGCTCGGAGCCTCAGTGATAAGTCGGGGTTTGTGCCTGTTTTCATGGGGTCACTGCAGAGCACACGGGAGCAGGTGCACACCTGTCTGAAGCTGCCTCGCTTATAGTGCACGGACCGGGCGCGGCCCTTTTCTTCCCTGCTCCATGTCCTGTCAGACTGTTCTGGTCTAAGGATGAGGCCGCAGAAGGGACTGTTACTCACTGAGAGTCATGGAGGGAAAAGGTGACCTGCTTCTACGCACCTGCAGGGCAAGGCGGGGGGTATTTCCTGTACCTCTTGGTTTTGCTCATGGATGTCTTTCTGATTCATTTTATATTCCCCTTTTTTTTTTTCTCATATGGCCTTTTTCTCTTATTTTTATTCTTTTACTGTTCAGTTCTATTAGTTTATTGTTGGGTTTTAAAACCGTCTGCTTTCCATGTGCATAAATGAAGGCAGAGGCAAATAGGGCAGGACCACTCTGCTGTGCCCAGCTGCAAGGACGCCCTGGCTTCTTTATGAGCTGGCTTTCTTCTTCAGGCTCTGTCGGGTGTGGTGACAAGCAGCTTCAGCAGCTTGGGCCACGCTTGCTTCAGTTCGCATTCAGGTTTTCCTAGGTTTTAGTTTTTCAGAAATTAACTCAGTCAGCTTTCCCTTATGTGGGCACGGCGGCGTGGAGTGAGTCTTAGAAACTATACTTTTATGTAAGATTGCTCCAGAATCTAGCATAAAGGGACTCTTGTAAAGGAACAGGCCTTGTCATCTTCTGGGGGTGAACAAGAGACGCACCCCCTGGTGGTGTCCTGCAGAACGACGCCTTTAGAAAGTGGCGTGGCTCCGAGGGGCCTTGAGGCTCTTCAGGGGCGCGGGTGGACTCATTACCCTTGATGGCTAATCCCTTTTCCTTCCCTGTGGCATGTTCAATCAGCTCTGAAAGAGACCGAACCCTGCAGGTGGAACTGGAAGGGGCGCAGGTGTTACGCGGCCGGCTCGAAGAAGTTCTTGGAAGAAGCCTGGAGCGCTTGAGCAGGCTGGAGTCGCTGGCCGCCACTGGAGGTGGGGAACCGCAGCGTGTGGGAGTCCGTCCCCAGCATGCCCTCTGAGCGCTGGCGGGGCAGGCTGCAGCCCCGGACGGAAGCCTTTGTTTGCACTAACCAGAGGGAGCCTTGTCTGACCTGGGCAGAATGAAACGGTGACTTACTAATGCTAGAACTGGCGCACGTAGCATCAGCCACAAAGAGGAGCGCGCTGTAGCCTGCCCGTCTTGCACTGTGCTTGTGTATCTCCCAGTGAGCAGTGGGGCTACAAAGTGTATTTGCACATTTCAAATCATTCCATTTTAGTTTTCCCACTGTATTCACTCCCCTCCCCAGACCCTCCTTCTCATTCCCTCATCCCCACTCCAGGCCAATAAAGTTTATTCCCCCATCCACAAGCCATGTCCTCCGTCCCATGGCCGTGTCATGACGCATGCGTGTGTGTTGTGTTTGCCATCCAGTCAACTCCTGCTTTCTGAGTAAGAGCAACTTTGTCATCAAATAAAGTTTCAAGATGCAAGGGAAGGACAGAGAGTCTATAGGAACAGCAGTGCAGAAGCGGTTAACTCTTAGTGGAAGGAAATCAAAGCCAGTCTCACGGGGGCAGCTGCAGGTCCCGGGAGGGCAAAGTTAATGAGCAGAGACAAACCATCCAAGGTTTCCAGTAACCTTCACCACAAATGTCATTTCAGAGTCGATTTTGAATGACACAGAAGGATGAGAGTGGTGCAGACCAAATTCCCTTAAAAATTGGATCGTCATGCTACTAGTCAGAATGTGACTTTTAAAAGCTCCCACGTCTCCCAGAGCCAGAATTCTCCAGTAAAAAAGGCTATTTCAAGTGTAACATTTCCCTTTAAACTCAGTATTTCACTAAATAACTGGTTATAACCAGAGGACATTATTGCTTATGTCTCCATTTGTAGTGGCACATATATATTTCTCCATAGGAAAGTAAATAAGACTCCAGGCTTTGAAGTATGTGAGTCTTTTCGGAAGGCATGTTAGAGGCCTGTGCTCGCAGGTTTTCGTCATTGGCTCAGGGCCTATGGCAACGTGACAGGTGCACAAGAAAGGGCCCCGGGGCCTGTATTTCTGGTCTCTTAAATGTCAGGACTATAAAAATTACCCAGAGTACTGGAGCTATGTGGGTTCACCACCAAGAGGGTTCTCATTTCTGGGGGATATATTTTTCCTAAGTTGGGTACTAACATTTCCGTTTTTAAACATGAAATTTGGTAAACAAGGATTGGGGCTCTCTAGCACCATAAATGTGACTGAGAACCCTTTCTAAACTGAGTGGATAACAGTGGTTTTTCTGTTTTCCCCATGTTTTATGTAATTTTTTAATTTCTTTCACAGTCATATGTTGACATAGCTTGCCTTACATTCTAAATTCCACCCAAGCTTCTTAGCCTTAGCCAGAACCTCAAACTAGACAGGGAAGATGATGACCTACTGGAGGAGTATCTGGAATTTCCTGATTAAGCATTTTGAAGATGAGTAGCTATAAATCATGCTCTAAAGGGAAATGCCTTGCAGATTTAATGACATTTCGGGAGGAGTCATTTACTGAAGGAGATAGAAAGTATAAATAAAAGCACCCACTTTTTTAAGTCTCCCAGTCTTAAGAGACTTTCCTGCACAAAACCTGTTGTAACTTCCTGGAAGTCAGGAGGGCGGGTGATTGAGTTGCCGAGATGTCAGTCCACTGAAGACTGGCCTGGCCTGTCATCCCACCAAGGCAGTCAGAAAGTGGCCTCCCTTAATTTTACTAGTAATAGGACAAGGAGACTCTCTAAGTCTCCTGTTAAGACTCAACCGTGGGTGGCTCAGGTTCTGATGATCAGCTCCCGGTGATGACAGTAACTTATGTTAATTACTATCCAGCTTCTGTCAGCCTCCAACAAGAGTAGGGATTTCCCTTGCTATCTTGAACTATTACTAAGTGTTAGAGGTAGTTGGATAAATAATGAGAAACCCCAGCTTCTGTGGGAAAATTATCAGAATAGATTAGGGGGGGAAAGTAAATCCTGATTTGGGTTTAAAAAAAAAAAGATTAACTTGTGTAGTTATTTGCCTTTGGCATAGGTTCTTGGGGGATAGTTTAGAAAATGAAGTGATTTAGTGGCAAATGGTAAATTAATAAGAGTTTGATCTTATTACTGCAGATGTGACTGAAACCTGTTACTAACTGGTCTTGAGAGGTGGGATGGGGTCTTGCAAACAGTGCTTTCTGGAGAGAATTTTCTGATCTAACAATTTTGTATAACAGTACGTCATGTTCATAGACAACATGACTGATGTGGGTTCTGTAACCCACAGGCAGGTGATATTGTGGGTAGCCATATCGTTCAATAATCAGCATGACACAGTATAAGTCCATTGCTTTTCAGGAGCTTACACCCTTTCTCTTAGGAATTTTTCTATCAGGCATTTTTCAAGATGACAGTAACCTTAGGGAAAACATCATGTGCTTATAGAACCTTGTGCTTGAATAAAAAATCTTGAAAGAAAATGAGTTCAGTTCTCAGGTCATGCTTCCTTAGAAGTGGAGAACTTAAACTTGGAAAAATATGTGTTGGGATTTAGAACTACAGAATTGACAAGGACCTCCTAGGATTTAATTATTGAAATACAAGGCCATGTGACAGATATTTCACCCCAAACTCTTTTCCATTATAGGATTAAACTCTATTGAAGTTTAATGATTATTAGTGCCTAGATAAAGCAGCATTTTCTGATGTCCTTTTTATCAATAGTTAGCCAACTTACAACTTTCATAAAAAGACCTGATTGGACTATTTTAAGGACTCTTTTAATACCGTCAGCCTTTTACTCTGTTAGGGTGCACCTTCCCTCCTTCCTGCCCCTCCCCCACTTCTCTGTTCAGTTTTGGACAGGCAATATTTTTTAGTACCTCATTCATGTTTTTAAAGGATTTTTTGTTTTCATTATAGATAATAAGAGACCTATTAAGGATCAAAAAAATTTTTGATCTGTGTAGGACAACAAAGCCTAGCTACAAGAAGACACTCTCTAGATGCTTGGCGACAGCATGTATATATGCTGTATCACTGCCTGTACAACTGTATAACTGTCACGTGACCCCAGTGGCAGATACACAGAAAAGACCAGACCATCCACTTTTATCCTTATGCTCTTGACTCAGCATTTGGCCCTGAGAAGTCAGACTCGTCGCTTTAAAACAGTTCAAAGAAATTGATTTCAGTTCTCTCTGCCTAAGTCTCCAGTTGAATCTGGAGTCTTCTGGTTAGGGACAGGAGGTGCAGATCTGCTTACACTGAAAATGCTTCCTTTAAGGAATAAAGCTTGAGTGATCTCCCAACCGACCTACAATCATGCTTCCTTTGGACTGTACGCCTTAGCAGTACGATGTTTTAATACCTTTGCTTTCCTTGAGTTAGTATTAGAAACTCTAGTTCTCGTTGTGAGAATAAAATCATTGTTTTCTGATTTCATGGGTTTTTAATATGGAAAGAAGTCACAGGATTGTCATATTTGACATTCTAAAAAAACTCTAGGTACCCTTTTCCAAGGGCTACAGCCAGTCATTGTATGGGTCCACAGCAAGGTGACAACGTCCGGAGAGGTTAGTAAGAAGATTAATCATCCACGCACTTGAAGGTTATTTTCCATCTTGCATTGTAGATGTTGCATTCGAGGTAGAATAATAAATAAATGAAATTAGCTTTTTTTCCCCAATGCTAAAACATCCTGAGATAAGAGGATTTCCTCTCATCCCTCTTACGGTCATATGACTTTTCTTCTCCCTTTGGAAGAAAACCACTTGTACTCTAGAAAAATTTAGCCAGCAATATGGAACTCACAGGTGACAGCCCTAAAACCAGAAGGCATGAATCAATGGGACAACCCATTGGAGTGACTTGCATGGGGTAATAGTTTCTTAGTCTTAATGCATTTTGGAAATGAATTTAAGCTGTCTGCTCACAGCTTAAATTATTTGAAGCAATAACTTTGTAAACCTTTTAATTAAGATTAGAAAACAAATATGTTGCCTTTAAGTATGTTGAGTGTTGGCAGAAGGTAAGTCCTCATCTTCTTTGATTAAATCACAAGAGCCAGGATGAGTTTCCCAAATAAAAAATTAGTTTTGTAGTTTGCTTCCAACAGAGGCTGGGAATTGGAAGGGAGACACCCAAGTGTAGAACTGACAATACTAGTTTTGCCAGATTCAAATAAGAAAGTCATAAAGTGATATACCAATTCTTTTTTTTTCCCCTTTCTTCTCCCTTTATTATTTAAAGTCAAATTCCTGAAATAAAAATCCTTATCAAACTATTTCCTCTTGCTAAAACTGGAAGAATAAAATAGAAAAGTCAGTAGCATCAGAAATGTTCATCCAAAATAACAGGAAAGGCAGGGGTGTTGAGTACCTGTACTAAGTCAGCTTCCTTGCTCCTTCTTTAAGGGCTCATAACAGTCTAGAAGTATGAGTAGGCTGACTTGTAATAGATGATGTGAGTATGCGCTGCTTCCTTTGAAGTCACCAACATCATTGCTCTAAATAACAGCCTTTTAATCTGTAAGCTTTAGAGGTATGTGTATATACAAGTGTGTTTTATAAATCATGATTTCTGTTTCCACGAAGTACTCTGAGTTTGATAATAAAACCAGCTTTACTTGCTTTTATCACTTAAAAATTTGATGCTAGGGCTGTTAAGAAAAATTTAAAGAGACTCATGACTTTTTAAATGAAGCAAGAAGCAATGTGTTCAGTGATCCAATAACTTGGCATTAGATCATTTCCAGGACTGGCTTTCCACTAAAATAAGCTGTATATTTCCTTCTGGAAGTTCATTTCTTCATGGCACTTTGCTCTGTTAAACTGTGGTAACATTTGTGCTGAAGCGGAGAGTGTTCCTTTTACAAAATAAGTGTTAGCATCTAGCTTTATTTTAGTTAAGCTTTATTTTAGTTTAGTTAAACCATCTATAAAATGGTTTCTGATTCAATAAAATATCAAAGGCCAAACACTATGGTTTCATTCTTAAAAAGATTGACCAGGAAAGAAGTAGAGAAGTCTCATATCTTTTTCTTGTTTCCTTATAGGAGAATCAGTTTATTGTACTAAAATGCCAAGTCGAAGTAAGGCTCTGGATGGGCGAGTGCCTTTGTATTTATTCAAAGGAAGGAAGAGGGAGAAACCTGCATTTTTCTTCTCTCAAAGTGAGACTAAAGAAATGTCATTATACTTCCCCCAGAAACGTGGAATGGACTACTTTACCTTAATTTCACCCCCCCCCCCCACACACACACAGCTTTTCTTTTTTCTTTTTTTTCTCCTCTCTGAAGGAGCGTGGTAACAGGCAGGATGGAGATTGAAGGGGCAGTTGCTAATGTGGGTGGTACTATCCCTGCAAATGTTCCTGGAAAGTCTTGCTTCTTGGTTCTTGGAGGAAATAGAGACCAGGAGCAGCAGGAATTCTTTGATGCCACAAAGCTATGACATCCCAGTGCAGGTGTGTTAGGCATGGCTTGGTCAGCCGAAGGGTAGGCGATTAATTTTTTTAAATAATCACCCTTTTGAAAAAGGGAAAACTCCAGAATCCTAGTGAGATTTCATACCCAGAAAAGTGTTTTAGGCAACAATTTGGTCTTTTTTAGGTTACTGAAAACCATTGCTTAGATTGAAGTATATGTTGAAAGACCTCCTGGCTACTTAAGAGACGCTGAGACTTAAGAGATGAGAACAGGCCAAGAAAGGACTCAGCTGCAGACAAGTTTTGTTCTAGCTGCTCCCATTCCAAGAGCAGAATCTGTCTAGTTTAAGAATTATAATTCTTGGCAGAAGCCTAGGGAACACTGCATGAAACCTGAGTTTTCTGATGGCCCAAAAAAGCAGTGGATGAAAGTAAAACTGCGAGTATGATAAGAGACCTTTCTGCTTTGAGTCTTTCCTATAACCTTGAAGTTAGCAACTGCTGGTCCCTGATGGGAACACATGAATGAGCACATGGCAGGGGGCCAGGCACCTGGCCTGAAAGAGGCACCTGGTACCGGAGACCAGTGCTCAAGGGAGAGGAGCTGGGTACACGATACCCCAAACTTTACTCCTACTGCCAAGTCTCAGCTCTGATTCCCCTTTTAATATCTGTCAAATATTACCCCGCTATGCTTTGAGTTACTCTCTGGGAAACCATGACTCTCTCCTATTGCTCACATATAAATGATTTAAAGAGGAAACGATGCCAACTACACAGTGAGATTTAATAGATGAGGTCCTGTCCCAGGCCCAGACGGACTGATCACCACAGAATGAGAACAAGGTCTTCTTGGTTTTCCTGAGGCTCACGCCTAATGGCACCCCAATGCGGTTACAAATGAATGATGACTTCTATTTGTAAAGCACCTGCTCCAGAGTCCATCCCGCTTCAATGACAACTCCAGGTTCTTCCAACTATGCTGTGAAGCAAGGTGATCAGAGCATTCTATCAAGATCTCCTGCTGGGAAAAAAATGAGACGTGAAGAAAGTGCAGGTGGCCTCAGTCTAGATCACCATTATCACGTTGGGTAGAAAATCTTCCTCTGCTGGTTACATTGTACAGCCCTCAACCCCCACCTTTTTTCAACCCTCAACTTTTCAACCCATAAGCCAGCTCTGTTTATGCACAATAACAATAGTACTGAAGGGCAGTATTTGTTGAGCACTGTGTGCCAAGCACTGTTCTACATACTTCAGAAGCAGCAAACCCGTTCAAGATCACTACAGCCAGAGAGAGTGGGTGTCACTCTTAGCCCTAAGAAGAGAGGACATTGAGTTAGAAGAAGGTGGTGACTGGACTACACTGAAATAACTAATGGCAGAGCAGAAATCTATGTAGATAATCTGGCTCCTGGCACTTAATTACACCACTCTCAATGTAAAAACCCCACAAAAAGTATCAGTTTTGCCCAAGGATTTTATAGTATTTTAGAGACTTACTTTATTCCCATGTGCTTTATAGAATAAGATAGCTGGTAGAAAATAATTTTCTAAATCAAAAAAAAAAAAAAGGGGAGATTCTGGTGTCATCTCCATCCAGAGAAATTTGCAAGAACCACAACTTGAGAACCAGCATCAAAGCCTCAAATAAAAGTTTCTCATAAAATATCCAAACCTAGAGACACAAATTAAAATTAACAGATTCTTAGCTTTCAGAGTCTCTAAGGTAGTAGACCACTTTATTTCAGATTTACAAAAAAATTAGGTTCATCAATATCAAGCACAGTACCCTTAAATTAGAAATTGACTCCAAGATGTGAGCATAGTATATTGTTCCCTTGGAAGAGAGAAGTTCTTTTATTGTCGCTTGTTTAGAAAAAGAATCGATAACAGAATAAGGGATGGCTAATGTAAATTGATATAAAGGACCTTGCGTGGGATAATTCATTCCAATATTGTCTATAAAATATTTTCAGCTTTATTCTACCCCTCAAATACGCAGCTTTCAGCATTCTAATTCAAATTGATAGGGGAATGAACAATGCTTACAGCTTCCCCAAGGAAGCACAGCAGGCTGGAAGCTATTATGGCTAAAAAATGTATAAGGAAAACGCCCAGTGGAGCAGAGTGTGGGCATGAGATGGGCATCCTTGCTTGTCTTCACTTAACTCCTGAAGTCAAAGCCAAGGAATCCTCCTCTTGAATGAACTAGAGAGGGAATGTTATCTAGAAATGTGCATGTGCCACCAGGAAGGCTGACGCGGGGGTGGGGGGGGGTGGAGAGCAGAAAGGGCTGGTGACCACCACTCTTTAGGAAGCGATCAGTCCCCGCTTACCCTGCTCCTGCAACCTAGAACAGGAATCATCTTGGATGTGGCCCATCCTGGCTACACAACCACTGAGAGTGGTGTGGAGATGAATGTCCTGACCTCACAGAGCTGAACTTTCTCCCATCACAGGATAAGTTTCTAGTCTGACACTCAGAAGAGAATCAATGTGAAAAGTATATTCTCTTCTTCTTCCCCTTAGTGGGGCAATTCATTGTCTTTACAGGGAAAAAATGATTCTGATCTCTACTGTTATGCAGGAAAAGATTTTCTAAGGCAGGCGTCATAGACATGGAGGCCCTCGGGTGGATTCGCCTCCTGGCCTCAGAGTCTCCTTAGCGGCCATCCGTGGGAAGGCACTCATTCAGCTCTAAGTGGCTGTGCTCCAACGGTGGCTCCAGGCTGCTTTGAGAGAGTAGGTCTTGAAATCTCCATCCTACAGTGTCTGCTGCCAATCTCAGCTTCTGAGTAGTGAGGTGCCTCCTATGGGTAGGGCTGCACTGGACAGGGTTCTGCCTTGTTACAACATCACAACATCTGTTGTACGAAGTTACCATGTTCTTGGAACTTGTCATAAGATCACTTGTTAGGACAACATGCTTATTACTACCTTTTAGTACTTTAAGGAGGGCCTGATTGTTGCAAATATTCTGACATAACCTTCAGATGCCAAGAGAGGGAACACAGATGTGAATGGCCCCTGTTCTACCTGCAGAAGGTGGTGAATGCTCGTTGTCCACACGGAGTTGCTCTTCCTCAGGTGTCAGGGCCCAGGAACAGCTTCTTTGGTCTTGGAGGAAGAAACCAAGATAAAGCTGTGTTTTCTCATCGTTAGTCCTGCCAGGACTAACTGTGTAACCTGGACCTGTTACCAAATCCTTAGGGCCCAGTGAGAGCAGGAGATTTTAAGATCTTGCTTGCCAAGCCTGGGTCAGAACCAGATCTCAAATTTCTCTTCTTGCACTGGTTCTGTAAAACCCAGGGAGTGGCACAGTAGGTTTTCTTTAGTGTTCAAATGAACTACCCACGAGACATCCCTGTCTTTTCAGAATAAATCAGCAATGTGAGTCCCGGGTCTTAATCTAAAATTCAGTGAACAGAATTAGTCTAACAAATGTGAAGGAAGAAATGTCCTACATCTGTGTCCAGTGTGGTAGCCCCTGGCCATTGTAGCTGCATGAATTTTAATTAAATTAAAAATTCAGCTCCTCAGTCATGCCAGCCACCTTCCCGTGCTCCGTAGCCACTTGGGGTCTACTGCACTGGGCAGTGCGGGCAGAGAACTGCAAAAAAAAAAAAAAAAAAAAAGAAAAAGAAAGTCTGTTGGTCAGTTCTGTTATATACCTTGGTCAAGATCACAAACTCCAGCTCCCTGTGCCTTGGTGAGAGCATGGAAGTGTCTGCCCCCGGTGACAGTACCCAGCCTTGGGGAGTGGAAGAATGAGCTCAGTTCCACTTAGATGAAGAACCCAATGAAGAATGTTGGCATGAGACAGGATTTGCGAGACAGGGAGGAGTCAGTGGAGGGATTAGGAAACGCCTGAACTGTTCTGTGCTTTGGGACCTGGTTTCCCCTGTCACCCACGCAAACCGAGCTAGTCATGGGAACTGTGACAGGAACAGGGCTGCTCTGAGCCCGGGGCCTCTGGGACCGCTGGCAGGTGGGACAGAGGTGAGCCATATGGGCTCATTTTGCAAAAGTGAAAGTTGTGACGTAGCCTGGACAGGGAGCAGCGGAGGCTTCCTGGAAACAGGTGACAGCAGCCACCATGCTGGGGGAAAGTCGCTTCCTTGGGCCTTGAGGGAAAGCTCATGTCTGAGGCTTGAGCTCGAGTGTGGCAGGACAGTCGGAGGGACTCGGCCAGGAGCCTCCTCTGCACACTCAGCACATGGGCTCCCCTCAGGCCTGCTGGCGACGGGGCCGTGCGAATGGGGACAGGAGCACTCAGAGGCGGATGGCAAAAGCGTGTCATCTTACCTGCTTTCTGGAAGCCAGCTGCACGGGGGTCACCTTTCTCTCCTGGATTTCCTTCCAGGTGCAGCTGCCGGGGACGACACCGAGGATGCGAGCACGGAATTCACCGACAGTATCGAAGAGGAGGCTGCGCATAACAGCCACCAGCACGTAAGTCTCAGCTTCTGGGGGCCCCGGGCGGCGGCTCACCGTCCTTCGGGGTCTGGTGAGCTCCTGCAGCCCTTGTGGCCCTAGAGCGAGCAGGTGCCTTCTTGTGTCACCCCGTCACCGGTCTTCTTCCCATTCTCCCTGAGCTTCTGTCACTTCGCCTGCCCCTGCCCTCAGTCCGCCTGTCTCCAGCCTACCCACTGGTCGTGCTCCTGTCTCTCACCCCTGCTCCCTGCCCCCTCGCCCCATCTCTGCTCCTGTGTATCCTCTGTAGCCGTAACTTCAGAAGAATGTTTACTTACAACACGACCAGGGACGCTTCCCCTCTTGGCTGTTGTAACAGAGACACAGCACGGAAGACAGGGAGCCCTCGAAGGCCTGCTGGGCAGTGGGGGGGCCCAGGGGCCCACCCCCCTTGGGAGAGTGCTCCCCGAGAACCTCCAAGAGCATAGGCGTGCGGCAGTGGCAGGGTTCCTCCTTGGGGAGATCTCACCACACAAGGGAGAGCTGTGTCGGGCAACTGGACCAACTGCCCAGGCTGTGGCCCAGCAGTGACCAGCAGGTGACACGTCCAAGAGCAAGTCCCCGCCAAGTCTGAGAACTTGGCCCCAAGGCTCAAACACTGTCCCCACCAACTGTCAGTGAAGTTCTAACCAGCGTGTTCTCAAGCCCAAGAGTTGGAAGCTCTGGACCTCAGAGGTCAAGTCACTGAGAGCAACCCCTGACGTTCATTGCGACTCCCATCCGTGTGCGCCTCTCCTGAGCCCGCCGCACCGTGACTCTGAGCTCTGGTGGAGAGTGTGGACTGACCCTGTAGAAGCAGCTGGGATTTTCCAGCAAGAGCTTCCTTGCACTGTTAGGAAATCTGGGTCTGCCTCCATATTTCCTGCAGAAGAAAAAGAGGAGACAGCTACTGCACCCACAGAAACAGCCCACATGAGCAGTCCCCAAATCTCGCAAGATGTGGCACAGTCTTTGCTCTGGAGGACACCTGTCGTTGTCAGGATCAGCTCCTTTCCTCAGCGTGGTTTCTTTTTCTTCTCCCAAGACCCCCTCTTTGCTGTGCTAACCCTACCTACCCCGTGCTGCTCCCCGAGTTCCTGCATGAGCTGCCTCTCTGTTTGTTCGGTCTGCTCCTTCTGAGTCCTCCTAGCCGTGCTTATGACTTTAATGGTGGACACCACCGGCCCAACGGTCAGATCCCTCTACTTCTCACTCCCTGGTTTCACTGAGCATCTTGAGTAAGAGAGAGGGATCCACAGGAGGAGCAAATGGCCACTCTAAGACTGAGCTAGACTGGGGTGTCAGCAGGTCACTGGTGGCTGTTACTGCTGTGAGACACAGTTAACTTCAGAACAAATGACATGGGTCACATACGAAGGCCAGAGTGCGATGGGCAGGGTCTAACCCTCCCTGGTGGTGCAGCCCATATCCTGTTCTTCTCAGTTGTAGGCTCACTGGTCTGTAAAGCCATTTCTCCCTCAACCTTCTCTCTTATAGCCTAGTGTGGAGATGACAACCTGACCACATTTTGAGGTCAGTTTTCAACACTGGATGAAAACAACATCGGGGCACTTGTATACTCCTTGCGATGCCCTTTTCCTTGGCATACTAGGTTCTTAGCAATTCTCAGTTAACAAATCTTTGGATCAGGGCTTGACTCCTGATAGACAAGATATATATCTGTTGGATGAAGGCTCTTGGGTAAGCATCATTTCTCCTGTCCTGGACCTTCTTCTGCCTGGGGTAGGAGGTATGTGAACTCATTGTGAATTTACTTCAACTCTTTTGGAGTTTGAAGGTGTGACTCTCCTGCTACCCATCAAATAAAACTCATTTTTGCCATAAATGTTTTGTGTCCAGATTCTCAAAAATGCGTTTGCTTGTTTGCATAGAATGGTCCCTTAAGATGAGACTCTGTGCCCCTCCTCGTCATGTCCTCACAGACTTCATTCTCGAGACCAAGCTCCCTCCTGCCTCCAGCATGCACACACACCCCCAGCACACACATCTGGCTCCTTCCAAGGAAGAACCACCATTTGGCCAATGCAAGTTGTTTTGTCCTTACTCGTGTACTCACCCTTATCAGGAAATCTCAGGTCTGCCCATAACAGTCGTTTTCCTCAGGCGTCTCCCCTAAATTCCATTGTGAAGCAGCCTAAGATCTATGAATGACCCCTAAGAAATTCATGTGAAAGGAACAAGAACATCACCTGGGCTTTTACAATGGAGAAAAATTAATAAAGGGTCAAGTTCAAAGAAGGAGGAAAAAGTCAGGAGGCTTAGGGAGCCGAATTTGAGAAAAGATCAGCTTTAATGCCTCTAACTCTATGAGAGCATAGCGCTGTGAAAGCTGCAAAGTGACAGGGTGAAAAACAACTCCATGCATTCAAGAGGTCAGGTCAGCACGTAGACCTCGGCGGGCAAACAGGAATCCAGCACACAAATGCCAAATGATAGCATGGAAGCAAAAAAACAGAAGCATTAAGAAACGTGAAAAAATACCTTTAAGAAATGTCATTAACAATAACCCTAAAGAATTCATGTCACCTTTGCTGGAAGCCCAGGGGTTTTATCTGGGAAAGAAGGAGAAATACTCACTTTTCAGAGATGATCAGGACTAATGTAAAAGCCAGATCTTGAGTCACTTCTCATGAATGAACATTTATTGACAAGTTAGCCAAAGTAAATTTCCTTTAAGGGGGAAATGTGAAAACCAAAATTAGCCTGGCCACAAGTGAGGTCTATTTTCTCATTAAAAAGTGGGAAATAAGACCGGATAAACCTCCTGATATGAATATTCCATGGGCCCTATTTTTCCTTTTTAGAGAAACTAGGTGTATTTAAAACAATAGAAGAAGATAGCATCCATTTAAAGAAAGCACTTAAAAAGTAGGTTAATATCATCAAAGTTAGACTTTCTCCTTTAGGCAGGAGAAACCCTGAAGGTTTAGAAGAAATTACTGTGCCCATATTCACAGCTGATGGGAACATTTCATTAGTTCAGTTGGGAAGAGTCTATATAGAAGCACAATGTCACACAGTTTAGGTGGAGAGTGAGTCAAAACTTTCAAAGGTGGCTTTCTCCACCTCCTCTTCCCTTATTTTGTCCCACGTGCTGGGTGGCACAGGCAGAGCCAGCCACGGGCCTCATGGAGCCTGGCGGTGGAGCCCTCTAGGGCAGACACTCCCAGGAACCTCCCCGAGCCAGGCTCACAGCCCCAGTTGGAACTGGATTCCTAGGGGATGAGCAAAGTGTCCGAGGAGCTTTCTTCTTTGACAAGGACTTGCTTCTCCTCAGCCTCAGTGGCTGTGCCACTAAGCTCGGGGCATGTGAGCCTGCCCCACCCCCTACTCGCAGCCTAGGTCTGCCATGCTAGGAGGCCAAAGGCAGTCACTGGCCACAGTGACCGCACCAAGTCAAGCAGCTCTATCGTTCACCGATCGATGTAGGCTGCTCTGGGCCTGTTGCGTTAACATAATTGTGACCTGAATGAAGGTATAAAGCATATAATTAATTCTGCACCACAAATCATCTCTAATCAAGTGGCCACTCCATGGCAGTGAGACACATTGGGTATTTTAATGACTTTGATGACATAGGAAATGATTCTGTAGAACCAAAATGAATTCATGAGTGACGAGCACAAATCAGATGATTTATAAAAATGGAGCAGTGTGACCCGCAGATAGCCATCCGGGACAGGTGGGCTATTGGGAGGTCAAAACTGACCTGGAGTTAAGTGAAGCCCCCAAACTCTGCCACCGAGCGGGAGAGGAAGCCAAGATGACATGAGAGTGTACTGGGGCAGGTGGGCAAGAAATCCTGGAGTAAATAGACATACACCGAGCAGATTATTCTCAGGTTTCAGTCTTACACTTCCAAGAGCCAGGGGAAGAGCGGAGACCGAGATGAGCCATCCAAAGCCCGAAAGTTCAAACGAAGTTCTCATTTGGGGAAAAATGACATGATCTGCAGTAGTTGCAGCATTGAGGAGTAATTTCAAGAATATCCTCAAAAAAAAGAAAGAAAGGTGTTGGGAAATTTCTGCCCTGCTTTCTTCTCCTGTGCTTAGACTGGCAGGGAGTGTCCACGCTGGCAGTATCAACTCGGGCTAAAAACCAAAAGCGGGGTGGGGGCTGGGTGCTGGGCAGGTGGCCTCCCGTCTGCTCCCTGGTCCTTGCAGGAGCCATGCCTCTGCTGCCGTCGGAGTGAGACTTGCTTTGTCTCACCTCCAGCTGCACCCCTTGCGCTTAGTTGCTGTTTTTTTTTTTGGAGACTGAGCTCCAGCACATCCTCGGGCTTTGGGTGCTGGTGTCTGCAGCCTGTTCTCCTAGGCAAGGACTCAAGTGCTAGGGAAGCTTCTGATTTGTTAGGAGACGGGAACTCTGGCCCCTCAGGAAGAGAGAATCTCAGCGTCCACACGTTGCTGTTGAACCCGCAGTTGTCAGTGTGTACTTTTCATTTGTTATGTGCCTGTGGTTCTGTGCCCGCCCCGCCCCACCCAGCCTTCCCTTCCTGCCTCTGAGGGCAGTTCTCCCTGCCCTGCGGTGCGTCCTCCTGGCCCAAGCCAGCCTCAGGGGTCCTCGTGGCTGAGAAAGTCTTGGGGGAGCTCATTTTGGGTCTACCTTTCTCGTTCCCACTAAATGCTACTTTTGCAGCCTGATGTTTTCTTTACCTTTCTGATGGCCTGACTTTACCTTTCTGATGGCCTGTCATTCTCTTTCAGCTCATCAAGGTGGCTTTGGAGAAAAGCCTGGCAGCCGTGGACACCCAGAACATACTCGCTCCTCCGCCTTCTCCTAGAGGAGGGGACGGCAACAGGGCTCTTCAGGAGGAAATGCTCCGCCTGAGGGCTGAGATCCACCAGCACTTAGAGGCGAGGAGGCAGGCTGAGGGGGAGCTGAAAGAGCTAAAGGCTCAAATCGAGGAAGCCGGCTTCTCCTCCGTGGCCCACATCAGGTAGGACATGCCCAGGGCAGGGCCTGCCTATGAGACGCATGGGCTGTATTGGTCGCTCTGGCATCAGTGGCCTTTTTCAAAGATGCTGATAATGTGGTCAGGGCATATGTTCATTGATTCCTGGGGTCATCATCGTCAGGGCCTGTGTCCAGAAATACAGCTCCTAGCTCATGTCCTGTGTGGGAGACTTGGGGCAGCAGGAGGGTGCTGACCAGGACAGAGTGGCAGGTCTCAGGAAGATGGCCTCGCCTCACAAGAGCCAGGTGAAAGCAGACGGTTACATGAGCTCCTTTGATTGTAGTTCTGATTAGAGTCATCATTCTCCTGTGTTCGCTGTTCCAATTTCTCACCTAGTACTTAAAAAGTGATTGATGACAAATAAGAGAGTTGTAGAAACCACAATAATAAATTTGTCCCAGGCAAGGTCCTTCTTCTTCCTTCTTAACAGTGTAGGTGCCCTTATTTATTCCAGAAGCCACTGAAAATTAGACCGTGAGGCCTGGTGCCCGGGTCCAGGTGGGCCAGGTGTCTGGTCTAGGTGGACTAGGTGCCTGGGTCCAGGTGGGCCGGGTGTCTGGTCCAGGTGGGCCGGGTGCCTGGGTCCAGGTGGGCCGGGTGTCTGGTCCAGGTGAGCTGGGTGTCTGGTTCAGGTGGACTGGGTGCCCGGGTCCAGGTGGGCCAGGTGTCTGGTCTAGGTGGACTGGGTGCCTGGGTCCAGGTGGGCTGGGTGTCTGGCCCAGGTGGGCCGGGTACCCGGGTCCAGGTGGGCCGGGTGTCTGGTCCAGGTGGACTGGGTATCTGGTTCAGGTGGACTGGGTGTCTGTGTCCAAGGTCTCAGCAGTGGCGCTGCCCCTGAGCAGCCGTGGGCACACAGGCAAGTCTCTCCCTCTGAGTCTTGGTTTCTCATCTGTGATGTAAGGGAGGGCTCCTTCTTGGGGCGTCTCTGAGTCTATGGTGGGTTGGGATGTGGGCGACAGAGGCCAAGAGCAGACCGGGCTGTGCGTTTCCTGCAGGAACACGGTGCTGAGCCTGTGCCTTGAGAATGCCGAGCTGAAAGAGCAGATGGGAGAAGCTATGTCTGACGGATGGGAGATGGAGGAAGACAAGGAGAAGGGCGAGGTGGTGTTGGAGACCGTGGGAGCCAAAGGGGATCCGAATGAGAACTGCCTTCAGGCTGAGTTCAGAAAGCTCCAGAGAAAACTGAAAACCGCCCACAGCATCATCAACCTCCTCAAAGAACAGCTGGTGCTGAGCAGCCAGGAGGGGAAGAGCAAGCTCACGCCCGACCTCCTGGCGCCCCTGGCCCAGGAGATCGACAGGATGAACACGGTGCTGGCGGGCTCCCCGGAGGGGGCCCAGCGCCGAGCAGAGGAGGCTGTGGCTGTGAGACCCTGCCGCAGACCCCAGAGCCTGGACCTCGGGGCGGCCCTGCCCGTGGACGCCCAGCGAGTAAGTGTGGGGTCAGGCGGCGTGAGAGCCCCGTGAAGACGGGTTCTCCTCCTGGGCCAGGGGGAGCTGCGAGCGGCGTAAATAGCCTCCTGCCCGCACCCCGCCTGGGGGAGGCTTGTACTGCGTCATCTCATGGGTGTCTCTTGAGTGATGAGTTTTACATAAATCTTTCTTGAGTGCTTAGGTTTCCAGATAACATCTCAGGGTGGGAGACCTGGTCTCTTCCCTTCAGGGGCTCCCTATGGGGGGCGGGAGGGAGGCACAGAGACAGATGGTTTCCCCGGGATGCAGTGCCCGGAGGCCTGGCGCTTTCAGGCGGCCCAGAGAGTGGTGGGCAATGACCTGCCCCCCTTGTCACCGCTGTTTTCCTCACAGCTCAGCCCAGGGGTCTCTTCCTGGGCCTCAGTGGGGTGTCAGCATCCTCTTCAGGAAGGGGCTTTGCTGAGGATTGAGTAGAGTGGAGAGTGCAGAGGTCCCTGGGAGAGGCCATGCAGGCAGGGGTGCAGGCACACGAGGGTTGGCTTCACCTTTTCGACTGTGGGGCAACCTCCCCGGGGTCCCTGAGGGGGCTGGAGGGGTGCTGTCGTTCTGGCCTGTGGGTTCAGCCGCAGTAAACCCGAGCCCCGCGCTGCAGGAGCTGTCTGGGTAGCCAGGAACTGCCCAGTGGCACGAGGGGCGCGGTGAACAGCCAGGGGAGGGACGTGGGGTGGGGGGTTGTGGCCATCACTGGGAGATGCGTGACCTCGCGCTGCCCCTGGGCCGGCTCCTTTCACAGCTGGACAACCGGCCCCAGGCCCATGACCCTGGACCTCCGTCCGAATGTGGCCTCCCGGGGTCCACCAAGCACCTGCGGTCCCAGCTGGCACAGTGCAAACAGCGCTACCAGGATCTCCAGGAGAAGCTGCTGATATCCGAAGCCACTGTCTTCGCCCAGGCCAACCAGCTGGAGAAATACAGAGTCATGTTCGGTATGTCGCACACCCCCACCCCAAGTGTCCATCTGCTCCCCAAGAGGCCACGTGCCTTGCACGCTTCGCTCTTCTTGCCCAGCCTCAAAACAGGTTTAATCCTGACACACTCCTGGGATTGTGCAAGGTGACTTTCAGCTTCAGTTTGCAGTCGGCAGAGAGGAATAAAGGGAGAAAGCGCTGGCTAGTAGCTACCTTACAGGGCAGAACAGATCTGCAGGCCTTGGGACTCTAAAGTAGGTCAGTTGCATTCAAACATGGCCTCACTGTGGCTTCTGGAGACAATAATATGCAACACCCAACCGACAGCAGCCTGGTGCTACCCGAGCTCAGGTTCTCTGGAGCAGGGGCTGGCGGTGGCAAAGGCCAGCACATCCTGTGGAGGGAGGTGCTGAGACCGGATCTGACACCCCTGCTGGCTGCTCAGAGCCAGGCCTGTGCCGCCAAGGCCTAGGGCGTGTGTGGGAAATTCAGCATCTCTGCAGCGCCTTCTGTCTCTCTTCCAGCTGGTGAATCCCTGGTGAAGCAAGACAGCAAGCAGGTCCAAGTGGACCTCCAGGACCTGGGTTATGAGACGTGTGGCCGCAGCGAGAACGAGGCTGAGCGGGAGGAGACCACCAGCCCCGGTGAGAGCTGGGGCCCAGGCTCCCCTTCCCTCCCGAGAGCGGCTCCCATGTGTGGGTGCTGTCCCCCATCCCAGCCCCAAGGCCAGTGAGAGGAGGGGCGAGGGGCTGTGGTAGATGGAAGAGGCCCTGGGGCTGCCAAGGGAGAGAGCATTTGCAGAACTCTTGCCCAACACGAGGCTGAGTGTGAGTTTGAATTTCTGCAGTTAGTTCTCACCAACTGTTGTTCACTTTGAGGATGTCCTATCCCATTAATTTTTCCTTAAGATTTATTTATGCATATAAGAGCTGGGGTACAGCCCAGAAGTGCGGGGGGTGAGAGGATTCACCAGAGACAGAGTGGGGAGCACAACAGGCAGACTGATTGAAATACACTGCTGAGGGGAGCAGCGGGCGCGGCAGGTGAGGTCTGCTGCGCCATGTGGGTAGCTCCCTGGCTGGGAATTGAACTCACACTGCAGTGGCTGCAGATAGCTTCACAGGTTGCGTCTTAACCCCTTGAGCCACCAGGGAGGCCCTCCCATTAATTATTATACAGAAAAAAAACAATGAGCATTAGAGAATATGCCAGCCAGACGTTGAAAGCAGTTTCTCCCATTATGAAAGGGTGATGGCTGTAGGGACATTGAGCGAACTGAAATTGAAAAAGAGAAAAACACTCAGTAAAATAGAAGCTTCCACAGCTGGCTTGCAGGGGCAAGAATAGAAAATACAGTAGTGGCCAGTACCGCACCGGGGCCAACGAGTGCGTTTCCACTTTTGCCTGGTGACTGCTGTCCTCGTGCCCAGACCTGCCCGCCTGTGCCGGGAGTGGCCACAGCGTGCCCTGCTCAGGGAGATGTCCTGGTGCTTTTTTACAGAGTGCGAAGAGCACGACAGCCTCGGGGACTCCTTCCTGATGGATGGGCTGTGCGCTCAGCCGGGGCGCCTGGACACCACCCTGGCCAGCCCCCCTGGGAGGACGTCCTTGGAGAGCCAGCTGGGGAAGCGGGAGGAGCTCCAGGCGTATGGGAAGTCAGAAGATGTCTCTGTCCTGCATAAGCACATCAGAGACCTGAAGACCCAGCTGCAGAATGCCAACAAGGTCATCCAGAACCTCAAGAGCCGGGTCCGGTCCCTCTCCGTGACAAGTGATTACTCCTCTAGTCTGGAGAGACCCCGAAAGCTGAAGGCCGTTGGCCCCCTCGAGGGATCTTCGCCCCACAGTGTCACTGACGAGGATGAGGGGTGGCTGTCGGACGGCACTGGGGCTTTCTACCCCCCGGGGCTTCAGGCTAAAAAGGATCTGGACAGTCTGATCCAGAGAGTGTCCCAGCTGGAGGCCCAGCTCCCGAAAACTGGGCTGGAGGGGAAGCTGGCCGAGGAGCTGAGATCCGCCTCCTGGCCTGGGTAAGGGCGGCACGGAGTTGGTGGGGCCGTGCCTGGCTGTACTACCGGGGTCTGAGTGTGTGCGGAAGTGGCGGCCTGGCAGACGGGAGGGAGGCCTGGCAGGGCAGTCAGAGGGCAGGTCTGAAGAAAGGCTAGGCGGACCCAGTGGACACGCCAGGCGCCTGGGGTCTTCTCTTGGAAACATAGTCATAAAGTGACGAAATAGGGTCTAGCAGTGGGACGGGAGCCGGGCGGCTGGGGCTTGGCTCCCAGCTCTGGCACTTGCTTGCTTGTAGCCCACCTTGCTTTTCTGAGCCTGTTAAACGAGGCTAAGAGAGCCTCGTAAAGGGTGGTTATTAGCTTTAAATGAATTCACACGCGTGCTTATAACTATGCCTGACGTACTAAGCCCTCAGACCCGGGAGTTAGCCATGATCAGGGTTTGGATGGATGCTCTGTGCTGAAAGACACCGGGCAGACACCCTGCTCGGTACCTGCCCTGTTACCTGTGCCGAGCAGCAAACCCTCTCAAGGTGTGGTGGCCTCAAAGAATACTTCCTGTGGACTGACTGGGCTCAGCTGGGTGACTCTTATTGGGGGCGAGTCTTCCATGGGGCTGCTGTCCATGGGAGTGGGGACTGGTCACCTGCAGGATCTGTGTGGGGCCTTGTGTTCCAGGGCCTCCCATGGACTGGCGGCTTCAGGGAAGTGTCACTTCCACTCCATGATCTTGGTCAACGTGGCCACAGACTCCTTCCAGACTTAAGGGGGTGGAGAACATCACCTCCTCCCGTAGAGAGAGCAGAGCCGGCTGCACGGGCCTTGTTCCCTGTGTTGACTGTCTTCACACGGTCCAGTCTGCTGTAGGCACGTGGTCTCTGAACTAGGAGACAGGAGGGAACCTGCCCTGATTTAAGATTAACACCAGGATTAAGCGGTTCTGCTCGATTTATTTATTTTTTAATATTTTATATAATTCTTATATCATTTTCATTTTTGCACAATGTATGCATTTTCATTTTGGTTATATTCCCCATACAAATGCACCCCCCTTATTTGACTCTAGTCCTTCCTCTCCCTAACCCCCATCCCCCCTCGTAGTGTGTCTCTGGTTTATAGTTGCTTATTGATTTTGATTTTTACTTTTTTATCATTAGTCTTTTCCCTGGTCCCTTATTTAGGTTTTCTAGATTCCTGCTATGAGTGAGACCATCCGGCATTTTTCTTTTTCTTTCTGGCTTATTTTGCTGAGCATGATCCCTTCCAGCGCCATCCATGTTGCTGCAAATTGCATGAGTTTATCTTTTTTGATGGCTGAGTAATATTCCATGGTGTATATGGACCACATCTTTGTGATCCAGCCATCTATTTTTGGGCATTTGGGTTGTTCCCATAGCTTAGCTATTGTAAACAGTGCTTCTGCTCAATTGATTTGCAGCGCCCGTCGCGAGCCCACTGCGAGCCCACGCTCTACGGGTGCCGTGAGGACGTGTAACCTGGTGTTCACCACCCCAGGAAATGCAGCGTTCACTTTTGGGCCTATGGGTAGCACAGGGAACAAGGCCCGTGCAGCGGGCTCTGCTCTCTCAACAGGAGGGGCAGCTGTTCTCCACCCCCTTAAATCTGGAAGGAGTCTGTGGCCACTTGGACCAAGATCATGGAGTGGAGAACATAGCAGTGGGAGAAGAGCGGCCCGCTACACTGTTTGACACAATAGTTTCTCTGGGCAGAATTTACACTTCGATATCTCTTTCGAGGGGCCTCAGCCAGAGGGGGCACTTGGGAAGTCCGAAGACGTCTCTGGAAGGCGCTCACAGAAATGCCTCCCGAAGCCACCGTCACTTCTCACTTACCCTTTCCTCCCTCTTCGTCTTCTTTCCTGCATTAGGAAATATGATTCCCTGATTCAGGATCAGGCCCGAGAACTATCCTACCTGCGCCAGAAAATACGAGAAGGGAGAGGTATCTGCTATCTTCTCACCCAGCATGCAAAGGACACGGTGAAATCTTTCGAGGATCTCCTCAGGAGCAACGACATCGACTACTACCTGGGGCAGAGCTTCCGGGAGCAGCTCGCCCAGGGGGGCCGGCTGACCGAGAGGCTCACCTGCAAGCTCAGCACCAGTAAGTCATCCGGGGCGCGGGAACCCTCTCTTTCACAGCCCCACCCAGGGGCCCGCTACACCTCCCCGGGAGCTCTTGAACCCAGAGTCCTGCACCCACTTCCTCTCCTGGGGACCATTAGAGAATTAGAACCCACCGTGCAGCGTGCCGCAAGGACACAGGGTCGGAGATGCCGTCTTTACAGCTGTAGACACTTTGGCATCGTGGGATGGACGTTTAGGGAAGGAGCTGCGCCACTCGGTGCCAGGGAGAAAAGGAAGGAGACCGAAGGCTCCATCTAGTGAAAAGAGCCCAAAGAAGTATGAGGCCAGGCTCCAGCTTCCGGCTAGTGACTTGCCCTGTCTTCCCTTCACTGCCTGCACAGTTTCTTCTGTGAAGGTGCTTCACACCGTGTATAGAGCACCGCACCCTGTGGGGCCTGGTTTAGCACCGGATGTTGTGGTACCAGGCACTTCATGGTATCAGAACCCTTTACTTAGACTCTCCTGCGAGCCCCTGGGGTGTACAGCAGGTCAGTCTGAAGCCAGCCACCCCGTGTCCTGGAGGCAGAGGTGGGGCAGGGCTGTTGGCAGGAGCAGGTCCCACACGACAGCTATGATGGGACACGTGGCCACACACCTGGAAGTCCGTCTTTGCAGGCTGGGAGGCGTGAATATTCCAGAGGGAAGCTGGCAAGCACCGTCTAAACATCTGATTTAGGGCAGAGGAAGTCGTGATGGCGACTCCATCCTACCCCGGTCGGGGAAGGTCTGTCCAGCGCTCAGGAAAGCCTCCTGGTCTCCCCTAAGCACACGGCGGCGGACCCGGGCAGGATGCTCCTGCGTGTCCTGACGGAGGCATCTCTAGTCTGTCTTTGAAGCGGACCCTATTGCTTCTCGGCCTTTTGGCTAAGATCAAGTGAAGCAGAACCTGCATTTGTGACGTGTGGCCTGGACCCTGTTAAATCTCTTATGTTTCTTTCTGACTTTGTTTTCAGAGGATCATAAAAGTGAAAAAGATCGAGCTGAACTTGAACCGCTGGCCCTCAGGTAATTCAAACTAGAATCTGGTAAAGGAATCAGGGGAGAAGCCCAGGGGGCTAAGGGAAGCCGGGGGCAGCTTCACCAGTGGGGCTGGTGGGGGGGGGTGCTCATTGTACTGGACTCATTTACTCCTGGAACACCTACTCTTGTTTTCACTTAATTCTTTACTCTCCTTTGCTGTAATCCTGTTGACTTCTGCTCTCCTAGTTATCTCCAGGCTCAGCCACCCAGTCATTCTGACTAACACTGACCTGAGTTTCAGGGGCCCTCGTGCCTTCGAGGGCTCTGCTTTCCTCTGTACCTGGAAAGACCAAGCTGACTTATCCCGAGGGGAGTCGGCAGCTGGTGTAATAGTCACCCTCTTGCCTTGGGGGAAGTGAAACATATTACAGGACCCTGTGAAAGCCCCCCTGGGAGCTGCACTGCCTCGAAATCAGCGTTCAAGGAGGCAGCGCATGCGCCTGACAGTGCACAGCAAGCTGCAGGCTGGGAGTCCACAGAGCCCTCGCCGGGGCCTCTTTGTGTCCTGTGCGCTTCGGACCCTAGAGTGCTTCTCAGATGCTGGTGGAGAGGGAAGGCGTTTTGTTGTTTGCACCTGCACCCGCCCTGGCACCTGCGTGGGCTGGGCCTCGGCATCACAGGGCGTAGAGGTGGCGCCTGGACGCCCTGTGGCCCCTGGGGCTTCCCTCCAGCATCTGTACCTGTCTCGTTGAAGCCGGTTCCGAAAGCTCTCCGAATGTAGCTGTGCTGGGAGCAGGCTTTAAGCAGCAAGCCTCAGAGGCCCAGCGAGTCCTCCTAGTCCTCAGTGGTGTGGCCACTGTGCCAGGCAGCTCCGGCACACCCCTCTGGGCCCCACCGAGTGTCCACCCCGCCAGCTGTGAGGCACCTTTACTCTCTGCAGGAATGGCCCCCTCGACTTAGTGGCTCTCCCCATGCCATGCACCTTACAGGCTGGTCAGTGACCTTGCTCTGCTCCATGTCCTCCCCCGCCCCAGGCTCAGCCGGGAGCTGCAGGAGAAGGAGAAGGTGATCGAAGTTCTGCAGGCCAAGCTGGACGCCCGCTCCCTCACGCCCTCCAGCAGCCGTGCCCTGTCTGACTCCCCCCGCTGCCCGAGCAGCTCCTCCTTCCTGTCCGATGAGCTGGAGGCCTGCTCCGACATGGAGATCGCCAGCGAGTGCACGCACTACGAAGAGAAGAAAGCCTCACCTGGATGCTCAGGTAAGCCCCGTTTTCTGAGCCGTAGCACTTTATCGAGGCTGAGCGCTCCCCAGTGAAGAGGCCTTTGGAGCTACCGTGGAGTGCATCAGGCTGAACAGAGCCCTGGGGACCTAAGTGTCAAGCCCAGGCCCCATGGGTTTGGGCTCTCTGCAGCCCCTGACTCTGCAGGCGGCCTGCCACTCTGACCTCCACTGCCCACACATATGTGGGCCCACGGTGAGCCACAGTGGGGAGACAGCAGCCTTCCCTCCCCGCGCCTCGTGGCACAGCCTGTGTCTGGCTGACCCTCTTCAGTCAGAAGGGACGCTTCTCCCTCCTGCAGTGCTCTTGCTAGCTGCTTTCTGGTCAGGTCCCCTGGGGAGCTGTGGGTGTCCACCGAGGCTGCTGTCCTGCCTGGCGTGGCTCGTGGTCGACGGCCTGAACCTGCTGCCCCTCTGCGGTGGCCTCAGCCTAGGGCAGCGCCCAGTGCTGGGCTTGGTGCTCGCCCTGAAAGCAGAGTTCCACGCTGGACCCTGCCCCCCGCTTGGCTCCAGGGCCGGACCCACTTCCCTGTAGAGCACCCAACATTTTCTTTCATTCATGGGTTTTGTAGATTCCATCCATCCCTCGTGCCGTTCTGCCGTCCCGTCTCCTACACCAGCAGCCACCAGTGCCTCTCAGGGGGTTAAGGCCGAGCCCCGCAGCAACCCCACCAGCCTGCCAGCTCCCCAGAACCCCCCCCAGGAGGCCAGCCGGGCCCATCCAGGTATGCTGCAGCCAGCGGCGGGCTCCACCCCCTCTTCCACCTGTCTCCACTGCCACGGTCTAGCACATCCAGTCCTGGGCCAACCCAAGAGCCATCTTAAACCTTAGTTGTGTCTGCCTCCCCGTTGTGTGCTATTTTTGAAAGATAAGTGACCCGCAGTAGACTTTGGTCTGCCTGCCAATTGGCCTGGCAGTTGGCTAATCATTTATAAGCACATGTTTTAATTCCTTTCTCTCAATTCACCCCGGGGGAGCAAAGAGGCGAACTGCTTCTCCTAGGATTATGGGAGCCAGAGAGCAAAAGGAAATTCACCTCTGCCACCCCCCATTCTTGTTCCCTTTTTATCTGCTGTGAGCCTCTGCAGCGTGGGGGGCACGGCACCCCTAAGGGTGCTTCTCTCTACTCAGGCAGGACTGTCTCCACGTTAGGTCACCACCCACACATGACTGATGGGCGCAGCCATTGCCACGTCCATGGCGCACATCCTGGGATCAGCCAGGAAGATGCAGGCCACTCTCGGCCTCGGGGTACTTGCTGGGTGGGCGGCTTCCCCAAGGAGCATCCCCTAAGTGGTGGCCGAGGTCAGCGCTTCCCTTCTGCTGCCTCTGTCTGTCCTGAGAAGTCGGCCAAAATCTTAAGGAAGTGACCCCACGCCTCCTGAGGCTGGACTCAGTTTCTGGGCCAGAGTGGACAAGAAATCACGGGGGACTATTCACCCAGCTCCGAGGGCATCTGCATAAATGCTTTGGGGTTTCACAGAGCAGAAGGCCAAGGCCCTTGGAATCAGGACGCCTCCCTGAGGGGTGTCTGGGCGGCATCACTGGCAATTCCTATGTCTTCGTGGTGCTGCTCTGACCCCAAGTCAGTCTCCCGGGCGAGGAAGAGGTTGAGAATGTAGCCGTGACCTCCCAGGGCAGACATTCCACGGTCAGTCTCTGTTTCTGCCTGGCCAGGGGCTATCTGCCTGCTAGTGTCCTTGGGAAACAGGACAGACTCCACCAGGGACCTCCCTGAAGGCCTGTCTGTAGGGGGGTGCATCGTGAGCGCCCTGACCATTTTTCAGTGCACATTTCCAAGCTCTGCAGCTCAGGAGGGCCCGAAGGACCTGCTGTGCTAAGCAGGTTTGTAACCCACTGTGCCTGATCACTGTGGTGAGGCCTCTCTTTTCATCTGGGGAAGGAACACATTGACCTGGGATTCCCAAGTTTGTCCCCATCAGCCTTGAAGTGACACGTGATTAAAGCAGACTTCCCGAGTCCTAGTCCACTCTGCCCTCGTCAAGGCAGGTTCCGACGCTTTCCCAAGAAGATTCCAGGAGTAGGTGGTCTGGTCACAGGGGCGGGGCTGGGATCTGCTGGGGCCAGGGAGCCTGCAGGCACAGCCGTCCTGTCCTGTCCGTGCCTGGCAGGCCTGAGACAGGCTCTGACGGCGGCCTGGGTCACAGCAAGGCCACCTTGCCCCCCTCACACAGACTGTGTACACATCACCCTGCACACAAGCAGGGCTCAGCCAGGCCAGCCCCAGCACTGTCCACCATTAGCCATCTCGGCCAGCACCCCCTGAGTAGAGACTACTCCCCAGGAATCATTTGCTCAGGGGAGTTTCACCTCCTCGACCCTTGGCCTCTTCCTCTCTCTGCCTCTAATGTCGTGTCTCCTCTTTCCCTGACTCTGTTTCTAGGCCTCCATTTCCCCTCCACACCCAGGCTGGTCGGCCTCCCACAGGCACCACCGCCACCGCCCTCAGCTCCGCCCAGTTTCCTGCCTTTCAGGCCCGCAGGCCCTCCCCTCCCGGGCTGCTGTGAGACCCCCGTGGTCTCCTTGGCGGCGGCTCAGCAGGAGCTGCAGATGCTGCAGAAGCAGTTGGGAGAAAGTGAGCACCCGCCACGTCTGTGTGCTGGGCGGCGGCCCGCCCTGCCGCCCTGCATGGCTTTGGCTTCAGGGCGCTTTCAGAGGCACTATGGGGTGCCACGGGGTGCACGTTACCAGTGGCCCTCTGGGGCGCGGGGGGCGGGCCCTGCCGGCTGTGTTTGGAAATGTGCTTACTGCTTTCCTGCGTGTCTGTCTCATCAGTTAACAGGTGTGTCCCTTCACGAGGCCTGAGACCTGGCGCTGCCCCACTGCCCACACGCGGGTGCCCCCGTGCCCAGGCCCTGGCACAGCCCGCCATGCGGCGTGGTGTGGCCATGAGACAGGGCCACATTCAGTGGTTCCTTCCATGCCTGCCCCAGCCTGCTGCTGGGAGTTTTTAATCAACTTCCAATCCTGACATCACCGCGTTGAGAGGAAAAAGGGTGGTGCTAGAGGGGTTCAGAAAAGGGGTGACAGCTGCTGCCATGCGGGCGGCTAGGACCGGAAGATGGACTGTGATGTCTGCTGGGGATTCCGTCCTCCGACTCCAGAGACCTCTGATCTTAGCCCCGGAATCTAAGAACCCACAAACCACGCACTGTCGTCTTAGAGAAGGGCTGGGAATAGTATGAGCCGGATGCCTCCTCTTAGGAATTTTTATGTTTGTGGCCGCTTAGAGCTTGGGAAAAGCTCACATGATGAATTTGCCCTATAGAGCGGTACTTTTAAAAAATTGACAGCTCAAAAGCAGGTTGAGAGGAACTTAGGCCGCATTCGATGCCTGCAAAGTAGCTCTGGGGACCCGGAGGCTGACGAAGGTCCCCGTGCATAGGGAAGCCCAGGTCTCCAGTGTCACTAGGACCAGCTTATTTCTTTTGTCAACCTGCAAACACATAGTGTCTACTCAGCCTCCACTTTGGTTTCTAGAACCAACTAGATTAAAAACCAACTAGATTAAAACTATTTTGGGGAGAGTCTGTCCATCTTCCTTTCTGCCGACAGGGAAGGCTAAGAGGCTGCCCTCTGCTACCCACTGTACGGCAGAGAGGCCCACCTGCCAGCGGGAGCCCGGTCTCACTGGGGCCTCGTCAACCCTGCGTGGCAGGCAGTGGCAGGGACCATGGCTCAGGGAACTAAGGCGACCTTTTCAAGGCTCCTAGTCAGTCGGCAGGAGACACGGGCTTGGATCCTGGTCTGCTGATGGCAGGCCCACGTTTCCATCACACCGTTCCACCTGGGATGGCTTTGGTACCATCCTGTTTGGGTCATGGAGCTGAACTCAGCCTCTTACCACAACCTTTTCTCTCTTTGGAGACCAATGGAAGGTGCCAATGTCTCTGACCTTGAACTTCTTACTTTAGCGGTTCTGAAATGAACAACCCATGGCTAACAAACTTGTCCCATGCCAAAATGCCAAGTATCCCCGAGCTCCCTTTGCTTTGCCTCCTTTTCCTGTGTCTCCCCACCTTTGTCACAGCGTCTTTGTGGTAAGGGGCGGGGGAAGGAGAATGCTGTGCATGAAAAAGCCTCTGTTGATGTGGGTTGAATGGGATGCATATTCGCTCTGAGACTTTGACCCTTGTTGGGGTGGCCCCAGCCTTGGTGAGAAATCTTCTCTCCCCACCCCCTGAAGCTCATTCCTCTCTAAGAACCGGTGTTTACCTGCTTCCTTGATGCTTCCCGCCAGCTCCCAGGGGGCAGTGGGGAACAGCCCCTTCTCAGCCCATGGGGGGGGCTACGTGCTCCTTGGGCAGGAGTCTGCACAGTGGGGGGCGCGTGCTCTATACTGTGGCGGGAGACACGAGACCACGCGTCCCTGTTCCTCATCCACCTGGAAGCCCCCGGGGCTAAAATGAAGCTGCCTGAAGCGCAGATCGCCCCTCTGCCATGTGGTGGGTGTGTGAGAGAAATGGCAAAGCCTGTCTTTATTGACTCTGCTAAATCTTAGACTCTACTGAAATGTAGAGGCCTGAGTTTTTCATGCCCCTCTTTAACTTCCCGTGGTCCTAATGCGTAGGCAGCATTTTGCAAATCGGAGGAGCGATGCGTGACGGTGCTTCTCAATGTGGCTGCCTGCTGGAGTCACCTGAGATGATTTAAAACACCCTGTGCCCAAGCTGTACCCCACACTGATGAAGGCAAAATCCCTGGAGGCCCAAGAATCTTTAGATATTTTTTACATTGTCCTCGGGGACTCTGGTATGTAGCCAGACTTGGAAACCATCAAACCCTCAAGGAGCTTGGCGCGGAGTGAGAAACCATCAGAGTCCCGTTTGCTCAGTGGAGCTACCCTCTCCCGGAGAGGGTAACCCCGGGAGAGAGCAGGCTTCTGAATGTGGATCTCCCCAACCACGGTGTAGGGTAGATGAGTTACAAAGCAGGCTTTTGTACGCCCTCCGCCATTAGCCTCCATGCCCGGCCTGCACACCTGGAACTGTGGCCACCTGGGCCCCGGGGGCCCCTGCCGAGGGGCGGGGTGGGGGTGGATATAAGGGCGGCGTCTCACTGTGGCAGGAAGACAGGGAGAGGGGATAGGCAGGGAAATGCTGAGAAAGCTGGTCTGTCCCTGCTTCAGCAGTAAAGACCTGGAAAATTCCACGAAGCCCCACAATTAGCTTTTCATCTGCAGAACTGATGATGACCCTCCCCGGCCTGGGGTGGCTGCAAACCCATGGCCATGCCCACCCCCTCCCCGAGACAGGGCTTTTTTTTTTACATAGAAGCAGATTGATGGGGCAGAAAGGAGGGCAGTGATTTCACAGGCTCCAGGAAACACTCCAGGGAGGGCGTTCCAGAGTTCTCCAGGCACAAACGACTCCAGCCTATGGTTCTGGAACCACCAGGGCCGAGTCCAGACCCCACTTGCCTCCCATAGACACTCCCTCTGCAAAGCACCGCAGCCTGGGGGATCTGGGGGTGCTGTGGCAAGCTGGACTTCGGGTCTCTGTCCTTTTTTTGTCCCTGGTAGCCCCAAGGGAAAGCCGGCTGGTTGGCCTTGGGATGAAGGCAAGGGCTCGGCAAGGAAACCCCCATTTGTAGGATCTCCTGACCCCTGGCTGCATCCTACTTCTGGAACCTCCAGGGATTGACCATGAGGATTTCAAAGAAGGATTTACCAAAGAAGCCAGGAGGGGGGCCACCGGGCTTTTTCTGAGTACTGGGGCCTTGGGGAGATTTGACCACCCTCTGCCGTGTGGTGTCTCACGCCCGCAGGCGCATGGGAGTGAAAGAGAAGCACATAGATCCTAAGTCTTCCTCCCGACGCCATTGCTGGCATCCCCAGGGTCCCTCAGAGTCTGCCCTGAACTGCCGCCCTCCTCGCTGACCCTTCCCTCTGTTTCTCCCTCACCTTTCCTCTGCGCAGGTGTCAGCTCTGTCCACCCCGCTTCCTCAGCTGCGCTGCCGGGTCACCAGGGAGACGCCAGCTCCCCCCACTACCTCAACCCTGCCCCGCCCCGCTCCCCCAGGGGCGCTGCAGAACTGGGCAGGATGCTGGAGCCGGGGTACCTGGGCGGCGGCCAGTGGGACCTGATGAGGCCTCAGAAAGGGAGCGGATCTGGAGACCTGTCCTCAGGCTCCTCTGTGCACCAGCTCAACGCCAGACCCACAGGTGCGGCGGGGGGCGGCCGAGGCGGACTCAGCGTGGGTCTCCCGCTCTCCCACGCGCAGGGCCTGTCCCCGCCAGCCCGAGTCCCGGCGCGGGGTAAAGCGAAAGGACCACATCGGTGCTCAGTCCTTCCTCATCCTTCTCCCTGGGCGCCGGGCTCTGATGGGGGTGGAGGGGCCAGGCACCCCCTCTGTGCCCCCACATGCGTGTCCTCTCTCCCTGCATCCTGACCCCCACAGCCCACTCCTAGACCCTCCGGAAGACCAGCACAGGCAATCACAGCACATCCCTGAGTCAGCTGTGGTACGGAAAGGGAGGCTGTTTCTGTACAGCTTCCTACCCCTCTGTACACACACACGCACGCACACGCACGCACGCACACGCACACCCTCCCGTGTACAAAACCCAGTTCAAACTTCCCTGCCCTCTTGGTCAGGTCTAAGTGACATAGCCCCGGGGTGGGGAGCCACGCAGGTGGACCCTGGGGCGCGCGTCGGTTCTACGGCAAGGCCATGGTGATTTTCAAAAGCTGCCTTAAGCCCAGAACCAGGTGGTGCGGTCCCTGAGCCCGTGTCCCTAGCTGCTGCCTCCCAGCTCGTCCGCCTCAGACCTGAGGCCCTTGCAGTCGCCTTCCCTCCTCCTGCGCTACCGTGACTGGAGGGGCCGTTCAGTGTCAGGGGGAGCGCCCATGCAGGTGCTCCCTGTGGGGGTGGGAGAGGGACGTGGCCCCTTGTCAAGATATTCCCAGTCATTGGGAAGAGGGTGTTTGGGTGGAGGGGCTTTTCCTGTCACCTAAGTCACACCTGGAAGGCGGCCACACCTTTGTGGCGCAGGCAGGCCCTGTCCACATCTCTCTCCTCCTGCCCCCCCAATGGCTGCAGGGGCCGACCTGCTGGAGGAGCACCTCGGTGAGATCCGGAACCTGCGCCAGCGGCTGGAGGAGTCCATCTGCATCAACGACCGCCTGCGGGAGCAGCTGGAGTACAGACTCAGCTCCACGGCTCGAGCCGGAGGTGGGGGGCCTGGGGCGGCAGGAGTGGGGAGAGGGGCCTGGAGGGGGGGCAGAACAGTACAGGAGACCTGGAGCGGCAGGGGGCCCTGGGGTATAACAGGAGGCTGGGGCTTCGCTCTTTGGCTCATACTTGGGGAGCTTTTGAAAGGAAACTTAGGCAGAACTTCCTCGACTTTCTCCTTAGAAACCACGCAGGAAGGCTAGTAGGACGGTTACCAGGCTCCCCCACCCCCACTTCATGGCTGTATCTGGCTCCGAGTCACTTTCCTCCAAGCAGAACTCACTAGGTCTGGTGCTAAAGTGGCTGGCTCCGGGCTGTCCTGACTACCAACTTCACCATGCCCTGGGGCGTGATGGGCACAGAGGGAGTCAGGCTTCAGGGCCCCCCACATCCTTTTCCCAGGCAGCCTTTCTCCACACTCTCCACCCAGGCTTCTGTCACAGGGATGCCAGCCCTTCCCCACCCCCTGTCCTGCCCACACCACAGCAGGCCATCCAGGGCAAAGGGCCTCTTGAGCACCACAGCCCCGCCTGTGATGAACACCTTCGAGACTCCCCTAGAAGAGGGACCAGCTTCAGCCCAGCAGGCCTTAGGCTCAGGCCTGGGTCCCTGGAGTTCCTGCTGCCTTGGGGGTAGCTCTGGAGACACGGATGGCGACTCTGGAAAGCCTCCGTCACCCGCATGTGTGACTTACCCACTGTGCCTTCTGGGACAGGATCCACCCCTCACTGCTACAGTCAGGGCCCGGAGTCCACGCCTCAGCTCTTCAATGAGAACAGAGTCCTCAGGGAAGAGAATCGTAGCCTCCAGGCTCAGCTGAGCCACGTCTCCAGAGGTGGGTGGTCGAAAGCCACAAACCACGGTCACTTCTGGGTTCTTCTCTCCCTCCGTCACGCTGATGTCCAGTGGGAGGAGCGAGGAGAGGAAGGAGGGAGGCCCCCAACCCAGCGCGCAGGCACCTCCTGGGAAATCCAGCCGTTGCCCCTTAGACTCCCAGGCGGCAGGTTCCTAGACCCTCCTGCCCATCATTCACTCCAGGGCTGAACAGGGACCCCCGTTCTGTACCCCACCACCTGCAAATACCCAGCCACCAGCCACTGGGTTAGTTGTGCATCTGGTGTGGCTTCTACCTGCCTCACTCTCAGCCCATGGGTGCACGAGAGTGTGTGAGTGCTGCAGCGCTTCCGGCGTCTCCACATTGCTGCAGCAGCACGTCCCTCCTGGAACCGCTCCACCGCCCCCATCTCCCCATGCCCCCCACCCTCACACACCAGGGCTCCTCCCTAGTCAGGAACCCTTAGGACTCTGCGTTGGAGGCATCCGCAAAACGTCCTCCAGAGCTTCCCAGCCCCAGCCAGTGGCCCTGGTGAGCATCACTCCCCCTATGGCCGGGGCTGCAGCTAATCGCAGTGTTAATTAGTGCTCATGGACTTGATCGGTATTTATCAGTGAAAAACGATTTTTGTTTCCTAGCACTTAGTGAAGATCCATAAATGGCAGGCAGGGTGTCGAAAGGATTATTAAGCTCCGTGTGGACAAGGAAAAAGGCGTCAAGAACGATTTCTGAGCTAGTCCCCGTAGAACAAGGAGACGTGAGGAGAAAGGCCACTGCCTGGCCACGGTGAAGATGGGCAGAGCCAGTGCCCCAGGAGGCTGAGACAGACCTTGTCAGTGCATGATCAGGGGCCCACAGACTTGCACACTCTAATGTGGTGTGGCCGTCTGTGTGCACAAAGGCGGCTCCCAGTGTAAAAGCTCTAAGTGTGCGCAGACAGGAGAAAGGATGTTCCGAATAAAACACCCCAATTCATCCATCCCCTCGGGGGTAGGTGCCCAGACAAGCACGGCCGGCCTGAAGCGGGCTGCTGTTGTCTGAAAGCTTGCCCACGTCTCAGGCACTTGCTGGTGGGAACCCATAGGAAAGGGGTTCTGAAGCAGGTCCCGGAAAACTGGGGCAAAAGAAGCAAAATCAAAGTACAAATCAAGGCAACAGCTGCCGTTGTCAGCCTCCTGCGGGTCTCTCACCCACGTAGGTCTCCCAGGTGTCTACACGGCTCTCCTCCAAGCCCCCCAAGCCCCTGGTGCAAGTCCAAATCCAGGAAGCAGGCCCCTCCTCCTCACGCGTCTCCCCTCGAGCCCACCTGCCTTCTATGTTACACGCTTCTCCCGGCCCCCAGCTCTGCCCCTCACTGAGAGGGGCTGGGAACACGGGTCCTCCCCCTTTTATGGAAATGCCTGGAGACCACCTCACAGGGGAGAGGACAGCCGGAGACTTGAGTGAGGACAACCTTTGGGGCCCAGGTGATTTCCACCCCGGCTGACAGCTCCCGCGGCCTTCCTTGCAGAGTCCCTGCTCACCTTTGAGAAATTAGCCGCGGCGCAGGTAGGAGCAGATCCCCAACTTGCAGAAAGATGAACACAGTTTACTCTGAAAACTGTAGGCAAGAACTCGACGTTGATCCTTGTGAAACCGAAGAGTGGCTCTTTCCCAGGGTGCGTGAGCGCTTGGAAACAGCGGGCATCAGACGCCAGCCTTGTCCCTAAAGGCAAGGGAGGGCGCGAGCGATGAGTGGCTCAGGGGGCGGCAAAGATGGCGCCCTCGCCCGGAACCAGGCTGGGCCAGTGCCCTCCTGCCTCCGCCCTGTCCTCAGAGTGGGTGTCCTCGGGCGCAGCTTCCCTCCCCCCAGGCAACACCCTGTGTTCTGCTCTCCAGAGCACGCCCAGGAGGCGGAGAGCCTGCGGGAGGCCCTGCTGTCCTCCCGGTCCCAGCTTCAAGAGCTGGAGACGGAGCTGAAGCACCAGCAGGCGGAGCAGCAGCGGCTCCTGGAGGACCTGCGGGAGAAGCAGCAGGAGATCCTGCAGTTCCAGGAAGAGCGGCTGTCCCTCCAGGAGAAAGACTCCAGGTGAGAGGGGCGGCTGGCGAGGCTGGGGCCTGTCTTCGGGCTTAGCTTCAATAGCCTCTTTTGGAAGCCCCCGTTCCCCTTCTGCGCTCCCTGACTCAGAGCAAAAGGAAGGGCTTCTCTGGGCACCCCTTCTCCGGGCACCCCCAGGGAGGAAAGCCCTGTATGGAAGACCCTGTTCAGCACCCCAGAACCCATGTTGCTGATAAGATTTAGGACATTGTGTCACCAGAGCCTACATCAGCCGTGACGCTCGTCCCCAGCGTGAGCCGGAGCGGGTGCCGGGGCAGCGAGGCCCTTGACCCGAGCCTCTCTCCACGTCTGTCCTTTGGGAGTGACGGTCCCGTGACTCCGGGCTTGACATCTAGGGCTAAAGGGCTCGAGGGGGCGGTTGGCTCGTAGCTCGTGGCCCGGTGGCCCTGCCAGCCCGTGTGTCCTGCCGCCCCCGCAGGCTGCAGCAGAAGCTGGCCCTGGTGCAGCAGCAGTGTGAGGAGAAGCAGCAGCTCTCCCAGTCGCTCCAGTCCGAGCTGCAGATCTACGAGGCGCTCTATGGCGGTTCCAAAAAGGGAATGAAAGGTGGGTGTCCCTGGGCCCGCCCTCCTGCCCTGCTTAGCGCCCGGGTGAGGCGTGTGCCCTGGCACCACCGGGGTCTGGAAGCCGTGGCGTTCTGTCTGCCCCAGCGGTCCCAGCTGGGCCTGGTGCTGTCAGTGAGAAGAGGGGGGGCTCTCATAGAGGGGGTGACAGGACCGAGATCCAGCCTGACATCCTCCAAAAAGGCCACAAGAGGCCTGCCTGGTGGGCTAGGGGTTCAGCCTCAGCACTTTCAGCACCGTGACGATCTGAGTTCGATCCCCTGCCGGCCAGGGAGCTACCCACACGGCACAGCAGACCTTGCCTGCCTTGCCTTGCTCCCCTCAGCAGTGTATTTCAATGGGTCTGCCTGCTCTGCTCCCCACTCTGTCTCTGCTCCCCACTCCTCCTCTCATTCCCCACACCTCTGGCCTACACCCCAGTTCTTCTATGCAAAAATAAAATCTTTTTAAAAAAATAATTTTTTTTTTTTTAAAAAGGGCCACAAGAGTCAGACTTCATCCACCTGACCAGAGACAAGTCAGGTGCAGAGTCCATAATGTTTATTTTTCATATATAAGAGCGGTCCTGATGGTGGCATCATTCGGAATAGTCTTGAATTTGGGGGGCAACACGGACTTACCACCCATGCAGAAAGGGTGGCAGGAAACCTCCACCCCAGCCTCTTCCTCCTCTTTGCTTCCCGCTGCGGACATCACCGAGTCTCCCTCTCGCTGAGCCCCCGCCCTTCTCCTTCCAGCCTGCACCTGGGAGGCCTGTCACCTGTCGCCTTTGAGCAGTGACTTGAGCCACCTGGTGGCAGAGATCCGAGCCCTCAGGGGGCAGCTGGAGCAGAGCATTCAGGTGAACAACTGTCTGCGCCTGCAGCTGGAGCAGCAGCTGGATGGGGGTGTTGGCAAAACCACCCTCAGCCCCGCCTCCTTTAACGAGAACTTCCCGGCCACCGTGGACCCCGCAAACAAGCAGCCGTTCTTCCAAGGTAAGAAGGAAAGGAGAACTGGGGGCCCCCAGCCATGGGGACACTGCCCGGTGTCTGGTGGAAGGGCTGGTCTCGCCCCTTCGGGTCAGGCTGCCTGGATGCGGGGCTGGGATTCGGCATCCGGGTTCTGAGTTTGCACTTACAGGTTGTTTATCTTGAGTCAGGTGTTAAGCTGCTCGAGTACGGCAGGCTTAGTTTCCTCCTCTTGAAGATGAGGGTGATAATAGTGTGTCCCTTGTAGCATTATTTGGAACATGAATGAAATTCAGTGGCCCGTCCCCCCATTATCCACAGGGGACACAGTCCAAGTCCCCACTGGATGCCTGTGACAGGCCCCAGCCTGCTAGCCTGTTTCTTCCTCCACACCCACACCTGTGCAGACCGGGAGCCGAGGGCCAGTGAGTGACCGCAGCTGTTACTGCAGAAGCCCTTCAGCCCGGAGCCACAGCGGACGCTCGTCCGGCCCGCAGGCCGTAGCCTCCAACAGACCCCAGAAGCAGTAGTGCAGTGTCCTGTAACCCAGGGGGAGGCTTATTAGGCAAAAGGGCGGGCTGGCGGCTCCATGCCCCGGCGTGTTCCTTCCCGCAGTTCTGATGGAAGCTGGTCAGGAGTGACCGGTGGCGCTCAGGCCCAGCGGTCTCGGCCCGCCTGCCTGCTCATGGTCTTCTCCACAGTGGACACACCTGGGGAGGCCGCCAGATGTGTCTTGGGCCAGACCCTTCAGCGGCCTCCTGACTCTTTCTACCCAGACCCGGAATGGCTCACTTTTTGAAAATTATCTATCACCTGTGACAGTTTGGTTTTTATAAGTTAGGCACAGCAAGAGATTAACACCAATAACTGATAATGAAGTAGAACCGCTGTAACAATATCCTGTAATAAACGCCATGTGAGTGTGATCTGTCTCTCTCTTTCTCTCTCAACACCTCATTTCGAAATCTTTTCCCACCTTGGCTGGAGGGGGTACCTGAACCCTGGAAAACAACACCATGGATCAGGGGGTCTACTGTAGCTTACAAGGGCCGGACACCAATGAGTTGCTCAACAGCTAACAGCTGGGTCTCGTAATGCCGGTTCCTTTCATTTATAGAATGCTTTAAAACTTACAGGTGTTTTCAAATAATTTCCTCTAAGGATGGGCGGGTTTTCCCCTCTCTCTGGCTTACAAGAGCAAACTTGGGTATTGAGACATGAGCTGATGTGCCAAGGCTCACAGGGGTTAAGAGTGGGGCAGGGTGGGAACGGGAGCTTTATTTCTAGTCCTTCCTCCCCCGTCCAGCCCTGACTCAGCTTGTGATCCTTCCCAGCTTCTCTCTCCCTAACTTGTGGGGCACAATGTCCCTGAGGAAATTGGGGTTTGGGGGAAGAACTAGACAGCCTTCAAGTGGCTGCCGTTTACTTTCACACCCCCACCCCCACACTTCCACCAAGAGATACTTCACCAGCTCTGTTCCTTTTCATTATCCCCCAGTCCCACTTAACATGAGTTTTGTGTTCCCCCTTAGTCCAGCCTATCAGAGCAGTCACTTCTACCTCCTCTTTTTCTCCTGTAGATGCAGCATTTAATTCACCATCTCAGCCCACCTCCACGCTGTCCTCCACTTGACTCTAATCAGGACCCACTTCTGCTCGGGCCCTTAGGGTCCGGCGCCTTTGTGGGGCCTCTAGACAAGTCTTCGCTCTCAGGCCTGCTTCTCCTGGGGTGTCTTTATTCTCTTTTCTGCCTCTGCTACATTTTCAGTCATCAGACAATGACAGCGTTACCCGAAGGCGATACTCCTGTGTTCACATCGTTATGACCAGTAAATGACAGAATGTGTGTGGGCGGCTGCCCCTCGCTCTGCCTGATACATGGAGGCCCGTCCACGCAGGGCACATGATGAGTGTGGCGTCTGATGGCATCTCTACCCCCTGACAACACTAGCCAGGCCTCCGCCCCCGACTCAGTCACTGCTGCTCCTCACCCACATGGGTCCTGACTCAGAAGGCGGCTCTGAGTCAGGCTGTGGTCTTCTTGGCTTCTTCCAGTCCCTTCTGGTCTCCAGGAGGCCACCTCTAGCCCACCAAGGCTTCTGTCTCTTCTTCTCATACTATATTCTCCCCCCGCACCGACTCATTAGAATGTTAATTCTAATCCTTCAGAAACCCACTCGGTCCTCGACTCAGTATTTTTATATATATATATACTACACACACGTAGACTACATATATTCATGCATATTTAAATTTAATAAGGCATTGCATGAGATACCACATACATCATCATAGTCAACACCGGGGTTAGAAAAATATACCTAGGCATGTTCAAACTACAAGTCGCTTCTCATAAAACACCCGTCTTGATCCGAAATCTCCCAGACTGCTTTGCTTTGACAGTGGCGTGTGCATGATGGTTACGTGAAGGGCGGCTGCTGCTACCTCCGGTCTCAGGTGGCGAGGCCCAGGCTGTGCGAGTGCCCGGGCCCCGAAACGGTGCGTGTTTGTTCCCTAGATGCAGTTGCGTCCCCTCCTGTCCGGGATATTGGCATGACTTCTCCGGCTCTGGTCTTCCCCGGCCCTTCTTCCCCGCCTCGTGGCGCAGACACCGTCCTCTTTAACCGGACAAATGGTAAATGTGGCAACGGAAAGTCTCAGGCCCGTGAAGGGACGTGCTAACGCAGGTCCTCTCAGCCCCCTCGCCCTGCTTGCTTTGCCCTCCCTCCCGGTCTCCTGCTGACCAGCTGTTGCCTCATTGCAACGGCTTTTCGAAAGTGCTCTCCGCGGCCGGCTTAATTTCCCTGACCGTGTCTACTCCGCCCGGACATTTTTGTCGATGATGTTTGTCCTGACTCTCTCCTTCATCGATAGGATACAATTTGCATCCTGTCAAAGACGGAGAAATATAAGGACACTATAGAAGTCTCTCCGGAGATCACACAGCCCTTGCGCCTTCCGAGACGGCCCCTCTCACTCCTTGCTGGTTCTCGAGGCCGCAGTGAACTGGAGGAGCCATTGTGAATAACGGTGGATTCTGTTTTGTTGCGGTTTACTTTACAGACCTGGGTCTGGATGCTTCTCCAGACACGAAGAATCCTCCCATGCTGGAGGGCGAGGCTGCTGATGGCTCTTTTGCCAACAAGCATGGCCGCCATGTCATTGGCCACGTTGATGACTACAGCGCTCTCAGGCAGCAGATCGGGGAGAGCACGCTGCTGGCCACCAGGATGGCATCCCTCCTGAGATCGGCCTGCAGCCTCCCGGGCCTGGAGGCGCCGGGCACAGAGGTAACCTGTCATGAGGTGCACCTTTCTCTCCTGCCCTTTCTTGCTCTGAAGTTTGTTCCCTCTGCTGCTGCTGTGTGAGGTCCCGGGTTCATTCCCCAGCAGCTCCAAACAGCCCTCGGCTGCTACTTCTTTTCGCGCTCTGCATCTCTCAACAGCTGGCATCCTTCTTCGGTTTATGCCCAGCCAGGCCTTTCTTCTCCACCTCCTGTTTCCACTATAAACCCCACCCTGTTCCAGACGTAGCTGCCTTGTCCCCTCAGAAGGATGGTGGAGGGTCTGCGATGCTGACGTGCTCGGGCGCTGTGCCGAGCTCTTGCTGGCTTATCGTCAGCGTGGTCTGCTGCACGTGGCCTCTGCGGGCAGAAGGGTCACTCAGATGGCTAGAGGGCAAGGCTTTGTGTCCACCGGGCCACATGTGTGAGGAGGGGACAGACCTGGCTGCTTGGGCATTCCCGTCAGCACCGAGCAGGGCGGGACGCAGGCAGCTGACTTCCCCTAAAAAGACAGGCCACTGGGGATGCAGGGACAAGTGGGGACAGCCTGGCCCTGCAGCCCCACACTAGAGGGGGACGCGTGTCTGAGTCATCAGTACAAGAAGCTCGAGCACAGCTGCCCTCGGGGAGTGAGGCACAAATGCAGAAGCAGCGTCACGCCTGGTCACCGAGGTCCTTTTGGTGGGGGCGGGTATTCCACCCTGACCCTGGAACTACAAATGGCCCAGTTGAAGCAGAAAGGGTAACTTAGGGAAGGGGTGGGGGTGTGTGCAAAAAGCGGGAGACTCAGACTCCCGGTGTGGAGCAGCCCTAGGAGCTTCGAGCGGGGAGGCTGGAATCAGACAGTCACCGCGACTGGCGGCCGCTGCTGCGGTGGGGATGCTGGCCTCCCGGGCAGGAAAAGGGGGTTGCAGCTCCCAATAGGTGCCTGCCTGTGCCTCGCCGACAAAGGGAACGAGCTCTGAGCATGAAACTCAGAGAGGGGGTCTCCAGCACAGCGGTGCCGTCTCCCTGCCAGGTGCCCGGCCGCACCGGGGTCCAGGAGCTCCGCAGCAGCACCGGCGCCCTGCAGCACGCGCTGGAGGAGTCGGCCGCCCTCCTGTCCATGTTCTGGCGTGCTGCCCTGCCCAGCCCCCCCAGACCCACGCAGCCGGGAGCAGGGGTAAGAGCCCGACTCAATATGGGATGGGCCCCCGAAATCATTCCATCTCCCCAGCCCCCAGCTTTCCCGAAGGTCAGGAGCCAAACAGCCAGTTGGGCCAGAAGCTGTCCGTGTGGCTCTGGCATCCGCCCTCCTCCTGAGCCCCGGCCTCGGGATCAGAACAAAGTGAAAGAGCAAAGGAAAGTGTCTGCAGAGCATGGACAGGCCATGGCCCCTGCCGTGTTCAGTTTCATTCACTTTCTGACGTTCAGGGACACGTTCGTGTCACCCCAGCCTCCCTGGCTGCGGTCAGGCGTGACCTCAGAGTGTCACACGAGGTGACGGGCCTCTTGCCACCACTCCCTGGAGCCCCAACCTGGGGCTTCAATCTGCATCTCTGGGCCGGGCCCAGGAGGGTCCGCCACCCCAGCGTCTCGGCTCTCAGGCTGGCTCCCTGGCGGAACCGAGGGCATCACAGTCGAGAAAGCGTTTCTTCCTGGCACCCTGGCTCCAGGTCAATGCCGCTGACTCCTGCGGGACCCAACTCCGCCAGCTCCAAGGGAGGGGTGTTTGTTCAGCCTGAGCAGGCACCAGTGCTGTTTCAGGTTGCCCCGATCGTCTCCCCAGGCATGATATTCCCGCACCACCAAGTCCTCCTGTGGGACCCGAGCTCTGTCATCCTCGTGGGCACGCACCTGAGCTCTTGCAGTAGCCAGGAGTCAGCTTCTCTTCTGCCACAGGAATGCAGGCCTTGCTGACCTTCCCGGGGGCTCCGCGGGCCCCAGATCCTCAGTGCTCCCAGCTAAAGTCTCACCCTAAACCATCAGCAGCTGGAGGATTTTAGGGCTATGGTGCAGGGCCTGCAGTGTAGACAGGTTGAAGAGAAGGTTGAGTCCTGCTTGGGATTATAAAGAGCCACGCCGCACCGTGCGATGGGCCTTCTGCCCGTGATGGAGAGCTGTTCCTCTTCCGCAGGGGGAGTCTGTGAGAAGGGAGCTTCTGGAACTGAGAACCAAACTTTCCAAACAAGAGAGCCTCCTCCAGAGCACAGCTGAGCGCCTGAAGACATCCAACCGGCAGAAGGAGAGCCTGGAGCAGTTCATCTTCAGTCAGTGTAGGTGCCCCTGAGTTAGGGGGCAGGCGAGGAAGTGGGGTCCTCTAGGCTCCCCACTTGTGCTACAGATGAGCCATGACCGGAAAGTCTGGGGAGGGGAGCCTGGGGCGATTCCCTGAGCCTCCTGTGCCAGGAGTAATGGTGGATGCAGAGCAAGGGGTGTGGGGGCAGTGCGTGACCCCAGATGGGGGCTAGAAAGCCTCACTGTAGAGCTCACACCCGAGGCAAACGTGCTGGTGATCTCTGCTTTGCTGGCCCGTCTCGTTCCAGTGACCAGGACGCACGATGTCTTGAAGAAGGCGAGGACTAATCTGGAGGTAAGGAACCCCTACCCCGACCCGCCCCGACCCATCACCACCTGTAGCAAAGTTGGCGGGTAAGGCCCGCCACTCTGACCTCCTGGGCGAGTTCCAGGCCCTGGCGCAGGACCTCCATAAGCACCCTCCAGCGCCCACCCCACCCCGCACAGCTCCTCCCCACACCTCTGCCCCTCTCATACACCAGCCTCTTCTCTTTTTCTCTGACTGTCCCTCCTTCCTGCCGTGTCCGGACTCCGGAGAATGTGCGTCTGCCGGTTCCCCAGGCTAGGTGCCATGCTGAGTCCAAATTAAGTCCAAGACCCCCTTCAGTCATGGGGTCTTGTTCTAGGGCTTCCCCTTCTGCTTTAAGAAAATATGAAAAATGAGGTGCAGCCTGGTTAAGTGACTTCACTCTGGCTTGAGAACTGCAGTTGATGTTGGGGTGCCTTTTTCTTTAGCAACATCACGGCAGTAGACTGTTGGGTCTTATTGGCCTAAAAGAGTTTTATAATAAATAAAACCTGAAACGTAAGGGGAAAGATTTTATGTCTGGCAGACCTTGTCTACAGGTGCTCAAACCTTACAACGTTTCCTGGCAATTACTTGGAAAAAGAAAACCAACTCCAGGCATATAAAATGGCTGAAGAGTCAAAAACTCAACCTTTGAACTTAGACTTTCAAGCTTTGCCACAAGCAGCTGAACATACAACAGGAACACCCCTAATTCTCAGTGTAGGCCTCAGCCGGGCGGTGGTCTAACTCTGCCTTTAGTATTCTTTTCTTTTTGCTAATTCCCTTTTGTTTTTCTCTGATGATCCCTTTCTTTCCTGAGCCCTTTTAGAAGAACACTCACAGGAATGCCTCTGTAAAGCCTTATTCCTGCCCCATCAAAGGTAACCCGAAAGCCTCACGCAACTGCTGGCCCCCCGCATTTGGAAGTGTCCTCTCTACCCCACTAGGCTGCTGGAAAGGGCCGGGCCTGGCTTCTAACCCCAGGCTTGTCACTAACCAGCTGTGTGTCTTCGGTTGGCCCCTCACCTGGGAGAGGTGGCAACTGACCTCTGAGGCCCTGAGGTCCCTGCTGACGTGGCCCTCCCTCTCCTCGTGAGGGAAAACGGGCCATCGCCTGCAGAGGGGACTTGCCTGCAAATGTCTCCTCTGCCCTCCCTGGGGTGCATGGGTCGTCCTGAACCCTTCTCCTGGGGGACCACAGGGCTGCGGGTTCGGCTACAGAGTGCACTGCAGAGGGCAGGGCCCCACAGAGGGCGTGGCAGGAGGAGGCAGCTGCTCAAGGGGTGTCTTGGAGCAGGAGTCTCCCCACAGAGGCGGTGGGGCCATCTCCTCCAATTTGGCGGCTCCAGGGGCTCCTCCAGACCCCGGGTGTCTGCTGGCGCAGGTCTGAACAGCTCGGCTGTGCTCCCGGCTCCTGCCGCACGCACGCCTGCTCGTCTCAGACAGCTGGAGGCTGGGCCTGAGACTCTTCTGTTGCGTTCTGATCTCCAGGTGAAATCCCTCCGGGCTCTGCCCTGCATCCCAGTTTCGTGACCCTCACCTCCCAGGAGCCTTGCAAGAAGCGAAGCCACCAGAGGTCCTTAAAGCAGCAGGAAGGGTGGGCCTGCCCGCCTTTTGCAGGACTCCCTGTCTGCTGAGGAGGATGGGCCCCCTGTCCCAAGCCTGCCAAGGATGTCCTGGCCGGGGCAGAGCGAACGCCGCGGAGCCCTTCCTGCCGCTGGGACAGCGCGAGCCTGGCCCCGCTCTAAGGAAACACGCTGGGTCCGCAGAGGACCTGGCAACGCTGCTTCTAAACACCCCAGGGGGCTGGGGACTAGTGACAGCTCACTCCTCGCCGCAGCACCCACCCGTGGATGGCCGACTCAGGGGAGATCGGACCCCGCGTCCTACAAATGGGACGTGTGGTCAAGCCCGGGTCTTGAAGTTTTGAAAGCACATGGGCGCAGCGGAGCCAAGGGTCCCCCCCGCCCAGCGGCCCCGCCGGGCCTGGCTGGCTCCGGCCCCAGAGCCGGATTCCACGTGGAGAGAGCCCTGACCCCCACACGCCATCTCTTGCTTCGCCCACACCTCCTATTTCTAGCCTTTCATGGTCCCCGAGGGCCCTGACCTCACTCCAGACTCGCCGTCCCATTTTATCATCCTGAATTCTCTCTGGGCGACTGGGGTTGGGGCAGAACCAGCCCACGGGAAGACTCGCGTGACTCAGACCAGTGCTGGTCGGCACGCGGCTCGTGAGACCAGCCGTGCGGGCCAGCCTGTGTCTGCACCCAGCTCTGGAACGTGTGCGTGTGGATACGTGTATGCTATGTACGTGCACAAGCTGATGGCCACTCGGGGACGGGCTGGGAGAGAAGAGGAACAGTCCTCCGGTGGCCATTCAAGCAAATCGTGTACAAAGAAATAAAATACTCCCTCCATCTGCTGTTTCCTCTTTCTGTGCCAGCCTCTAGACTGAGGGTGTACTAAGACAGCAGCACACACTGGCCTGAAGAAGCCCAGATGAGCAGCTGAAGTCCAAGTTCAGCAGGACAGGTTTTTCCCCTCCTTGTCACACTGTAAGACTCTCCAGTCTACAGACCTAAAGGGATGGTCCTTAACTTGGGGGGTACCTTTGAATCAGCTGTGAAGATGGTAGAAACTGCTTTCTAGGTCCAAGGCCTGGGAACCTGCATCCTTTTTACATAAACACCCCAGGTAATGCTGCTGTGAGTCAGTGATATACCACAGTTTAGAAACATTGTTCTATCACGTCGAGTTGAAACCACTAATAAATTTGCCTTTAATGAATTCAGAGCCTTTCGTTGAAAGGTATATCGTTCACAAGTACGGAAAGATGGATCTAAAATCTCCCTTGAATAAAAACCTTTACGACATCCTTTTGTTTTCCAGAATTAAAATGAAGCTGTCTCTCCACCATCATTTCTTGGAAACAAAAATTTTAGACAACAGGAACAATACACCACTGCAACCACCATCACAAACGCAGGCAATGAAAACACAAAAGCCCGCCAGGCCTGAGTCGGGCCCTGCTCCCGCATGTGGTCACTCAGTTGTCTGAGTCTTTCCGGGATGCCCTAGGGCGTCGGTGCGGAGGAACAGCTCAGTGGTAGGAACAGCAGAGTCTGATTCAGCAAAAATGTCAGCAAACCCTCCTTCAAGTAGCAAACTTTCAGAACCTGTTGCCTGGGTTACTCCAGCATCCCAGCGTGGGACGAGTCGGCGATGCCGACACGCTCAGTCACCAAGGAGGGCCTGCCTGCCTGCCTGCCTGCGTGCCTGCCGCTTCTCAGGAGTATGTGTGCATATGGTAATATTTATGAAAGCAACAAGGTAGGGCATCGTGTAAATCTCAGAGCTGGTCAGGATTCAGGCACAAATGACTTTGGGAGAAAAGCCTTGAAGTCATTCTTGTGCTTGGCCCTGTATGAAGTATTGGGAAGCAGCTCTGTGCCTGCAGAGAGCAGCGAACACAGTCCTTTGAGGGGAGGATTCTCCAACATTTAGTTTTTTTGTAAATTACGTTCTTTCCTTCTACGGGACGAAAACAGTGCCTGTAAAGGCTGGACAGGACACAGTGCAGGTTTCCTGATCCCATGCAGACCGGGTAAAGGAGGAGTCAGAGTCCTCAGTGGTTTTTGCAGGCTTTTATTGGGATTTACCCGGTACACAGCAGGCAGGGGTGCTGGGGGGCCGGGAAGCTGGCAGGCCTCCCAGCCCCCAGCAAATCTTCACTCTATCTGGGCTCTCCGGCCTTCTCTCAGCTTCTGCTTCTCTCTCGGCTTCTGTTCGTTCTCGGCTTCTTGGCTTCTGCTGGCGTCCCCATGACGCCGCCCTTATAAGCACAGTCTTAGCGCAGGTGTACCCACTTCAGGTGCCCGCCACCAGGCATGCATTCTGGATCACAGGGTTCCCTCATTTATCCTGATGGCGAGAGGGCAGAAAAGCCTGACATTTTTCCTTACCCTACAGTGCAAGTTCTTAAAAATTAAAAAAAAACAAAAGTCTCTGTGACCATTGGTCTCCCAAGTTTTCTATAATTCAGTAAGAACCACGTTGAGCCCTGGGGAATAGGGCGTGAGTCCTACAGTGGGGAGTGGAGAGGGAAAAGAGGGCAGGCCCCTAGTGTAACACTTAAAACAAGTAAAAATATCTGTAAGACAGACAAGCTGCAGAGCTTACTTGGCCTATTATATCCCCCAGATCTTATTCCTGCTAATGGGTGTGAGCTAGACACTGCATAGGGCTTTGCTGTTGAAACAAGTTGCCGTAAAGTTAGTGGTTTAAAAGGAGACAAAGGGATTGTCTTATAGATCTGCAGGTCAGGCGTCCAGCAAGGAGGTCCACATGAAAATCAAGCGGTTAATAGGATGGCTTCCCTTTTGGAAGCTCCAGGCAAGAATCTGTAACTTTTCCTTCTTCATATTTTGAAGGCGACCCACATTCCTCAACTTACGACCTTCCAGCTTCAGCACTAACCGCAGCTAGAGTTGTTCTCATAGTTCAGCTCTCTCCCTTCTATTTCCCTATGAAGGGCCCCCGTACTCAGCCATCTGGGAAATCCTGTATACTTCCCACGTCGGAGTCATGCTCCCATCTGCATGGTCCCTTCAGCTGTGTGTAGGGTAAAGAAAGTGTCAGGCTTTTCTGACCCTCCCGCCATCAGGATAGATGATGGATCCTTGCGGTCCTGAATGCATGCCTGATGGCGGGCACCTGGAAAGGGTGTGGGCAGAGGTAGATGGGATTCACCTGGGCTGAGACGGGGCTTTTAAGGGCGGCGTCATGGGGAAGCAGAAGCAGAGAGCGCCAGAGAGCCCAGATAGAGTGAAGACTTGCTGGGGGCTGGGAGGCCTGCCAGCCTCCGGCCCCCCAGCACCCCTGCCTGCCATGTACCTGGTAATCCCAGTAAAAAAAGGCCTGCAAAAAGCCACTGAGGACTCTGACTCCTTCTTTACCCGGTCTGCTGGATCTGAAAACCTGCACTGTGTCATTCCTGCCTCTACACTGTGCAATGTGACATAGTTACAGCTAGCGTGGATTAGAATGGGACTTCTGGGGGAGTGGGGGCATTATTGTAGCTACCCAAAGCTATTAACTCAGGGGCCAACTAATATCAGAACTAGAAAATACCTTACTTTCAAAGTTCAAAAGATACCACCTCAAGGTGCAACCTGAAACAGCAAATCACTGTGGAATGTGATTGAAGATGAGTCTGAGGCACACACGTGTGAATGTAAACAAGGAATTTTCCAATCTCCTCGTCAGTTTGTCCAAGTGCCTGCAAGAAACACAGCTGAAGCTTGTCTAGCCTGAGCCCTAGAGCTTTACACAATCAGTACATTAACGTGCAGTTACTGTGCTTGTGGATAATTTGAGGAGTTTCCTGTATAGAGTTAGCTTGTGATCTGCAAAGACATCATTTTTATTCCTCTTAACTACACTACTTTACTCACCCTGAGTCCTGAGAGATAGTTTGATCAGGAAGAAAAGTCCATTCTTAACCTGGCCCAGCCCCTCACCTTTGCAGGTCAGAGCTGAGCAATGACAGACAGGAGGTTCCCTATTCAGGGGTCACCTCAGCCCCAGAGTCTTGGATCTCATTCATCCTAGACTAGGGGGACAGAAATCCCAGGAGCTGGATTCCTAGTTCTTGGTCAGCCCAGCAGCAGTTGGCGGAGCAGGGAGGATCCAGGACCCAGGAGCTGCCCATAGATAGGAAACCCCCAAAATGCAGGCAAAACTCCCAGTGAGACCCTAGAGAAAGTCTATGGAGAAACAGGCACTCTTGTCTAGGCTTACGGGGAACTTGAGCACCTGCACAGCTTAGGGTGCTGAATGCAGGCCCTGGGGGGCTAGGCTGAGACTTGGCCACCTTTGAGTCTTTCCTCAGTCCCCAGGTGAGAGCATGTGCTACCACCTTACTTCCCCTCCGCCATCCCTCCATAGCCCTCCCTTCCCCTCACCTCCTCCCTGCTAGTTTGTGTGGCAGGAGGAGCCCCAAGTCCAAATAGTAGACAACAGATGTTGTGGGCCACCAACAGGGTGCCCCTTTTCTGGGATTCAATCCCACGCGTTGCTTCCTTGTCTAAGCACCCCCCCAGGACACCCAGTGTAGATGGTGCATCTGTGGGAAGTGCCTGCACCCCAGGAGCCTGGGTGGGCGTGAGCTCTTGGGCTTCTTCAAGGTGAGAGGGAGACAAGACCTCAAAAGACACAAAGGTTTGACGAGGGGGTGGCCTGCAAAGCCAGGTTGGGGCTAAAAGAGCTTCCCAGGTAGCTTCTCAGTGAGTGGTACCAAGAAGATGGGGGAAAGTTCCCTTTGACTTGTGGTTGTAAAAAGGCCTAAACGGGCCCCCAAGCCAGTGAAAGGCATAGTCCAGCAGACGAGGGCTGTGTTGGGCCACCTGGGGATGCCGAGCATGTGTCATTAGGACAAGAATCACCAGGGGACCGCAGGGGTCAGCACGCCCGGGGTGCAGTGGGGGCACCTCGCCCCGGGGAGAACCACCTTCGTGAGGGTGGTGTCTGCCTTGCCAGTAAGTATGGCCCCCCTCTACCCACCGCCCCCCGGCCCCCCAAGCCTCGCACCTCACACACACATGCTCACCCGTTTCTCCCTCCACGCCCCGCACTCCCTGGCCGTGCCCACGTCCCCGCGACACCTGCGGGGGAAATTCGGGCCCATCCCGCCACCATTTCCCCCGCCAGCGCGGTTCCCTCGGGTCTCCGGGCTCGGAGAACACGTTCAGAGGCTCAGGAGGCACCGTGCTCAGCACAGTCAGCGGGGCTGGAGGGGAGAAGCGGTGCTCGGCCCGGCTCGCGCTCCTCCAGGGGCTCTCAACAGTGCGGGAAACCCCAGGCCACTGCTGTGGACATAGGGCTGCGGCCGCCCCTCCCTGCAGACACCCCCGCTCGCGAAGGGGCCCTCGTCCTGGACGGGCCCCCTAAGGCCGCTCTGCCCCGGCCTCGCTGGCCCTGTCAGAGGAACACAGACCCGCACACGCGGCCCGGAGATGATCTCCTGGTCCCCTTTGCACCTACAAAAGGGAGCTCTCCTGGGCCGCGGCGGGGCACGCTCCAGGGAGGGTGACAAAGACCAACTGTGATAAATACGCAGGCGTGTGTAACAGCAGCAACACCTGGAGCGAACGACACAGGGTTCGCCGCTGTCCGGAAGGTGAGTTTTATCGGCCCAGGCGAAACTCGGTCCCCTGTGACCTCAAGCAAGTCACACAGCCCTGGAGCCTCGGTTCATCATGTCTGAGGGGAAGACGTTTGACAAATCCCTCTCCTCCCACAGAGCCTCAGCTTCTGCAGACCAGAGGGAGGCTTGCTCTGCAGCCTCTGGTCCAGCTCACCTGAGGGCATCCTGCGACCAGCACAAGGAAGGCCTGGGAGGGGAAGAGGCGGGGACCCAGGCCTGCTCCTCCGCCTGGAGGGAATGCTGGACCAGCCGGGGCCACACCAGGCCTTCACGCGGGGCGCGCCCAGGGCCCAGCAGGAGAGAGCACTGCCGCAGGCTCTGCAGACTCGCAGCACAGGCAGCCCCAGACAGAGCAGGAGCTGGATGCTGGGGGGCGCTACTGGCCCACCTAGCCCCGCCTGCCTGTGCTCTCCCCTCAGCCTGGCTGCTCAGTCCCTGGGCGCCTCTGCACAGGCTCACCAAGGAGCATCCAGGCTCCCTGACTTGCGCTGACTTGAGCTTGCCCCGCGCTGTAGAGAACTCAGCCCCGGGGCCAGGGCTGCCGAGCGCTCGGAGAGTGTGTTCTGGTGATTATCCAGCAGCGCCGCCCCGGCCCTGCTCTGCGCAAAGGTGGGTGAACTGAATGTTCATAAAAAATAACATCAGGGGCCTCCCTGGCGGCGCAGCCGTTGAGCGCTGGGTTGCGAAGCTGCCCACGGCCTCTGCGCCTGTTCGATCCCCGGCTGCTCCCCGGCCACCAGTGAGGGTCCCGCATGGCACGCAGACCTCTCCTGCCGCCCGCTGCTCCCCTCAGCAGTGTACTTCGGTCCTTCTGCCTGCTCTGCTCCCCGCTCTGGCTCTGGTGAATTCTCTCACCCTCCCGCGCTTCTGACTGTACCCAGTGCTTGTATAAATACAAATCAAATTAAATAAATCTTTAAAAAAAATAATAACATCAGATTTGTACGTCTTCCAAAGCACATGGTTGCCTTGTGAACTCCAGGATATGGTAGCAATGATTTCAAATGCTCTGACAGCGGACAAGGAGCTCTTGTGGGGCTAGGATGACATCATGGCGGTCAACTATGAAACGTGGCTTTAAGTGACTTTAAAACACAAAACCCCCCATGGTACTGTGGGTGCAGTGGCGGTTGGAGGCAGTTTTGCTGGTCGGGGGTTTGGGGTGATGAGAAGCCACTTGCTGTCCAGTGAGGTGGACAGAACCACCTGGGAGCAGCGGAGACATTGAGGGTCAGGAAGAGCTTCTGCCTGGGATGAGAAGACAGAGAACTTTATTTTTAAAGATTTATTTATTTATTTATACAATAACCGGGGTATAGGCCAGATTTGCAGGAGGGTGGGAGGATTTGCTAGAGCCAGAGAGGGGAACAGAACAGTCAGACTGACGAAATACACTGCTGAGGGGAGCAGCGGGCGAGACAGGAGAAGGTCTGCTGTGCCATGTGGGACCCTCGCGGGCCGGCTGGGATCGAACCAGCGCTGCAGAGGCTGCGGACAGCTTCACAGTGCTGCGCTCAACCGCCTGCGCCACCAGGGGAGGCCCGAAGACAGAGAACTTTTAAGAACATTCATCATTCCCTGAGCTCTGTCCAGGCGCTCGCCCTGCACTCTTTCACGCATGTTTACACACGAGAGGCCAGAGAGCACACCAGGCAGCTGACTGTGTGATGTTGTCTGTCCCTTGTGGAAAATCCTAAAGATTGATTTTAACTGATCGGGTTGGTGGGGTGACGTCATCACAGCGCTTAATAGAAACCGTTGGAGGCGTTTTCTGCCCGGATGTCTTCACACACACACCAGGGACAGAGGAGAGTTTGGCTCAGGTTGTTGGGGGAAAAGAAGCTCCGGGACTACCTGGGCTGTCACTACTGGGTGACAGGACAGGGGAGCAGGCGGTGCCTCAGAGCACCCGGCCAGTTAGAAGGGGGTGACTCCCAAGGTTCCGCGACCCCCGGGTTCCAGTTCTGTTATTGAGACGGGAGACGGTTACCTGGCGCAGGGCCTCCTGCCCTCACTCCTGCCAGAGACCAGCCACAGGCAGAGGTGGCTCTGAGCTCCGGCATCTTGGACTTTGTCTTGGCGATCCCCGACTCTCAGTGTGGTAGGTGGTCGAGGGCTCCCCAGCGCGAGCGAAGAATCCCGGCGTCACCGCCCCTCGGTCAGCCCTGCTTCAACCTTCTCGTCGTCACTTGTCCTCACCCGCAGTGTCCCAGGCTCTGCCCGCAGCCCCCGGCTCGGCACGTCGGCCACACTCCAGCATGGCCGCGTGCGTCAGCCCGTCGTCTGACCCGTGGCCGGGGAAAGCCGACCCTGATGGCATCCGGGAGCTTCGCTCCCAGCTGGCACAGTGCAAGCAGAACTTCAGGGACCTCATGGAGAAGTTCCTCGTGTCGCGGAGCACCGCCTACTGCCTGGCCAACCAGCTGCAGAAACACAGTGAGTCCTCCAGGGCCCGCTCTCCACGCCTTCCAGTGACACCCCTTCACCCCCCGGAAACTAAGCCTCTCCAGAGTGGACCCCTGTCCCCTCTACTGCCCCCACAGCTGGACCAGGCACCGAGGGTTTTAGCCTCCTTTCCCTGCGGACGCCACGCCGAGCCCCACAAAGGGGGTCTGCAGAGGGTGGGGCGGGATGGAGGGAGAGCCCCGGGCACCCAGACCTGGGGAAGCCCCAGATCTGCCTGCTCTCTGGGGTCTGTCTGCTTTCGGTCGGGTGCTGCGTCCCCTGGGGCCAAAGTCTGGGGTGATGCACATTCCCGAGTTTGGGCTTCTCGCAGGTGACTGGGGGTGTCCCAGCTCAGTGGGGAAAGGTGTGGGGGTGCCCCCAGGAGAAGCTGGGAGACCCTACCTCCAAGGGGCGCGAAGAGGTGTGCTCCTGCGGAGCCGTGTCTCTGGGCGAGGCCCGGACATGACGGCTGGGAGCTGCGCCCCTGGACGGGGGCTCCTCTCCCTGTCCCCTCGAAGCCACGGGACCCCGTGGGGAGCTTGAGGGTGTTTCCCTAAAACCACAGAGGATCTGCACTCTCCTGTCCCTCCCTGAGCTGCCACGGCCTCCGGGTTTGATTTCCAGGCTCCCTCCTGCCCCGGTGACCTTAGCATCACTCCAGGCCAGTTCTATGCCCCGTTGCTGACTGTAGCTTTGTGCTATCTGTGGAAATCGGGAAGTGTGATGGCGCCAGCTCTGGGTTCTTTCTAGATGTCTTTAGCACAGAGCATCCAGCTCCCCTCTGAGTGGGCTGCGTGTGTCTTTTCCAGAGTGTGGACGGTACAAAGGGCTCATCGAGTCTGTGCTGGGGGAAAAGCTGCAGCGCAAGCAGGGGAGGCCGGCAGAGAAGTCGAGGCTGGCTGAGATGCTCAGGTGAGGGGCTGGGCCGGGAGGCGGTGGGAGGCGTCTGCCCTGGAGCAGGGGACCTCGGAGCCAGGGAGGCAGGCGCTAGCCCGGCAGGCGCGTGTGCACACAGCCTCGTAAAGCAATTCAAGATCCGTAGATGTGGGATTACCTGGAGCCCTATTTACTCAGGAAAAACAACTATTGCGCAGAAAATCACAGACGTGTCTTAGCCAAGGAAAGTGAGCAGTCGGCGTTACTCGGTTCACCCACAGCGTGGGCCAAGCTCCACCTCGGGTCCCCGCGATGCAGCTCCTGTGGGGCCCATCGCTTCCCAAAGCCCACAGGGGAAGTCCCGGCCGGGCTCTCGGGGACACCCGCGGCAAGTCCACGGCCCCCAGTCTCTGTGTGGGTCACTGCTTCGGGCTCCAGACCCCTGGAGACAGGCACTGCATGGGCAGCCGAGGCAGGCCCTGGAGGAGACACAAGGGGTGGAAGGAGCCAGACCCTGCTGAGGGAGAGACGCTGTCAGCACCCGAGCAGGCTCCCAGGAGCCGGGGCCGGGGGCAGCGCGGCGGGATCCTCTCTCTCCGTGTCAGGGGCGTCATGCTCCATGCAGGTTGCTGCTTTGAGGTCACCTGGGCACGGGCTCTCAGACAGCTTTTCCAAACCCTTCACGCCACGGCTGGCCTGGCTCTGACACGCCCCACGCCCGCAGGGAGAGCTGCCGCCTCCTGCAGCATCAGGATCAGGAGCTGGACCGGCTGAGGCAGCAGGTACAGGAGGGCAGGGACGTCTCCCGCGCCCTCCAGCAGCACCTGGAGGACCTGCTCGATGACTATGACCCTGACGACTACGAGGGCTTCAGGCGCAACCTGGCCAAGGGGCGCACGCTGGCAGCCAGCCTGGTCAGCACACTGAGCACAGGTGAGGTGGCCCCGCCGGGCACCAGGCGGCTCCAGGCGCCCGGGCTCTCTCCACACCCCACGGAGACGCTTCCAGCTGCCCTGGGCCTGTGGCCCACGGGGCCATGTGGGTCCTGTGGTGCCTGAGAGGGAGGGGAGGAGAGGTGACCCGGAGACCCTGCTCATCAGCTGCGGCTTCAGGTTTGCTCCTCACGGGCCCGAAGCCGTGACCCCCCAGAGTCAGGCAGAGAGGGGCCGGGAGGGGAGGCGCTGGTTATCGGGAAAGAGCCCAGACCGACCACAAGGAAGGCCGGTCCAGGCCGAGTCTGTGTTCACAGCCAAGCGGTGACAGACCTGGGTCCTCAGAGTGTCACCACAGTGGGGGGCTGGCGTCTGGGGCGGGGGCCGGCGAGGGGGCACATGTGCAGGGAGCAGGATGCTCAGACAGAACCTCCCATGGTGGGTGTGCCTGGAGGGCCCCGAGGCGGGCGCACATGGTGCCGGGAACGTTTCCCCGGAAGCAACCTGCATGAGGCCGCCTCCCCCGTAACGAGGGACCACGGCCCGGGTCACCGAGGGCGGATGCGGGCAGAGCGCTCAGTCCTCGCGTGGAGGAAGGGGCGGAATCCCGAGGGGCGCAGGTCTGTTGGTGGGACAGCCCGCGTGGGTGGAGGGCCCGTTGCGGAAGATGACACTGGACAGATGGCCTGTGACCGTCGAAGAGAGAAAATTCAAGTTTTACCCAAAGTCGGGCAGAACGCACCCTGGCTGGACCTTCCCGTCCACGCATCGCCGACGAGGGAGACACGTCGGGGCAACGCTTGCCCAGAAAGCACGCGGCTTCTGAGCCCCAACCCCACTGGGCCTCTGCCCCTGGCCCTCACAGCCCCAGGCTGGCAGCGCAGGTTGGGGTGCGAAAGGGCTGACCCTTCTGAATTTATTTACAGAACAACGTGGAGGTCTCAAGCAAGAACAGGACCAAGAACCACGGACCCCCAGGTAACCACGAGCAGGAGGCGCTGGGATGGAGGGTCACCTAGAAAGGGGACTCAGAGAGCATCTGAGGGCAGGCCAGGCCGATGCCAACAGGAGGAGGCGAGCCACAGGCCCGACTTAACCCCATGCAGCGGGGCAGCCTGGGGCTCCTCTGTGTGCGTCTGAGGGGAGGGGACGGACCCTGTCACCGGGGCGCACTCCCCAGTCTGAGTCCTGTGCTCTCAGAAAGCCCCAGAATCCCCTGACGGTGAGCCCAGGCAGGGAGCACACCTGCTTCTTACACAGCCGTCCGGGCGCCGGGGCAGGGAACTAACACCATGACGAGCAAATGCCCACTGGAGCAAGCACTGCTGAGGGAACCAGGGGAGGCCTCCCTTTGCCCTGGGGCGGAGCTGAGACCACGGGTGGCAGCATCTCCACGGCTGCCGCCCTCGGCACCGCTGGGCAGCAGCTGGGCAGTGGTGGCAGCCCCGGGCCCCGGGTGGTGCCCAGGGTCCTCTCGGGTTCCCGTCTGTGTCACTGAAGCCTTGTCTGCCCGCCATGGGGTCCTGTGGCGGCACACTGGGGTCTCTGCTCCGGCTCTCCCTGCTCCCCCCAGCCCCTTCTCCAGGGGCCGACCCTGTGCTGTCGGGACCCCTGCTGGAGTCCCGTCAGAGAGCGCGGACACCGCCGGGTCGCGTGAGGCTGATCTCGGCCCCCTCTCCTCTCTGGCACAGCCTGGAGCTGCGGGAGCTGGACAAGGAGGAAGGCCCGCGGGACGAAGGGCAGGCGTGCTCGTGGACCCCGCCAGAGGCCCTGGGGTCAACTGACGACCGCCAGCCCCGCAGCGACGACCAGCTCGCTGCTCCCGCCCCGGCTGCGGACGCGGCTCTGAGTGTGTGCGGCGTGGGGCCCTGCTCCGGAGGGGACGGCTGTCCCCCTGGCGTCCCAGGTAGCCCCCGCTTCCTCACCCGCCACCGCAGAGACAGGGGACCCCCGCAGGGGCCCAGACCCACCGAGGGCTTGGAGCTGGGTGCAGGATGTGGTTGGAAATAAGACATGTTCACGGAGAACGTGGCTTTGGGAGGCGGCGGTCAGTGGACGCTGGTTAGTGCCTGGGCCAAGCTCATGCCTCTCCTTGGAGCCCCGCTGACCAGCCCTAGGCCCACTCCCCGGGCTCGCGTGCGCCCGGCTGCAAGGGCAGAGGCCTGCAGTGTCCTCGGTGAGACACTCCCACCGGCAGGCCTGCTCTCACGCCCACTCCACAGCCACATCCCACGCGGGCATCCCTGTACTTGGGGTTGGGCCGTATCTGCAGTTTGGGGGCGCCACTTGCGTGGTTCACGTCTCTCAACTCAGAATCCGATTCTGCCCACGCAATGGGCCGCATCTCAGACGCTCCAGCAGTGCGGGCAGCTGCGCGCCCATCTCGGTCTAGCCCCCGCGGTCAGCAGGACCAAGCCCCGGCCCCACCGGGTGGAAATGGTTTCTTGGCACCCCTGCAGACCCGTGTCAGGCTGTGTGACTTCCGCTCACCACTGAGAACGCGGTGGAACATTCCCTTAAGCCTCTAACAAACAGCATTTCTCGTGGAGAAAGCTGCCCCTTGCAGGTTCTCTGCAGGAAGCGGGAGACACATGCCCATCACGGCTGGGGTGCCGTGACCAGGAGCTGGTCATCCACAGAATCCCGTCACAGCCAGGGGCTCTCGTGGGTGCCAGCAGTGGGCACTGCGCGTGAGCTCACGCGGTGGGCGCTGCCTGATGTGACCGTGACTGTGTGAATTCTCTGCAGACTCTCAGAGCCCTCAGGAGGAGGAGGGACACGCAGACGGGATATGTCCCAGGTAACCGGGAACCACGCGTCGTCCTTCTGTGGTGAAATGGGTGAGACGTCATTTCTAGGGGAGCCCAGCAGGTCTCAGCATGTCCTGGGTCCTCTGTCCCTCACACGCAAGTCCATGGGGCCGTGGTGGCGTCTTCACCTGGCCGCTCCGAGGTGCTTTTCCTACACAGCAGCTCCAGCTACCACCCGTCGGGGGGACACGTGACTGAAGCAGCCTAGGGGTTGCCTTCCCCTGCCCTGTGCTCTCCTTTGGGTTCATCCCACGCGGCAGGCACGTCTGTGGAGGCTGGTCACTGCGGCCCATCGCCCTGGCCCAGCCTGCGGTGGCTCCTGCCTGTCAGGTCACGGGATTAGGGAAATAAACTCAGCAGCTGAGGTCGCTGGTTGTGGACGAGCCTCCAGGCCCGGTGCGCTCCGCCCCAGGGTGTGATGACAACACGATTTATGCAAACACGCTGATGCCACTTTGAGGGTCCTCTGTGAGCAGCCCTGGCCTCCGCCGGCCTGGTCAGTCCCCCTCAGCATCTGGATCTGGCCCTGGTCCCCTGCTCCTCCTCAGACGCCCTCTGGCCCTGGCTGGCTCCTTGTCTCTCAGGCTATTGACCTCAAGGCCATCGCTCTGCCCTGACCGTGGGTGGTGTTTTCTCACCCGCTGGACTCAACCCCTTGCTGGGAAGGTTCGTGTGTTCCTGGGACCCTCCCCGACTAGCTTCAGCTTGGTTCTCCCTGCCAGGCCCAGCAGGGAGCTCACAGCACTGTTCGGGGATGACGACCCGGGGGACGCCCTGGACGAGCGCTATTTGGTTCCGTCCCTTCCTCCCGATGAGCCTGGGAACGACTGTCCCCCCAGAAGCACCGCCACCTGCTCACGGGAGGACCTGGGAGTCCGCGCTGCTCTACAAGTCACCGGTGAGTCCTCCACAGTCCAGAAGAAAGAGCTCCCAGTGAACTTGGAGCACCCCAAATACACTGCACCCCACATCTCTGGGTATGCTTAGAGATGTCACCCCTGTCTGCAGTTATGTGGGGCTACAGTGATTAAAAGGAATGTCTTAGAGACACTGGAGCAGAGACTGGGCGCCTGAGAAAGCTCTGGCTCTCGGCTCTCCCAATGCAGGACGTGCCCAGGAGTCTGAGCCTCCCTGTCACGTCCGGGGCCCCATGCAGGTTGACAAACTCACGCTCCCCTCAGTAGCACCAGCGTTGACATCACTTCTTGTGGCCTTTGCTACCATATGTCTTCTGGCCTGCAGTGATCTAATTTGAAGGCCCAGATATCCCTTGGCCTTCTCGCGCTTGCAAACGACTGGCCTCTAGACATTTGGATGTCCGTGTCCTGGTGTCAGTGCCTGGTGTTGCCTCTGTGAGGGGACAGCCCTCTGGAGGCCCGACGGGGCCTGTGGGTGGCCCGGCTGTGTGTCCCCACCAGGACCAAGCCCTCCCCTCTCCCAGGCTTGATTGGCTGGGGTTCTGCGCTTGAGGTGTGGAAGATTTCTGGATGTTGTGCATCATGCCCGGGTCAGGACATCCATCCTACACCGTCGAGACTCGACATCTGATAAGAAGGGACTGGGAATTGCTGTGACATAGTTAGATGCAGGACGACTATTTTCCAGATTCTTTCAGAAAAAGATGTTTAACTTTTCCCCAGGCTGGGGGAGGCTATTTGGCGAGGAAGCGCTAATCTGGGGCATATTGACGGGTGGCCCAGGTAAGCCAGGAAGGCTGAGCCCCTAACACAGCCTGACCCCCTGGACTTTTCCTCGTTCGACGTCCCGCGGTCACGGCGAGGAGCGTGTGTCCCTGCACTGACCTGGCGCTGCGTGTTCTGGTATTAATGGGTCACGCTTGACGTGACTAGTCTTGTCTGGATTTCTTTTCAGAAAATCACTTCGACCCTGAGACAGAGGGCGGGGGCCACCACCTGTGCCCCAGGTAACCGTGCCGTCCGGGTCGTGTTCTCTGGTGACGTGGGGGGAAGTCAGGTCACGCACAGTCAGTGTCAGCACCTGTTCATCCTCCAATAACCCCCGAGTGTCCCTTTAACAGCAGTGTCCATGGCACTGGTCACCTGTGTAGACGGCCTTGTCACCACCTCTCGGGCGTGGTGACGGGTAGGCAGCTGATCCACGCCGCCCATCGCTCTGGGGCTGCCTGGGCCCCTGAGCCTCCAGCAGGGCCAGCTGGCTTTAGGAATCCTGAGTCAGCCCCGGCCTCCTGCCCCAGCTGGCAGGGAGCTGACTGTAGGGGAGGAGACCGGAGCCCCCAGCCTCACCGGGGCCATGTTCCTTTGTGGCCCAAACCTGCCATTTCCTTGCAGGGTTCACAAGATCGGCCACCTCACGTGTGTTGCAGAGGAAGGCTGGACTCTGGATGGAGACTGTGAGCAGAAACGCTGGGAAGGGGGAGACCCCCGGGCCAGTTGCCCACTCTTTCTCTACCCTACACCTGTATGGGCGGGGGGCGCAGCCCTGCAGTGGCCTGTGGGCCTGATGGATTTGAGTTGACCTTCAGGGGTTCCTTTCTAGTGGCAAAAAGGTTAATAAGTAGAGAATAACAGGCGGCCTTTCCCTGCCACCCAAAGTCCTCTCAACTCCCGTGGGGGAAGGTCATCGCGCCAGGCAGCCAGGGAGGCATCAGCATTGGGCCCACACCCGACAGTGGCCTCTCCTTCATGGACCTGGTGTCTGCTGGTCGCGGTGTCTGTGCTGCCGCTGCCAGGCAGCACTGTGGGTCGTGGTTTGGTCCCCCTGAACCGGCTTCTCCTTTCAGATGCCCCCTGGGAGGCCTTTATCCAAGGCCCTGGGAAGAGACGCGTGAGTCTCCCAACGTCTGAGGTGCCTGCTCCAGGGGCACAGCCGGTGCCCTGCGGGTGGACAGCCAGAGACCCTTGGCTGCAAGTGGACAGGCAGCTCCACAGTGGCCACGGCCAATGCCAACTCCATCGTCCCGCCACCATGTGGCACTTTGCAACCAACGGGGATTCTGGAAAGTGCTGCCCACTCTCCCAAGGTAAGAAGGGAGGGGAGGTGGGGCTCCGGGGCATGAGTTGGGGGGTCCCAGAGAGGATGGAGATGCGGCTGCCCCCTGTGCTTCTGTCCGGGCGCATCCGGATGCTCTAAGGGCCGGGCGTCAGAGGACAGGGCGAGGGGCTCTGTCCCAGTCCTGTCTGCATATTGGTGGTTTTCTTGCTTCACGTTAGTTTTCTTCTGAGGTCCTTTCACTTGAATGTCTTCCTCTGCAATCCCGGGAGAGAACACCCGCAGCCCACGGTGGGGTGGTGGGGGTGGTGGGAGCTCGAACACGAGCCCTTTCCGGAGAGCCTGATTCAATGCAAACTGCTTGACAGCAAGTAGGGACGGGGCCAACTCTCACCTCCTGCTGTTCGCACGGGCAGGACTGACCGCACGCGCTGTGGCGTCCTGGGCTGAGCAGAGCCGGGGCCGCCACTGTCTCTGACGCCCACCTTCCCGCACTTTCTCGGAAAGGCCAGTTTGGAGTTTTCTCACTAGATCTGCATGTTTTATAGGAGAGGATTCCCTGTGCAGATGCTCCATGGCCCCGCGAGTGTTAGATTGGCAGCTGCGCACGCGACGAGTCCTCAGTGTGCATGTCTCACGGCGGCTCCGCAGGGGGGATACATGCACAGGCAGCTTCACATTGCTCCAGTGTTCGCGGCCCCGGTTCTTTCTCACACAGGGTCATCCATTTCCAGGATCCCCGATCTCCGCCTTCTCTCGGCTCCCTCTGTCCCCGCGCCCGCCAGGCCTTTGTCGACTCTTCCTAGAAACTATTTGATTTTATCAATCAATCCTGTATTTTTGACTTTTAAAAATCAAAAGGAACTTTCCATGGTCATGGACTCCTGGTGGAACTCATCCTCTAGCGATTCCTTGTGATGAAACCAGGAGACAGGATTCTCTCCTGTTGAATACTCTCTTTCTGCCCTTTCATCCATGGAGAGCTTGGGTGAATGTGAATTACTTGTCCACCATGGCTTTTACTTACTGAGTTTTTAAAAAATTGTCCTGTGTTAAGTGACCTGTCCAGATTTAGAATGTAGTGATTTCCTCTGTATGTGAACTGGCTTTTTTCTTGGAGGGCGGGCGTGAGCGGAAGAGGCTCAATGAGGCCTGGCCATTCAACGAAGACAGGTCTGAGACTGGACTGCTCCAATTCTAGTCCTCTGCTGCGTCTGTCCCCACTCATATTCTCTTAGTCACTTCTTGTTCCGTGATGTTTTTTTCATCAAGGATACTTTTAACCAGTACGTTGTCCCCACGAACCTTGTCATCCAGCCAATTGGTCATCCCAGGTCAACTGTGGTCTGCTAATATTCATTGGGAAAATCCATTAATAAAAATTTCGTTAAGTTTTACATTGCTTGCTGTTCTGAGTAGCGTGATGAAATCTCGCGAAGTCTGGTCAACCCAGCTGGGATGGGGTCATCCCTTCCTCGGGGGTGTGCTCGCTGCATGTGCTACCACCAGCTCTCACTATTGGCTCCGTGGTGGCCACATGGACTGTCGTGGAAGGTCCAGCCTTACTAATGGCCCCAAAGTGCAACAGTCGGGGTGCTGGAAATTCATATACTCTGGAAAATTGACATTAATAACCTAATATGGGTCACAAGGCCTAAGTCTCACCACAAAGGGATTATCTCACCACAAAGGGATTTTGTCATCTCCCTTCTTCACAAAATTAGTGCAGTCCAGGGGCCTCCCTGGTGGTGTGGTGGGTTGAGCATAGCGCTGTGAAGCTGTCCGCAGCCTCTGCAGCGCGGGTTCGATTCCCAGGCCAGGGACATTCCCACATGGTGTGGCAGACCACTCCTTTCTCGCCCACTGCTCCCTTTGGCAGTCCCTTAGTCCTGATCTGTCTGCCTGTTCTGCTCCCCGCTCTGTCTCTGGTCAATCCTCTCACTCTCCCGTGCCTCTGGCCTGTACCCCAGTCTTGTATAAATAAAAGAAATAAAACCAACGTATTACAAAAAAAAAAAAAGTGCAGTCCAGTAAGATATTCCTAAAGAGAGGAGCATCACATTACTTTTCATTTAGTTTATTGCTTTAATTATACTGTTTTATTACTAGTTATTAATAGGTGACTGAGTTTGGTGATGACTTTTTAGATACAACACCAAAAGTAAAAAATGCTACGTAGATCTTCATTAACATTAAAAACTTCAGCTCTGTGAAAAGATAACATTAAGAATTAATTAAAGACGAGTCATAGACTGGGAGAAAATCTTTATAAAACAAATCTGATGAAGAGCTGGTATCTGAAATATCCAAAGAATTTTTAAAAGTCAACAATAGGGAAACAAACTATTAAAAAAGATCTAAACAGAAACCTACCTCACCAAGACAGTTAGATAGGGAACACAGAATGGGACAGTCATCTTGGAAGACTTGGTAGTTTCTTAAAAACTAAACATACTCTTCAACGTGATCCAGCATTCGTAGTCCTAAGAATTCACTCACATGACATGAAAACTATGTTCACTAAAAGCCGCAGGTAAGTGTTTACACTGTTACATTCATGATTGTCAAAAAGTGGAAGAACAAAGATGCTGTCCCCAGGTGAGTGAGTGAACTGTCCCTCTAGACACTGGACAGCACCCAGGCTCAGAAAGAAATCAGCTCTCAGCCACGGAAACGCACCGGAGGCCCTTAACATACAGTGGTAAGCCAACGACACCTCCATGCATAGGAAATTTCAACACAAGAAATTCTGGAAGAGGCAAAATTAGACAGCCAACCATCAGCGGTTGCCATACTGGAGGGAGAGGAAGCATGACTGGGTGATGCTAAACTGGGGCTTTGAAACTGAAACACAGAAATAATAAAATTCAAATGTGCAAATATTTTGATCTGACAACGCAACTTCCAGGAATCTACAAGGAAAGCAAGTGAGGACATGTGTGCATCAGGCTGTTTCCTGCAGCGGTGTTTGTCATGATAAACACCGGAGACAATTTTGTGACCCTCAATTAGAGCGTGTTTAAATGGACCATGTTTCTGTGCAGCAGCCTGGTTTCCCAGAGGTTTTATTCTTTCTGAATTTCTCTGCCATATGGGGCATTTTAGATCTTCGTGTTATTTTTGAAGTCCAGAACTTTTTGTCATTGAAGAGACCTCCTGAGGTCATACAAATATCCTCCTGTATGCTCTTCTGAGTTTCCTAAAGGTTTGCCTGTCTCATTGAAGCTTACTTAACCATGCATTTAAAAACACAAGTAAACTATTCCATTTTTCCAAAGAATATTTGAATGACGGTCTATTCACATCAAGGATATTTTTAAAGAGCCGAGCAGATACTGAAAATACTGCTGGCAACAAGACTGATGAGCGCTCAGGTGCACCGGACATTCTTGGGGTGACAGGCTTTGGCTCTTGCTTTGGCCCATCTCACTTAAGCTCTGAACAAGCCAAGTCCTGGGGGGGTCACTACAGGGGGGAGGGAGAGCCGCCCTGACAGGGGCCGGTTGTGCCACCACTCCGTGCGCCCAGCCGGGGTCTCTAGTTCTCTACTGCAGGAACACGGGGTGTCATCTAGCTGTAAAAAAGCCTTGATACTAAAGGCCAACGTTCCCGGGTGGGCTTGAACCACCAACCTCTCGGTGAGCAGCCAAACGCACTAACCGATTGCGCCACAGAGACCAACGTGCAGGCATCCTGGGCCGTCGCTGCTCCATTAAATCCCTTCCAGGCGCCGGCGCGCACTGGGCCGTGGGCTCTGACCCCCGCGCTGGGGCGGGGACCCTGCAGCTCGGCCCAGCCTGGCTCCCCCTCCGGGGCGCCAAGGGCGCGGGAAACGCTGGCGACGGCCCTGCACGCTTGGGTGTTGTGGCCAACACCGGGGTGCCAGGCCGCCGGGTGCCAGCCTCAGCCCCTCGGGTGCAGTCCCCCGCGTCCTGGACGCCCGCACGCGCTCGCGGTCACCCCCATATGGAGCGGAGCCGGCCGGCTGGCGCCCAGCACCACAAGCCTGTGCCCCTCGGGGTGGTCCGGTCCCCCCGAAGGCTCTCCATGTTTGCTCATCACGCAGCTCGTCGTGCAGACCAGGCCTGGCACCCAGTTGGCGCCTAATAATTGCTGGGTGCAGAGATGCTCTCCGCGGTCGGGGCCTGGGGGGGCAAAGAGGACGCGAGAGGACACCAAGAATTGCACCGTGGCCTTTGGCACTTGCTGATAGCCCCGTGGAACACTCCCCCCAGGGGCTCCGGCTGGACACGGCCAGCTCAGCCGGACTCTGACTTAAGGACCCGGCTGCCCCCAACGCCCCGACTTTCTCCCCAAGGCCCCCAGGCAGGCGGGCGCAGGTGAGGAGCGGGCCAGGAGAGAGGGACCCGCCACCGACTTCAGAGATGCCGGGAGGGAGCCGGACTTAGTGCCCCCCCCCACACCACAGATGACTTATTCAGTGCATGACCTTCGTGCTCCCAGAAGAGTGAAAGGAAATGTAGCCCCAAAAACCAAAATCAGGGCCTCCCTGGTGGCGCAGGAGGTTGAGCACAGCGCTGTGAAGCTGTCCGCAGCCTCTGCAGCGCGGGTTCTATCCCAGCCGGCGGGTGGCGGGGGGCGGTGGGATACCCACACGGCGCGGCAGACCTCTCCTGTCTCCCCGCTGCTCCCCTCAGCAGTGCATTTCAGTCAGCCTGCCTGTTCTGGTCCCTGCTCTGTCTCTGGTGAATCCTCTCACCCCCGCACCTCTGGCCTGTACCCCAGTTTTTGCATGCATGAATAAATACATCTTTAAAACAAAACAAAAAAGGCGGGATAAGCCATTTCAGGTTTTCTGGGTGCACGAGGTATGTCACTAGGCAGGAAAGTTCTCCAACAGCCTCTAAATTTTTCTGTGAATGGAAGGTCCCGCCCTCCTCCCCAGTGGGGGCGGGACGAGGGGGGCCCAGTGGGCGGGGCCGGGGCACTCGGAGCCGCTCGGTGCCGCTCGGCGGGCCGGGCCGGGGCCGCGCAGGGGCCGCGCGGCCTCTCCTCCTCTCCGGGCCAGGTGGGGAGCGGCGGGAGGGGCTTCCTAGCACCCCGAGCCTGCCGCGCCCGCCGCCCCCGCTCCCTGCCCGGCGCTGCAGTGGCCACCGGGAGAAAAGGCGGGTCCTGGGAACGCGGGGGGCGGGAGCGGGGCCGGCGGCTCCCGGCGCTCTCTCCTCCCGGCCCCGCCCGCCTCCTCAGCGCCGCCCGCTTTATTCAGGACCCCCCTCTCCCTCCCCTCCCCTCCCGCCCCCAAACTCCCGCAGCTGGTGCGCGTCCCGCGCCCCTCCGGATCCCACCCGACAGCCCCGCCCCTCCCACCCGACAGCCCCGCCCCCACCCGACAGCCCCGCCCCTCCGACATAGCCCCGCCCCTCCGATGTCGCCCCGCCCCTTCCCGCCCCATCCAGTGTCGCCCCGCCCCCGCCCAGCCCGCCCCCTCCGAGGTGGCCCCGCCCCTCCCACCCGACGGCCCCGCCCCTCCGACGTCGCCCCGCCCCTGACCGCCCCGCCCCCCGGCGTCGCCCCGCCCCTGACCGCCCGGCCGTCCTCGCGGCTCGCGGCTCCGCTCGGCGCGGGAGGCCCCCCCGTCGGCCAGCGGGGCGGGGCGTCCGGCGCCCCCCGCGCCTGGGCTCCCGAGACCCCGCCGAGCCCCGGGCGTCCCGCCGGCCCCGCCCCTCCCGCGGGCGCGCTCGCGGCGGACGAGTTGGGGGCGCGCCTCCCCTCCGCGGCCCGGCGAGGGGGAGCGGGGCGGCCGCAGGGTCCCCGCGGGGCGACGTCGGGGGCCGGCGCTGGCCGGAGCCGGCGGGGCTCGAGCCCCCCACGCCCGACGAGCCTCGACGGAGCGAAGCTGGGGGAAAGGTAGGCGCCCCCTCGGGCCCCGGCGGGATGGGGAAGCAGCCGCCTCGCGCTTTGGGGTTCAGAGCGTGGCTAGTCCCACAGGTGGGGCCTGGGGGGTCACTGCCGAGCGGGAGCCTAAGACCAGCGAGTCTTGGAGCCCCAGACCCCCGCGGCCGGCCCCTGGTTTTGAAACTTCGGTGGCCAGAGACTCGCCCCCCGCCCCCCCGCGCCGCCCCGAGTCCTGCGGGGGGCCCCGGGATGGAGGAGAAAGTCCCCCAGACCCAGAGCGCCCGTCACCACCCGCGGAGGAGCCGGCGGGCCCAGGGGCTGCTGGGGCCCCACCTCAAGCAAGTGGGGTGGCGAGAGAAGGCTCCCCCACGCCCCTTCACCCTGGAACTTACCGAGAACAGGCCCGCGCCTTTCTTATGTTGGGGGGAAAGGCTGAAAATAAGAAAAGGAAAACAGGTGCTTCGGGAGGGAGAGGAGCGCCTCTGCAGGAAGGGCGCCCCGAGTTCTGCGGAGACCCCAGGGGATAGGCCTGGCGCCCTCTGCTTCTCCTCTTGATGGACCCCAAAACCTTCCCCTCCTAAGGCTTGTCCGTGCCTGGGAGATGAGGTTTCATCACGAGTGTTAGTGATTCGTGATTGGACCCGTTTAAGAACGCGCAGGTCATGCCTGGGTCATGCCTGCACACGGGAGCACTGTCCCCACTCACGGGAGCACCGTCTCTGTGACGCTACACGGAGTTACTTCTGGCATGATTTTCATGCGGGTGAGAAAAGCAAGGTACAGAAGCGTGTACACAGCACACCCTCTTTTGTGCAAGGAAAAGGAGAAATTGATGTGTTTGTTTTGCAGAAGAGAGAGGCCCAAAAATGAGTGTTTTTTCTAGGCATGCATGGGAATGGAGGCTGAGATGGGAGAGGCCTAAGTGTATCTTAATGCAGTTTTTATTTTCCAAACCATGCTGTTTTATAGGCCAAAAAAGTGAAAACGCCCACCTTTTTAAGAAACGAAAGCAGAACAAATGAAACCTGTCCTATAACCTTTACGCATAATATATTTAATTGAAGTAAAACTTGAAGGATGTATCCTAAGGAAATCTTGAACTTAACCAGGTTGTTGGGGGTGGAACCGATTTGGTCATTCTGAAGCTGTTGTGTGTGAATTTTAAGATAGGAAAATAAATACTCTGATGTTGTCAGGAATCACGGTTATCAACTTGGGAGGACAAAATAGGAAAAACTGTGGAAGAACCTATGGTGCTGAATGGAAACTGCAGCTCCTCCTTATCAGCTCGTGGAGCCGAGCCTGGGGCCTAGAAGCAGTAAGCACATCTAGAATGCTTGATAGTGTTTTACCGAGGCTCTCTTGATGTTTCTTTTAGATGTCTCAATTTCTAATCTATCAGTTGTAGAAAGGGTATTGTGTAAGGAAAAAGCCAGCATCACTATATAAGACTGAAAGGCACTGAGTAATGCTGTGTTGTAACCAGCAAGCTCAACATGCCTAACATTGCCGTTTTTTTTTTTTTTTTAAGATTTATTTATTTATGTATACAAGAGCTGGGGTGCAGGCCAGAGGTGCAGGGGGTGAAAGGATTCACCAGAGACAGTGGGGAGCAGAACAGGCAGACTGACTGAAATCCACTGCTGCGGGGAACAGTGGGTGAGTCAGGAGAGGTCTGCTGTGCCATGTGGGTTGCTCCCTGGCCAACTGGGGATCGAATTCATGCTGCAGAGGCTGCGGATTGCTTCACAGTGCTGTGCTTAACCCCTTGCGCCACAAGAAAGCCCCAACATTGTTACTCTCTATAGAAATACACAAAAAAAATTGTAAATTTTGATCAGAAGATCTGGGCTCCAGCCTGGGCCTTGCAGGGCCTTGCTCTACCTCAGGTATGCTGCACATGTGCTGTTGGGTGAACAGTAACCACACAAGATGAGGGGGTAAGTGCAGGGAGAGACCATGATGTCTCAGGCCCTGGGCCAGGGGTCATTGTTGAGGCTGCAGGAGAAGGATGCTTGGAAGGTATGTTAACAAAAGACCCCAAGCCAAGTGGACCATAAAGAAATGCTTTTGAAAGCACAGGCCATGCAAGTTTGCATGTTGCAATATAGTTATAGGATCTGCACAAGATGAATGTGCAGCTGGGGATGAAAACATAGGTTGGATCCCAGTGAATCCAGCTAATAGCTAGGTGTGCAGTGTAGGAATGCTGACCATCAGATCACCAGGTTTGCATTCCTCCTGTTAATGTTGGTGAGGCTTTGAAAAGAGGGCAAGTGGCATATGGAATGACATCATTTGTGTCCCCTACACCTATGTCTTTATTCAAATGTGTCTATGTGACCATTTATATCCTTTAGATCCTAAGACTAATCTTGATAAATCATCTTCAAATGTCTAATGAGTAATCAATGAAGAATTCAAATATTATTGCTGTATAATACTTTTATTCAACAGTTTTATGGGGGGGAAAAACCCCCCCATTTTTGTGTTACATCACATAATTTTCAGACATGTCAGAGTCCAGTGACAAATCACATTTAGGAAAAGCTTGAACATCTATTCCTGTGTGCCATTCCACTGTGAAATGTTGAAAAGCAGCTCTGTATCTCAGCACTAGAGATTACAAAAAGCACCATTTAAATGCAGACTCACATATTTAAAACCTTTCAAACCAGAGTCTTATTCTCCATTTATGACAGAGCTGCCCGTATTCAAAATGCTTCAGTGTAGTAACAATCAACATTCTCCAATCTACCAAAATTCAAACAGGTGTCATATCTGGGGCCCAGTGTGGAGATTAGAACTAAACCACACCAGTGAGCTTGGCCTAACCTGAAGCCACCAATTGGGTGAGGAGCGTGTACTGCAGGCGGGAACAGAAAAGACTCTCCACCCACAGCCTAACGCTTAGGTTCGGTATTCCCTGACCATTTAAGCTGACTGCAAAATCCACAGCATGTTTAGTCTTTCACACCAGTTTTACTATAAAAGCACTGTGATGCACGCGGTAGTTCAACTCCAACTAATTTTGCAACTAAGAAAAAATTTAATTGTTAATGAGACTCATTCACTTCAAAGCACAGCTGAGAAAAGCATATCAATACAAACCCCAAACTAGAATCCTGGATGGAGTCCAAAGCTTAGAACTGGATTCTATAAGTAAGACTCTTGGGTTGCTCACTTTTCCTCCCTTCTTATAACATTAAAGCAGATTTGGCCTTTTTACTACTAAAGTTTGGGTTCACTGCAGAAAACAAAGCCCTTCAATCTCCAATTGCGAGTGGTGGACAAGGAGAGAGAAATGTGGAGGTTGAGTTGTGACAGACCCTAGGCCCCAACCCTCCAGGCTGTCTCTTCCATGCGTCACCAGAGTCAGCAGATTCTGGTAGAAAACAGCAAGAACTTAACTTGGCTTTAAGGATGAGTTAGAAAAATGTAGGAACAAACTGTGTATCTGTTAAGTGTGTGCCCCAAATAACTAGAACATGAGGATTTATAAATCTCTGACTAGAATACGTTTCCAGCACATACAAACTGCTGCATATCATCTGTAGTGAGGCCAAAATTTAAAAGCCCTATTTCCCCAACTAAAAGCAGGAACTTTTATTATTAGCATGTCTCATTCATTTAAACTCCAGACTAACATAAACCCAGCCTAAAGTAAAACACTTCTTTCCAAATTTAACTTCATTTTAGCAGCAACACTTTCCAAAGGCTTTATCTCTCAACTCGAGTAGAGATAGTTGGAGCGAAGTAAGTATCGGTTTATGGGACCCCCTCAGAAAGTTCTCTTGTCTCTACCAGGTAAGAAGCGCTGTTGAGGGCAGGTGTGTACTTCAGGGTGTTGCCTACGGTGGCTCAATTCCCCTTCAAGTCTAAGCTGAAAGCCAATAAGCTCGGAACCATGATGTGGAAGTTCTCCAAACCAGCAAGTAACTAACATTTGGTTTAGGTTGTGTTTGATTTGAGGTCCTGGTAAAGTCTCCTTGGTAAGTGTTGTTAAAGCAGAGACTAGAAGGAAGAGCAGAGAACAGGAAGAGGCCACGGGGATGTTTTCTACAGTGGAGTCTGAACAGTGAGATGCAGGGAAACCAGTATATGTTCGACTTAATTAAGAGATTAAAAATCTCAGTTTTGAGCTACTTAAGTCTTTATTTTCCTAGCATCACTCTTCAGTTCAGCCCTCCCCCCTCCACCCCTAAACCATGATGCAGTTGCTTAAGAGTCAGCCCTTATTTCACCAGCCCTGACTGTGAACCTTCCACAGGCCAAATGAAACAATTTATTCCCCAAAGTCTGCCAAACTCTCTCTTTACCCAATATGAAAGGGTGAGCGAGCCGTACACCGGATTACTTCCTCCTTCCCTCTCTACCTTCTAGAACTGTTTCTTGGGGAGAGACTGAGTGTGAGGAGGCTCCTCAGGGCCACAAGACGCACTGGCAGTGCAGAAAAGGGACAGTGTTGGAGCCGGCGCCCGCGTCCCCTTACCCATCCCCTTCTGGCTTCCGTTTCACATCTGGCTGAGAGGTGACCTCAAAACCTGGGGAAACTGACACTCTGCATGTTTCCAGATTAGAAAGATCTGAAGAACCCAAACCTACTGTCCTTGGAGCCAGACCCAATTCACAGAAGCCTCTGACCTGAGAGAAACTGAAAGGCTCTCTTCCTGCCCCACTCGACTGATACACCTGTGTGGAGTATAAGTTTTAATACGCAAATACACAGACAATGGCACTGCAATACTGCTGACAAGAAATATGAATACAATACAAAGAGTTTGAGTCCTGCTAAGTGGCCAACTTCCTTAACTGGTATTGGATAAAGACAAGAGTTGAGTGTAACTGAAGACAACGCAGATCCTGAGAGCTGGTTATATACAGTAGGGTTTGGCCTGGGTTTCGAGAACGGCCCACCATTCCAGACAGGGGCTGGGACCACGAAAGGTTCTCAACAAAAGCCTTTCATAGAAGGAGGTGGCCTTGAGTGGCTAAAGTAGTATTTACTCTTAGCAATTAGCTGCCAGAGCACTTAGGCATCTGCATTCCCAACCAGCGCCCCCATGCCCTGTCGCCTCACCCTGGGGTCTAGGCCTGCACACCCGGAGCCCACACTGTTGCCAGCTGTGCACGGGGAAGCCAGGAGGTAGCTAAACTGACCTGTGGGTGCCCTTTCAGTGTGGCAGGACTCATCTTAGCAGTCAGGGAGTCTCTCAAGCATCAAGTTTGGTCTCCTTCAGTGCTGAATGTTTGACTTGCATTTATCTGTAATGGAAGAGCCACAGATACTTGGAGAAAAATGTTTAACTGTGAACCCCAAGAGTGGTTTGAATAGTTGTTACTTTTCAGTCCAAATCTTTGACCCCACCTCATCATCAAACCCACTTTAACAGTAGAGGCAGAAGAACAAAATGATCTTGTTAGCATTTAGTGCAGGGAAGCTATACTTTTTGAGTTGGGAAAACCAGGGGTACCTTCTTGCTTGGCCTCATGGACCCCAAGCCGAGGGTCCTGTGAAGTGCACTGAAAGCGCCCAAGTGAATCTATGTCTAGATGAGCACAGGGTTGGCCGCATATATAGAAGGCTGTGGAGGGCCAGACTAGAGAAAACCGTGAGGTTCCCCTATGCTGTCTCTCAGGACCAATGAAAAGGCATTTTTTAACTAAAGAAAAATATAGGCACATAAAAATCTTCCAAGGATGGACGCTTTTCCTGGCTCCATCCCATCTTCAAAGCTGTCCACCCTGATCGCAAAGTCAGAAGGAAGGTGAGCAAGATGGGAGGACCCATGGCCAGTACAGCCGGCGCCATGGCCCCAAATTGAAACAAGAACAAAGATCATCTGCCTTTTGTGTAATGCATAATGCGGAGCCATGTTTTCTTTAGCGGAAGCTGAAACAAGTGGTAATAAAAAGTGGCCTGGGCCTGAGCCAGAAAGAGGAGTCTTTTTGGCAGCCCTGGGCTCTCAGGTCTCCCACGGCCTTTGAAAGGGGTCACTTACCCGGAGGTTTGTGTGAGAGAGCGGTCAAGTATGGGATCTGAAGGGTACCAAAGCAAGAATGTGAAGTGAGAGGGACTAGGGTTCTTGGGGGGCATCTGGTATGGTATAAAAAACAGAGACTGCCACATATTCTGGGGAAACAGCAAACCCATGCAGGAGAGCTGCCCCTGCAAGGAGGCAGCAGTGAGTGGGCAGCAGCCTGGCACCAGCCCGCCCCGGGGCAGCCACAGCAGCTACGTCAGACTCTCCTCCCAACCACGGTCCTGAGCGTGTGCTGCTTGCTCATCTGAGGGAGTGAAGTTTCCTATCGTGGTTCTTCCTGCACTCCCCAAACAGGTCCTGGTGAGTCCCCAAAGGCAGACGATACATCTAGCTAGGACACTTCCATTAACTTTCCTCTCATATGAATATATATATAGATATATATAATTTTTTCTTAAAATAAATTCCATGAACTCAAAGCTCTCATCTGCAATCAAATGTAAAAGCAGAGCATCCTACTCAGAGGCTCTGAAACACACGTATCAGCCTCAAAGCAAATCAGCGTCCAGTCTCAGGTAAGACTGGTCCAGTCCAGAAAGGCTAGGGAGAAGCTTCTCCTGAATCCCGGAGGCGGCAGGGTCCCCTCAGATGGGCTTATACAGCAGAGTAGTGACATACTTCTTCTTGTAGCGATGGGTTGCGCTAAGCACCATCACGCTGTCCTGCAAGGGAAAGAAACAGGCAGCTCACTGGCTAGTTCAGGTGTGGGCAGCTCTTCCCAACAGTCAGGCCGTCACAGTCGCTCACTTTTAAGAGGGTTGGTTTTGGTGTCAAATCTTTAGTCCAATCAATCCTGACTCCTACTGTTACTCTATTTGTGGCCTTGAGTAATCTACTTAATGTCTCTAAGTCTTTTTCACTTATCATTACACCCACCATTAAGGTGACTGTGATGATTACCTGAGAATTTCTGGCACAGTACTTAACACTCACGAGGTGCCTTACAAGGTAATCGCTCTCTCCCTCACATCAAATTCTAATACTGGACTTAAAACCAGCAAAGAAAAAAGAAGTCCTGGCATCCATTTCTAGAAGGAAGAGTAAATGCAATGACAGGAAAGAAAATGATCCTTTTGTAGAGCCATTTCCAGGCCCTGAAACAGGTCTAATTTCTGCTGAATACCAGGGATGAATGTAAAAAGTCCTCTGAACAAGAGGGGATTCAGGACTCCCCTTCTATCCTTCAACCAGGTGGATCCCAAACTCTACCCTGGAAAGACACTCAATCCAGTAGATCAATTTCAAACAGCCACAACTCTCTGAGAGAACCAGAAATGGTTCTGGTTGACTATGCCGAATCACAATAATCAAGACCTTGACCTGGGTCAGAACCAGTATGAACATCTCCCCTGTTAACAGACCATGGTGATCACAGGAGGAGTCGGCAGCCCCGAGGACATCCATTTCTAGCCAAGGAACAATTAGAGGGGGGGAAATGCCATCAAGTAAATCCAATTAAGAAACCAGTGCATCTTTCTACCTCCCCCATATTGTGTCACCCACAATGAATGCCTCTCGGGTTAACGTTCTGTGACCAGGGCATGCTGATCGTCGCCTAAATATGATAGAAGCAAGGCAGGTAAAAAATTCAGTTCCAGGGACGGTTTGGTAGAAATGGAGAGAGTGAGAGAAAGGCCTACTCGAAAGATCTGGCACGGTGGTTACGAGGGAGGAACATGGAGTGAGGACAGGAGGGCTGGATCTCAGCCCTCTCTCTGGTACTTACTGGCAATTGGACTTTCTCTGAGCCTTAGTTTCTTTATCTATAAAACAGGAGTTAAAAATAATACTTACCTCACACAGTTATTATAAAAAATTCAATCATATATATTTTAAAAGCACCACATAACCTGTTAAAGGCAACTGGATCGGTGACTTCCCTAATTCGGTTGCACATCTGAGAAATACAAGCAGCTGAAGAAAAATTATGGGGCCCTTCCTAGGTGTACTTACTCAGAATCCCTGGGGATGGAGCCTCTGACTCTATTTCCACAAGCTTGCCTACGTGATTCTGATGATGACCAGTCTAGTTTGGTAACGTCAAAGCTATAGAAAACTTTGTTCCAGTAGCCAAACCACAGCGGACAAGGCAGAATGGACATTTTCAATATGGACTCTAACACAGCAGAGAAACCAAGGACTGTAAGATTAGTTTGAGGGGACAGGACACATCTGGTCACATTTCTCCCTTACCTGCTATACAGGAGAGATGCAGCCGCTTGGATATAGAGGACCCAGGCATCTAAAAGTAGCTCCCATTCACTTTTTAAAAAGTGGCAGCCTGAATACCACATTCAAGTATTTTCCGAACTGGCAGCTAACCTTGCTGCTTCTGCAAATCCCACTGTTCTGAACTGAAAATGTAAGTAAGTAGGTGGTACAAAGGTTATAGCTACCCAAAAAAAAACCCAGGAAGCAAGAGAATCCTTTCAATCACAGGGCAATTCAGCTAGGCAGAACACAGCTATAGAGACAAAACAAAAATAACAAAATACCCACTGGTTAAAGAGTTCCTTATCTAACATGATCATTACTGCTCGCTTCAGTTTCAGGGAAGCAGCAGCCCAAAAGCAGCCACTGGGGAACACTTGTTACCCTGCCCTCCCATTTTGGGGAGCTCTGAGAGTGCTAGGCCCGCCACTTACCTTGATGGACAATGCATAGAGATGGTTCAGCATAACATGATTGGGCTCGGGGAGCAAGGCTGGGTCACACTAAGAGAAAAAAAAAAATCACTAAATGGGGTTAAATGCATAAACTTAAGTCAGTTTACCCTTCCTCGCTCTTTGGAACTCCAAGAAACCAGGACATGTCTTTTGAATAATGCATGCACCCTAGAAACTAGCCATTCATTCCCACTACAGAAAATTAGGAAAATTCTGAGTTCAGGGCAAACACCCTAAGCCTCAACATCTATTAAAATTTTCTATAAAAGAGCTGAGACAAAAAGCTTGCCCCCCCCCCAAAAAAAATAAAGGAGATCGTGTAACAAGCAAAACTAATCTTAGTGGGAATCAAGTCAGTTGACTAGGGATATAAATTTTATTGAAAAACCCCCTAATACTTCTTTGTATAATGACAAGTACTCCTCCTCTTGTGTGGTAATAAAGATCTAGCAATCCACAGCTCTGGGCCTGATTTCGTTAGGGCCAGGTGACAACTAATGAATTTTGATAATAGCACCTTCAAAAAGCCCAACTCAGTCCCCCCAAAAGAAATCTATAATATAATTGATATGTGTATGATTTATACTCAACACATTTTGGGAATAATCCCAGCCTCTCTGACTATTACACGTAGGCCCCAGTGGTCCCCAGATGCCCGGGGATACTCTGAGGATACTCACAGAAATATTGGTGTCCTTGTTAAGAATAACCTGGAGAAGGTGAGGAGGAAGGATGGGTGGGGATTTGAATCTCTCCTCAGATCGAAACACATACATTTCTTGCCCATATGGCCCTGGGGGAGAGCTGGAAAGGTCTGGAAGATATTTGCCCAAATATAAATTGAAGAATTAGTAAAAATGCGTGGAAAACACGTGCTCACTGGGAATCCAGTGTACAGCTCTTGACACAGCCACAGGCTTTCCTGTAAAGTAACAAAATGGCAGGAGAGTGGCTTAGCACATCATTCTTCCGGTGCTATAGTGAAGGCAAGTGTCCATAATGGGGGGTGGGGGGAACAAAAGAACACAGGTCTTTCCTCTACCAGTTTTTTTGTTTTGTTGAACCAAAAACTTACAAAATTTCAGTTAATATACTTATAAAAGGGGTCTTATTACCCCTTCTTTTCTGCAAGGACAGCCACCTTAGGCGCCTATAGAACTGCTGGACGGCACCTGAGCTAGCCACCTGGACAGTGAAGCAGAGACGGCCAAACAGAGCACATGTGGCTTCTGATGGGTGGCAGCACCCAAGGGTAATGAAAATGTGAAGTGTTACTGAAAGCAGTTTTGCAGACCACAGGCCCTAGCCGCCACTGCTCATGAGCGAAAACAAGATAAAATCAGAGTGTCCTATAGAGAGCAAAGGCAGACACTAATCTGTGTCTGTGTGTGCTAGGTTATGATGTTAAGCAAATGTCTTACTGTATGTAGATCCTGGTTAAAATGTTTAAAAACTAAATAACACTAGATTGAGATGTTCTTTTGTCTCAGAAACATCTACGTGATTCAGAAGACTCCTGAGAAGAAAATGAAAAAAAAAAAAAAGAAAAAGAAACCCAAAAAACTACCACTCTTGGGAAGGTATACATATTATAAGAAAAACACACCAAGAACGAACAAATACTACAAAATTACCTCGGCAGGATGTCTCCGAACTTTCCATAGAATCTAGCTTTAGAGCATCAAACACCTCAAAATCGGATTTCTTGACATGGATCAAGTTGTTAATTGTGCCAAGTTGACTGGTTACCACAGGCTGAAACAGTGAATGGAAAATATTCAGGAATCCCCATTTCAAATTGATCTCTTCCATCCAACTGTGCTCCTTCTACAAATAACCATACTTGGCAACTCCATCTTTTACCAAGAGAAATCCTCCCACGTGGGCGAGCGGGTGCCCACCAGTCCTGACGGCAATGATGTCTGACACCAGGGGGAACAGCCAGAGGGAGACTAAGTGCATGGTTCCCTCGGAGAACAAGGTCTTACCTCAGATGGGTCATGAACCCACTGTCCGTCCACAAAGAACTTGTACTGGTGCTCTCCCTCAGGGAGGTCCAGGATGGCGACAAAGTCATTATGGCTACAGAAGGAGATGGAAAGTTTAACAGGCCAAGTTCTCATCCAAAGACAGATGCAAATGTAAAAACCACGAGGCATTCTGAGTATCACACCCCTTATCTACCACAGGCCTATGTCACTGCCTCCCAGAAGGAAAAAATAACTTCTAAACCCAGTCTCCTTTTCTGTAGACCTTGAGCACATACTTGCTAGGCTTTCTCAATAACTTTAAGCCTTAGCTAATATCTGGGAAAGAATAAAAAAGATGTTAATCCCCAAGTGGTTCACCTGAACACAACTATTTTGCTTGGACAGGACAGACTTCTGGAAATGTAACAGCAGCAGGTAGGTTCAGATAAAGAAGCTCTTCGGGGTGCCCTTTCAATTCTGTGAGTATTATCTGGAAAATTACCTACATACAAAAGGGTCACCTGATCATCAGTTACCTAATTCATGCTGCTCTGCAATCAACAATTAACATTACTACCCAGACCCTCCCGGCTTCACTACGGAAGTCAGAGCAGCTGGACTCAGCAGCTACAGAAGACTGTTCAGAAGCAAAGGAAGAACTGTTGTTGACCTAATCCTAAAGAGATGTACTCACAGAGCGGGTGCACTAAGTCGCTCCGAGGCCATACTCTAAGTGGTAAAACATCTCTGACTCACAATGACGTTAAAAAAATCACAGATACAGTCATTGGTCACAGGAAATACTGTAGAGAGAGTCCTTAGCAAGTGGAGTAGTGCAGCTCGGTCTCTATTCTGAGAAAGGAAATTGGGTCTCTATTCCCAAACCCTGCAGATGCAACCAAGACACTTGTCTCACCTCTTAATCAGCGGAATCTTGGTGCTCCAATTGTTGAAGGACCCAGAGATGAAGACCTCCTTGCCTCCTTCAGACCAGCGGATAACAGTGGGTCGGGCCTGCTGTGCGGGCTTTACGGAGTCCTCCAGATCCTGCTGCCATGATACAAACTCTTTGTCCCCAGGGAGCTGTAAGAAGCATTAGGTCGTCCCTAAATTGTGACCCAGAAATTTTTGAAGGTCACTCTCCTGCCTAGGGCAAAGAGGAATAGGAGACTTCCTCTAAGGATTAGCAAGCCCTAAAATTAGCAACCAAATCAGCTATTAAACTATAGGAAAAAAATCATCTAGGACCAAAATGATCAAATGGCTTATGACCAAGGGCTGCCCATATTACAGCCTCACTTCCAGGTCTGCATCACCACTCACCCTTTCAGAGCCTCAGGATCTGCCTTAAGGGGAAAAAAAAGCTCATTCCCTGTTGCATAGTAACTCACAGTCAGGCAATTACGATATGCTTCCGAGTGCCTTTTAATGGAAAAAAGATGAAAACAAAGCATGGTGTGTAAAAAAATGTTGGCCATGTGTTTTTCACATGCAAATATGATCAATATCAGCTCTCATTGATCAGTTTTAAGGGAAGTTAGGTACTGGAATTCATAAGCAGTTGATAAGCTCTATCTTAGTTAATAGTTTGCAAAGAACATTCAAAATATATAAATCAGATCGTTGCTTTCTTAAAGTATGAGGTTATGGAATCTTACTTGCTCATACGTGCCAGCTTTATATTAATTATTTCTGGAGCAGGGATGAAATTCTGGATCCTCAAAGAGCATCAGATAAAAAGGTTTCCTTTAACAAAAATAATTCCATCAAATTAGGTCTGTAGGATTCTGAAAAAAAATTGACTCCTTAATTTCTTTTCATTATCATCCTCTAGCAGTTGGCAAACTCTAGTCAGTGAGCCAAATGCTTTATAAATAATGGCTAGCCAGTGGGCAGATGTTTTTATATAAAAAAAAAGTTTATTGGAAAACAGCCACACTCATTTATTTATGAATTATCTACAGCTGCTTTCCAGCTACAGTGACAGTAATGAGTGGTTGTAACAGAGACTCTTGTCTAAGAAGTCTAAAATATTTACTTTCTGGCCTTTCACAGAAAAAGTCTGCTGATTCCCTTTATATTTACTTAGATTGGCTTAACTGACTTTGGTAAAGAGGCAGATAAGTCTGTGCAGTATGTGTTTTTTCTAAAAGGACTACCTATTTATTGGGTTTTATGTTCAAAATAATTGAGACAGTCTACCTTCCAATGTCTCAATGTTTCTTAAAACTACACTATGAGAACTGAAAGGATTCATGTCATGTAAGGAAGCAGCGTAAGAGAAAACCTCGATCTCCATATTCTTACAGCAGTGCACTATTGCCTGCCTTGCTGCATTAGAATTACAGAAATTTTATATGTGCCTAAGAATAACCCTCAGATTCTGATTCACATAGGGCCTGGGAATCTATTTTTAAAAAGCTTCCCAGATAATAATACTGTGATTATGTTAAAGTAAACAAAGAAAAACATTCTCTTTAGATATTTACAGACAGAGTAATATTTGCTACATACAGGATTTGCTTCAAAAGAAAGGTAGGAGAGTGGACTGGGACATGGATGATAGAAAATTTGTTCACAATCTCACCACTGTTTAAACTGGGTGATGCACACACACACTCACATGAGTTCATCACACTGTTTTGGACCATATAAAACAGTGCAAGTTTTCCAGAAAATGTTTCAGCAAATCTCAGGTGATTCTAGTGTACAAATCGGATTGAGAACCACCGAACTAGTCTGCGGAAGCAGCAATCAAAGCAATGCAGGCCCTGCTACCATTGTTTTGCCTGTTACTTTATGATTTAGGATTTTTGGTTTAGAATTTGAAAGCTACAAACTATTAATATGCCCAGCTTTGGAAGAAAGCCCTTCCATGTATGACGTGGCATTTCTGTGCTAGGCATGAGTGCAGCCGACTAGCAGAAAGATTGTTTACTCCAAGTGAAATGGTCAGCAAAACCCTCGGGAAAAGGCAAAACAATTAGGACTGTAGTTAGAAAAAAATATTTAAGTACAGCACTGAGGGCAGAAAAGAAGGAGACTGAGAACTGTAACATTTTAGATTTGCAGGAGACCGTAGGAATGATCTGAAGCAATTTTATTTCACAAATGACAACATGAGGCAAGGGAATGATCCAAAATAGGCTCCATTTCAGGTAGAGTAACCTGGCTTTATTCAGGATGCTAACTACCAGAGTCACCACCTGACACATTCCCGGTACTTAAATCCCGAGTAATCAACACAGGAAAGGGACAAAATACGCGGAGGCAGTTCACCCCGAGAAAGCTCTGCAGAAGTAAAGCAGGATGGCTGGTGGGCGGTCACCCCAGACGACGAGGAATTCCCAAGTGTTTACCCTCTCGGTGCGGAGTCGAGACAATAAACAACCGACCAAACAGCATGTGCTGCCAACTGGGAGATCACTTCCAAGGGACGCGGGACAAGAAGCACACCCCGATCTTCTCCGTCCCCTGATTTTCTGTCTCACCCCAGCTGGCTCCCAGGCGGAGTTCGCGGGGTAACCCCGACAGCTCGCGGCGAGCAGACGCGGGGCCCGGCCGTCCGCCGCGTCCCGGCCTCGGGGCGCCCGTGCCCGGGAGCCGCACCCCGCACCCCGCGGCGCCGGAGCGCGGGGTGCGAGCCGAGCCGCCCGCCAAGGGCGTCCTTCGCGGGCCCCGGGGCCGGGTGAAGCGCCCGCGAGCGAGCGGGGCGAGAAGCCGCTCCCGGCGGCCGTCGGGACGGGGCCCGCGAGGAGCCGGCGCCGGGTCGCGACTCCGCCCCGCACCCGCCAAAGTGCTTCCCGGGGCTCCGCCCGGCGTGCCCCGGAGGGGCGCCCGCCCGGTGGGGGGCCCAGGGGTGGGGAGCGGGGGGGTCCATTGTGCTCCCAGTAAACGACAACCGGCGCCCGCCCCGTCCTGCGTTGAGGCGGCGCCGCAGGGGGCGGTGCAGCCCCCCCGCCCCCCGAAAAATCCCTTTAATCAAAGCCGTAGCCCGGACCGGCGAGAGGAGGGGAGCGGGGACGGGGCGTCCTGGCGCGGCGGGCGGCAGCTCGCGCGGGGGCCGGGGACCCTACCTTGGCGTCGGGCAGGCTGAAGACGCCGGGTCGTCCGTGCTCCCCACCATGATCTTGTGCTCCTTGCCGGGGCCGGCGCCGCCGGGGCCCTCGCCGCGGGCCGCCTTGTGGCGCTCCCCGGCCGCGCGCTCGCTGGTGGTGTTCCCCATGGCGGCCGCTCGGCGCGGGCCCTGCGGCGGGAAGCACGGGGCGGGGACACCGCGGCGCGTCAGGGGCGCCCCCGGCCCCGCCCCCGCGCCCGCAGACGCAGGCCGGGGAAGCCGGTCCCGGGGAAGCCCGCCCGGGCGCCCCAACCCCGCCCCGCCCCGCCCCGCCCGGGGGCGCCGCGGACCCGGGCGGCCGGCAGCGGGGGCGCCCGCCCTGGGGGGCTGCCCCGCACCCCGCGCCCGCGCCGGGGCGCCCCCGCCCCAGTCACCTGCCGCGACGCGCTCCCGCTCCCCCGGCCGGGCGCCGGGCTGCCCCGCGGACGAGCCGCCAAGGAAGCTGTTGAGATCGAGGCCGCGCCGGGGCGGCGAGCCCGGCCGCTCCTAAAATGGCCACGAGACCCGCGGCGCGGCCGCCCAGCGCGCCTTCCCTGCGGCCGCCCGCCCGCCCGCCGGCCGCTCTAGCCGCCGCGCTCGATGGTGGCGGCGCGCGGCGGGGCCGGGAGGGGGCGCCCGGCCCCAGGCAGCCGCGCCGGCGCCCCGCGACCCCCCAGTCAGCCCGGGGACCCCCAGTCGGCCCCGCGACTCCCCAGTCAGCCCCGCGGCCCCCAGTCAGCCCCGCGGCCCCCCAGTCAGCCCGGGGACCCCCAGTCGGCTCCGCGGCCCCCCAGTCAGCCCCGCGACTCCCCGGTCGGCTCCGCGGCTCCCCAGTCGGTCCCGAGGCCCCCGAGTCAGCCCCGGGGCCCCCCAGTCAGCCTCGCGGGCCGGGCCGCCGGGGTCGACGCAGCGGGGTGCGCCCGGCGAGGGCACGGTCCCCACCAACGCGCGGAGCAGCCCCCCCAGGCCTCAGGTTCGCCGGGACGCTTCGGGGAGGGGTCTCGTGAGGGCGCAGGGGGGCTGCTGCGGGCGCGGGGGCGCGACTGCCACGCCTCACGGTTGATGGGGACCTTGACCGCCCGCGGAGGGGCCCCCCGCTGCCGCCCCCCTCGTCCGCGCTGCTCCCCGCTGGGAAGTCGCCCTCTGGCCTGTGCTGGGGCGAGGGGTTACGCGAGGGTTTCCTGGGGGGAGACGGTCCGCTCTGCCCGCTGCGACTGTCGGGCGCTGCAGGTTCGGTTCCCGCGCCGGGGCTGGCTCAGCGTGCTTCAGCCTCGCCGTGTGCGCCCCTTTCAGCGGGGGCCTGTGTCCCCCTGAATACCTCCATGCTTGCTTTTGGGGACTGCCTTCCTCTGGCGCCTTAAAGGCCCTTTCTGGCACTACAGGAACGAAGGCATTGTCTTGTGTCATACAGCTGGGAAAACGGTGAAAATGTTAACGTAATTACAAAAGCACTATAATAAATCAGTGAACATTAGCGCCCGTGCATCAGTGAGTAGGGCTTCGCAGCTTAAGTTGTTTTAAGTTCCGTTTCCCACTCACATCTTACTTTTAGCTTGGCTTAGACGTTTGCTGATGATTTTTTGTGACCTTGCAGATTACAAATAGAATGGCAGAGTCAGTAGATTTAGAATTACACACTTTTTATTTAAAGAGGAAACTGGGGCACTTATTACTGATAATTAAGATAGTGTTATCAAGACTGTCAATTCAGTAGACGCCCATGCTAAGAGGAAAATTTATATGTTAAAAGAAGGAAATGAAAAAGAAGCAAGCAAGCTTCCATTTACTTTTGAACTAGAGTAATCTGTAGATTAGCAGATATTAGGTCCATTTTGAGAGATGATAACCCCCAGTATCTCAGGATTAGAGAAGGAAAAAAGGCCTAAGTAGTAATATCAATTCTTAGGTCTCAAATTCTCACAGGCCTTTTCATAAACAAACTAGGTTAAATGGTAGGCAGTTGTCCAAATAGTTATATCATTCGGGGAAACTTGTTCTTGTATTTCTGGCATTCTTACATGTATTTATATTGGCAAAGATCATTTTTAATGTTGTTCTTTCAGTTGGTCAAGTTTTTTTTTTTTAAGATTTATTTATTTATGCATATAAGAACTGGGGTGTAGGAGAGAGGTGGGGGGTTGAGAGGATTCACCAGACAGTGTGGGGAGTAGAACTGGCAGATATATTGAAATCCACTGCTGAGGGGAGCAGCGGGCGAGGCAGGAGAGGTCTGCTGTGCCATGTGGGTCAATCAGCTCCTTGGCCAGCCAGGGCTCAAACTCATGCTGCAGTGGCTGATGACAGCTTGATAGCGCTGCCTTTAACCCCTGTGCCACCAGGGAGGCCCAAATTTATCTTTTTGTTAAGTATTAGGCAGCAATCCTAATTGTAGCTGTTGCACAACAGCTATTTATGAACATGATCCTGGCTGGTACATTCAGTACCTTTCTTCATGAAATTCAGGGCGCCTGAAAGCTAACAGTTATCTTCTCTGTGAGATGAGACTAGAGTAGAATTACTACAAGTGAGAAGCAGAATCAGCAGCACCTCTGGAACATAAATCCAAGCCTCTGCTTTTCATTTCATTTGCTTTTTTTTTAGAACTATACTATGTGGCGTAAGAACTATTATTAAGAGAACGCCCCAATATTTAGTTAATATCAGTTCTAATGTAGTGCATAAATGACACTTCAAATATTTATTGTGTGGCCTTTATATTGGGGAGGGAGTGAAGGAGAGAGAAAAAAAGGGGCGACCAATCAAACCTTGCTTGTTGGCCACATTACAGCAGTTTCTGGCAACTTACTATATTTCCTACAGGAAGGTCTTATTGAACCTAGTATGGGAACTAAAATTAAAAAATGATAGGACAGCTAATTAAAAATCCTATTTTTTAATTAAATTGAATCTACTGGCAAAAATTAGATTATTAGAATGAGCCCAGAAAGCTGAAGACAGTTTCTTCATTGAGCAAAATAAAGACATGTTGCTTAAGGGGAAGAGAGTAAAAATGACTGGTCCCCAGATACATTAGTGAACAGCTGTGCATCTTCTCTTAGATACATACAGCTGGCATCAGACATGATTTATCTCTTGGAAAACATACATTTAGTTACAATTTTGAAAACAAAAGGGCTTCTAACATCTTATCAGCAGTTACATGGAGTCTCCCATCTCTCATCCAGAGAGATGTCACTTGTCCTCCCACAAGAATACTTGATAAACACATTTATGGAGCTCCAGTGATATGCTCAGAGCTCTGCTAGGGACCTACAGAGATATCTAAAAGAGTACCTGATCTGACAGTCCAGGGGTTAATGGATTACAGTCCAGGGAGGAAAGCCAAAAGTGATGGATCGTAAGAGGAAGGGAGGTTAAATCAATATGAATGAAAAGTAGAAATTTCATTATAAGGAAAAGAGGAAAGAAAATAAATGAGAAATAATTTCTGGGCAATATGAAGCTGAAAGTTGTTCGATCTTATCAGATTCTGTAGGCACTTAAAGATCCCGTGTCCTAAAGGAAATGGGCAGTGACAGTGGAACAGCTAAAAGTAGGCCAGAAGTATTGCAAAGAAAACAATAGCTATCATGAACCGGGCCATTGTTGTTATTGTGGGGTCACTGCGATCAATTGTTCTTGTCATCAGAGGTTTCCTTATCCGGCTCTCTGTGCTGAGGATGGCTTTTCGCGCTCCAGCCCACTTGCCAGGGCCTTGTAGACGGTAGTGGATTGGAGTGCAGGGTCCTACTAGTAACTCCAGGGCCAGTTTGGGGTCGGTGAAGGCCAAATGGAACAGATTGGGCTTGACACCGACCAGAAGAGCAAGTTCTTCCATGGTGTCTACGTAGTCTACCTGGATGGTGTGTCGTGGGCTCTCCACATACCTGAAGAAGGGAAGAGAGAAGTCACGGCCTGTCAACAGTTCAGTCGACCAATCAGTCAGTGCTTTTCTGAGTACCTGTTATTGGTTCAATATTGGGCTAGGAGCTCTGGAAAACAGAGAAGAAAAAGAAGACATCGTCTCTGTCCTTAAGGACCTTATAATCTACTGGAGGAGATAGGATAGATACAGATGAAGCAGAAACAATAAAAAAAATTTGGGTAAATTGAAACATAGAAGAAGGACAGTTAATATACAGCAGTAAGAAGTCTTGAAGGAGGAGCAAGATAAACTGAGAGCAGAGAGAAAAGTATTCCAGGGAGCAGGAATGAGTGTAGAAATGTGGACACACAGTATCTCTGGGCACTCCCAACAGTGTCAGAATCACATCATGAATCACCAGGCAAGACGGAGAGAGGCAAGGACAGCAGGCCAGACACAGAGGACTCTGATGTTACAGAGAGAGAGAATCCACCACAGAATTCTCAAGTTTGAGATCTTCAGTTATTTCGTGAGGTCAGTGGGGGCGGGATCCACAGGCAGGATTTCTCAGGCTGAGGTTAATCTAGACCCCTGAAGGCAGGTGGGGAGGTGACTTATGCCACACGCTTCCTCCAAGAAGAAATAGCCCTTATGAGAAGTGCAGATTTGAAGAGCTAAAAGGACATTTTTAGAGGGAAAATGTGGTAACAGTGACACTGTGTAGAAGTAGTGGGATTAAGTGCTAACTGGTGACTTTTTCTGTAATGAAAATGAAAGAACAGGGGGGCAGAAAGGAAGTAAGAGATACGCTAAGTCAGGTTCATCAAGATTAGATGGGCTTACTAGAGGAATCCAAAAACAAGAACAGGAAAAAAAAAAAAAGACAGAACATGAAATTTGAAGTAGACCTGATGGAATGCCAACTGATGGAATGCCAGAAATGAACAAATGGTCAAATACGAGGTTATTGAAAGGGGACAAACAGGAATTTTAGAAGAGAAGAAGACATAACAGGAAAGAATTTAAGAGTGTTCACTTTTGGAATTACGTCAGAAGGAAGGATTATGTTCAAAGTATTTATCCTGCGGTGGTGAATTGCGAGCTGTGTTGTTCACGAAGGTTTCACAAAAGAGATTCACGAATAAGTCTCAACTTGTAGGAAAGTTACGAGGATGAAATAAACCCATACCTCAAAAGCATTAGTGTATTCATAATAATGCGCCTCAGGAAAGGTTAAATTATATCCTTTAGTGCCCGAAACGCAAGGAAAGCGCAGTGGAGAAGGAAGAGGTATTCGGAAGTGCCGACCTCAGTTGTGAGAGGAAGGGGGAGTTGATGGATGGAGAGGACAGTGCATGGAACTCAGGAGGAAGAAAGGGGTGAGAATTTAAAGCATATAATGTGGACTATTGATTGCAAACCTTTGGCAGTCAGAGAGAGATGGAAAACAGAGCACCGAGGAAAGGCTCCATGAAAATTTTCCTCTCTGATGGGAGAGAGTTTGCTAGAATAATGAATTAGAGAAAACCTCCTCTTTGGGTCTGGAAGGATTGTGCCTCTGATTTTTCCACAAAACTCTAGAAATTTACCATCGACATCCATTATGTCAAAGTAAAAATCCCCTAGCAAGTAAGCTCAAGGTCTGCAATGGAAACTGCTGAATTACTGTGTTCCCCCACACACTCAGCAGCTGGCTGATGGTTCCACCTTCCCAAATCCCACAGAAGATTTACACCCGGAGTCACCATGACGTGTCACACGTTGGCAGCCTGCACCGGGAACTCGACCCACGGATCTGGATCTGGCAGTGTCTGTGCCTCTCACCCACTCACCATCACTCTTCTCTTGGCAGCAACCCTGGCACGCTAAGTAATCTTCCCCCAGACAGTTATACCTGGTTTTCTCGCCATGTGATTTTTTCCTACGTCACTTTTCTTTTAGGTCTCCAAGGTAGAATTTTAGACATTTTTCTTAAGCTCTTCTTTCCTTTTCCACCCATACTCGAACCACCCAGTGCTCTGTTGTCAGAAACTGTCATTTCCTTTTCATTCTAAGTATCTAGATTCTTAAACTAACACAAAGAAAATAAATATACGGTCCAATATTGCTCTTATTAAGAACTAGTTAAATAGAAAAACTAACCACCTATCTTCTGGGGAGAATATCTTACCTTTTTGCCATTTCTTCCTGAGCCTTGGCTGTTTCTCTTTCCATTTCACTTTGTGAGGGCAGTGTCTTTGTCCCTAGCGAGAAAAAATTTTAAGTGTGATATAGCCCCACAGGAACAATAACCCTATTAACAATCATGATGCTGTGGAGAATTCACAGAAATGCAGAATAATTTTCTGTGTTCCAGAAATTCACTTCATCATCTTATCCTACTACGGTGATAGAATGACATGTGGCTTGCTCCAGTCTACTCTCTTTGGAAGACCTCCTACTCTGCCTTCCAGCCAATACCTGCCTCCCTCCTAAGTAATCTTTCAATTAGGAAATGAAATCCAGATTGAGGAAAGGATACATGTCTCAAGAGTATATGGGAAACAAGGTACAAGGGAAAAGGGAGGTGTCTTAGGAAAACACACCTACCTACCTGTACATACCTACACTTGGAATAACACAGAGATTTGATACCACAGGGAGAGGGGAAGTGAGAATTGTGTCTGCGTCACATTTTATACCCAAAGTTCTATGGAAGATAAGTTTATTTGATGAGTTTGGGGTAAAGCCAAGGACAGATAAACACAGATAAACACACAAATATCTCCAGATAAACAGATAAACCCACAAACATCTCCAGCAGCAGGAATTTAACACCAAGGACGTGAGTAGACAAAGTAGAACAGCAGGTAAGTCAACATGAAGGACAGCAGGCTCACCACTCAGGTGCACCTCACGAGAATCTGAAACACAGAGTTGCAGGACGGGCTGTCTCTAAGACAGGCCTCTCTACGGCCATGCTAATCAAGCAGTTGTCTCATTCCTTCTTAACCACCTCACCGTTTAAGAACTCTCTGGATTACACTATGGGAATCACTTTACCTACTGAGGAGAAGATTTAATTGTTTGATGGCTCTAATTGCTGGAACATTATTCTTTTTGTTGACCCCAAAATCAATCTCCACGCCATTTGCACATTGGACTTAGCTGTACCTCTGGAGACTGGGAGTCTCTTCTTTGCAAGTGTCAGTCTTTGAAATGTTTGAAAACGGCTGTCCTGACTTCTTTAAGTCTTCCTGTAGCAACCCAAATAGTACCATTTCCCCAGAAACAGGTTTCACATTCTCTGCTATGCTGGTTGACTGGGGCCTCTCTCTTACAATATGAGATTCAGAAGTTCAGCAGTCAAGAACTCGCCCTCTGTGTTTTGCCATGTGTTTCTCATCTTAACCGTGGGGATGATTACTTATATCAGATATTGATTATTACTTAAGTCAAAGAGGTAAACCCTGAAATGTTTCATTTGAGAGTCACCACAGGTATCTTAAATGTTCATGAAACACATCTAGAGAGTTGAAAATTATTTCCTGTAGTAGAACCATAACTTTAACTTCTATTCGCCAGAAACATTATGGTATAGAATGTCTATTTCTTGCCAATTCTTTAAAAAATAAAAAGACAAAGTAAAATAAAACAAAAAAAACCTTTCAGATTGTAAGAACAAAGTGGTCGTTACCAAAAGGAAAGGGGAAAGAGATAAGGGGGTAAATCAGGTACAAGGGGTCAATTGTAGGGTGAAGGGTCGAAACTAGATTTTCAGTGGTGACAGTCAGGATGCTGCATCCTTGGAGCCAGTACAACGTTATGAACTAATCTTACCTCAATAAAAAAAAACCCCATGGATTAGGTAGGTAGGTAGATTGGTAGGTAGGTACGCAGATGGGTGGGCGGGTGGGGAGCTGGCTGGAGAGACAGAGATATGCAGACGGATATGCTCCTGTAGTACGATTCCTTCTTCAACCCTCAGCACTGTCCTTGCAGAGTTTCCTTTTCAGACACATTATTTTTAAAATTTCTTATCTCTCTCTTTCCTGTCTTGCTTCTCCTCTTATATTACCAATTTATATGAATGGCCACAGCGCCTGAGCAGTTCTTTCTTCACTTTCCTCTCCGACATATGTTCCATCACCAAATCCTTCCCAGTTCACTGATGAAATTTCACTGGAAGTTGTCTTCTCCTGTTCCTTCATCTTGGGTTAAAGCCTGTGTCGCGTCTTACTGGATTTTTGACTCAGGCTTTTAACTGACCTGCTTCCCACTTCACTCCCCTCTAACGCATCTGAATTACAAAGCTGACTTGACTCCCCCACTCCATTTGAAATCCTCCTTTGCTTTTCTGTCATGTACCTTGAGAACAGAGTAGACTTCTTGTGTGGCATCTGTAACCATCGCTAGCTTCATTTTTCTCAATTCCTATAACACTTTATCTTTTGGAATTCTGAACTATCTGCAGCTCCCAGAACTTGGCTTATTCTGTTATTTTTCTCTAACTACATAAATATCATTGATTGTTTCTCTGTTTGGGCCAAGATTTGCGAGCCCCCTCAGCGAGTGTGCTCTCACCCTTCCCTGGGTGGTGTAGCTGTGGGTGGGGCGGGTGGTGCAGCAGCCCCTTAGCTTAGCGTGGCTGCTGGGGCAGCTGTCTGGGGGTCAGTAGCATGTGCTGGACAGACGAGCAGATTAAATGTTGTGGTACAGCGAAGCACTGAAGTTCAGAGGTTTTCTGGGGTCCCAAAACACGGTGGGAAAGAGGTGAGCCTGACCGGAAACTCTGTGGAACTGGGGCCTTCCATCTGCTCTCAGGCATAAGCAGCTTGCATTAACATAGTCCTGCTCTTCACAATTCTCACCTGTCTCTGCACATTTCAGTATAAAGATGTTGTCAGAGAAGTTGCCATTCTCCTCTTTCAGTCCAGACAAGCCTTTCAACATGACTGAAAACTCAGCTACGAAGTGTCTGCTATAGAGTTTGGAACTTCATTTACCTCCGAAGCCCAGCTGGCATTCACTTGGGTAGACATTTACTAGATAGCACCTGTGAGCTAGAAACTGGTCTAGGCTTGGAATGCAGAGGTAAATAAACATGACTCTGTTGTTTACAGAGCTTTCAATATACTATTAAGGGAGAAGGAACTTTCTGTACAAATGTTGAAGGAAACGCCGAGGAAGGGCAGCGGAAGCAAAGGCACAGGGGACAGGAGGACCCGCTGCGACTATGCTCAGGGGTAAGTCGCTCAGGGCCTCTGGAAGATGCTGGAACTGGAGTAGAGACCAGTGAGGGTGGACCCGAAAGGCCAGGCTGTGTTCCGCTTGTGGAGGAACCTGAATGCCGTGCTAGGACACGAAGCCTTCCCGTGGTCCAGAGCAGTGCTAGAAGTTGAAGGAAAGAAAGCTGGTGAGCGGTAGCAAGGGCCTCGAGAGGCCTGCACACGAGGGAAAGAGAAAACTAGATTGCAGTCAGGGCAAGGAAGTGGGTTCGGTGTTTCACAAGAGGGTGGACTGTCATCTTGACAGGAGTAGAGTAATTCAAAAAAACAGAGGAAGAAGGAAAATGGGTCTTGGTCAGGACAGTCTGAGCCAGGGACAGGGACAGGCTGAGTTGGGCACGAAAAGGAGAAACCAGCTAAGGGTTTAAATTTGGCACAGTGAGGACAGAGCGCCAGGTGAGAGAGGAGAGAAGGCGAGGAGAGCTGTGGGCAGGACAGAACTCCGGGCTCTTGTTGGAAGTTTGATAAAGTTGCAGGGATTCTTTGAATGCCCCCCTCCTGCCAGGTGTTAGCAGGAAGCGGGAAAATTAGCAATGGCTTGGCCAGCCAAGGAAGCGGGGCGCTTTACACAGTTCCCCTGAAGCCTCCCAACCCCACAGCTTGTGCCCAGATTCTTCCAAATACTTTTCTTTCTTCCTCCCAACAGTTCACTTGGTCATAGAAAAGAGCCCTATTAGTGTAGCTAGACTAGCATGCTCTGGCCCATTTTAAGGCACCTTTCTCTTCTTTAATTGACCTAATTAAAAGATCCATTAATGTGACCAAAATTAAACCAATTGAATGGCTACTTGCCTTTGCTTGCAGGCCCAGTGACCTCAAGGAGCACGTGAGCTCCTTGGATAGAAGCTGGATACAACAGAAAGGATTTAAGAAATTTGGGGAAATTTGGAAAGGTTTTTGATGTACCAGTTCTTCACTAAGGGAGAAAGCTAACTCCTTTAAGAACTCTGAATAGCTTTAGTTACACATTAGTAATGATAGCAAATTTTAGTTTAAAAACCATAGGCCCCCAAAGTTTCATTGTTAGAAGGAATGCTAAAGGTCATCTGGGCTTTCCGTGTTCTGAGACTTTATTCTGTATTGTTCTGACCAGGTGACCATGCAGCCATTTTTTTACCTTTTTCCTATACTACTCAGACGCCCCATGATTTCAGACACACCCCCTTCCATCTTGAAATAGTCCCTGGCTGAGAGGAAAAGTGTTTGTTGCTTTGCTTGTTTTTAATGTTAGGCTTATTATCTCTTTTTTAAAAGATTGATTTATTTATACAAGAACTAGGGTACAGGCCAGAGGTGCAGGAGGGTGAGAGAATTCACCAGAGACAGGGCAGGGAGCAGAAGAGGCAGACGGACCGAAGTACACGGCTGAGGGGAGCTGCGGGTGAGACAGGAGAGGTCTGTCTTGCCATGTGGGAATCTCCCTGGCTGGCCCGGAATCGAACCGGCGCTGCAGAGGCTGTGGACAGCTTCACAGCACTGCGCTCAACCCACTGCGCCACTGGGGAGGCCTAGGCTTATTACTTACCTCCCTCAAAATTTCACTCCTGGTTCTGGTTCAACCCTTGGAGTGTGCCTATTTTTGGACAATTTCCCAGGAGATTCCAATATAAGTCCATGATTATAAATTACTACTTTATATTTACTCAAAATTAACTTTCAGTGCTAATTTTGTGCTAGCCCCTTTTACAATCATACATACACTCTCAGCTATATAAAAACATACACATAATTGAACACGGTAAGTAAAGCAAGTAGGCAGCTTGCATGGTCACTCACCTTTAAATACTTGAGTGACCCAGCGTCCTTGGAGCTCTGCGATGGGCATAATGGCACCCAAGGGCTGGACCAAGCCAATGATGGCGAGAGTTGGCTTTTCCAGGTTAGGAGGGAAGACCTTCTTATAGAGGGATATCTTGTTATTGACTACTTTGACAGACTCGTCAAGAAAAGGAAAGGCAAAGCTGTAGCCGGTAGCGAAGATGACAGCATCAATGTTATCCTCCTTGGAGCCGTCCTCGAATATGGCGCCCGTCTCCGTGAACTCTTTCACGTTTCCCTTCACCTTCACCAAACCAGAAATGATACGATTTGGCAGCTCATCATTTACTGTTGGATGCTGACCCAAAGGCCTGTGAATGGTGGTGAAGACCAAGAGAAGGAGAAAGGAGGAGGAGGAAGGAAGAACAGGAAGCAGGGAGAGAAAGGGGAAAAGAGAGGAATCAGCACCGTGTAAGACTCTCCTTCCCTGCAGGCAGCTAGGCAATATGCCGGTGTTCTCCCTCTTGGCCTAGCCGTGAGAGTTCGCGAAGGTCTAATTTATACACTTGCAAAGATCAGATCTCAGCAGAAGCTGGGCCCTGGACGTCCCTGAGAGGTGTGATGTCGGAGAGGTGAAGGAAGGGCCTTGTCTGAGGAGTGCATGAGCGGTTCCTCGAGGAAGGGTCATCACAGGGACACAATAAGCCACAGCCAGGAGTTCCTCGCCGCACATCAAGGAGCCTGGTAGAAGTGGACTGTCAGTATTCTCTTGAGTATCATTTCCAGGTCAAAGGCCCATCATTTTCCAAACTGAATCATAAATTGCACGGGTATTGTCATTTATACTTAGGAGCTGATTTTACGTGCATTAACTTACTTGACTCTCCAACCCAATGAAGACAGCAGGGCAGGTGCCATTTATTCAGGTTCTCGATAAAAGGCCTAGAGAAGTTAAATGGCTTGCCCGAGGTTACACAGCCCTAGGATTTTAGAATTTATAATAAAATAGTTTCCTATGAGCTCTTTTGGGATCCTCTTCAGTAATGCTGGGGTCCTGTTAAGTAGTGCTTCCTAAAGACCGTTTAAGGTAAGATTGCCAAAAAAAATAAGGCAGGGTTCCTAGCATCTTGGCACTTACTAAAAGGCGGTCTGAATCCCTGGACCCACGTTAACAGAGTCGGAGAATCCTTAGCCTGTCGTGGTCAGAGCTGACCGTGCCTCAGCAGCTGGTGGTACACGGCTGCCGCCGGCCTGTCGTGTCAGGCTGGTCATGACCTTACCCCTCAGATGCAGACTCTACTCTGCATTCTGACCTCACCACTTGCTCTTTCTCTCCACACTTACTGCTTTCACTGACATCACCCCCATCCACATTGTTGGCCAAGCCACAAAACTGCCAGTCTTAGATCTGCTCCCCAAGGCGTTTCCCATTCTCCTCCTCACATCCTCAGAATAGCTGCTTCTAGTCTCTCTCTCACCTGGATGATCACAGTTGTCCTTAGGGTCTCCTGTACTCTCTCCCTTCCCACAATCTTCCACGGGATTTTTGCATGGTCTTTCCTAAAGTGTATTTATTATGACATCACTCAGTTGCTTAAAATTCTGTCTCCCGCTTGCTTAAAATCTTTCAGTAGCTCTGAACTGTCTTTATTCCAGATGTTTTTCTTAGCAGAGCAGTGGTTTGCGTGTACCCGACTGATAAGTCTGCCTGTTCAGCCATCTCGCCATGTAGTCCAGCCAAGCCAGGCTCCTGCAGCCTAGAGCATAACGTTTGTTGCTATTCCAAGGCATTGTACTTATAATTAGAACGCCGCATTTGTTTATCTTCTGCTAGTCCATAAAACTTCATTTTGTAATCATCAAAGATAAGGATGCTATAGTTTCCACTAGGTGGGTGAAATGGCTGGGTAAAAGGTGGGGTTACTTCAGAGTAACCCCAAAGGAAAACAAACTGGAACAAGGGGACGCCAGGCTGACTGCACCTTATCCAGCGGATCCAGTTTAGCATCAGGGATGCAGGAGAAACTGATCTGAGGAGGGCCCTGTAAGACGGCACTGCGCAGCGTCTGAGTGTCCGTGCTGAGAATGCTTAACCTGAACCCCATAAAAAACCATGCAAGTCCAAACTTAGAGACTTTCTATAAAATACTTGACTAAGATTTTTAAAAAGAAAATGTCCACATCAAAAAAAAAAAAAAGAATTATTTAAGATGAGAGATTCAAGAGCTATGGCAACAAAGAATTCGTACTAATACAAATAGCAACACCGTGCCTTTCTGAGGACTTAATATAAGATCATGAGTTATGTGCATTATTTCATTCTTACAACAACTTTGTAGGCTGGTGATTTATGTCCATTTGCTGATGTGAAAACTGACACTTAGAGAAACTAATTTGTTCCACGTCACACAGGTAAAAATGGCATTCCTGAGGAATGGACCTGACCTTAAACACTCCTGCAAGAATAGACAATAGAATATGATAAAAAGAATATTTGGCTTACAAAGCACATACTCCTTCACAAAACCAGGGAGGTAGACTATGGAAGTATCTCTAGAGGCTGCTATTAAATACTTTTTTTCTTTTTAACTGTTACTGTTTTTAATGTGCAGATTTACTACAACATGGTAAGAACAATGAGCACCCATGTGTCCTTCATTTTTTTACTAATTACCATTAGGTATTAAATCTCTGTATTTTCTGACCCAGTATATGCTTGGCTCTAAAAGGCTACTCGGTGTTTGTTGAATGAATGAATGATGCACTCCTCTCTACTACCATGTTATTGTTAGACACCATGCAAAAAGAACTGGTGTCAGGGGGAATGATAAAATGGTTAATGCAGGCAGAATCATAGAGCAAGGATTATAGAGTTAGAGATCTTGGACTTCTGTGGGAGCAAGGTAGAAACCTGATTGCTGATTCTGTGAATTTTCTAAATGTACAGGTAGAGGTGAGTCTATCATTGGCCTAGGTGACAGTCCTTGTTCTGTACCTTGGTCATTCCTGCCACACTCCTGTCCTGGGGACTTACCTGTGTTTAGGCTTCAGGCCGAACATTGAGTGGTCAAACCTGTTGTTCAATCTTTTTTCCAAAATTGTATTTATCATTGATTCACTGAGAATCTTCTTTATAAAATATGTCAGTCGAGAAGACAGCAGCACATCCGAAGGATAGCCATGGGTGCCCACTCGATTCAGGATCCAGGACCCTCTCCTGGTGCTGAGGAAAACCTGGGGTGTGGGAGAAAGTTGTTCACTTTTGCCATCCTCTGGCTCATAACCCTTAAGAAACACCCCATTTTCTTCAAGATTAAGGTCAGACTCGGTAGTCTGGCTTTTTTAGTCCTTCTACAATCTTCTTGAAATTTTCCTTTTTATTTCCTACCATTTTCCTTCTTGGGTGCTAAACTTACCATTAAACTGATGTATTCACTGGCCATGAATATGACTTGCTGGGAGCTAGCGCTGCATTTCTGCATCGTGACATCCTGCCTCCCCGCACCCCCAGCCACTTAATTCTCAAGGTCTCTTCATTTTTAAGAACCAGCTCGAATCTGCCTCTTCCGCAGTGTCCCATTCACTGTTCTGGCTGCTCTCCACCCTCTGAACTTCTCTGCTGCTTATTCCCTGCCCAGCTCATTTAAAATGAAGGCCATGAAAACTGAAAGCAAGTTGATGTCATTCCATACAGTCTCAGTCTTTTGTTTTTTGGCCTTTGACATTGTATTGTTACAAAAACGTGTTGCTTAATATTTGTATTGGAAAATCTTTTACACTCTTATTTTCTGTCACTTCAGATGTGCTTTTTCTAGAGTAAGAAGTGTAACACATGCCTCCGATTTATCAAGAATCTGGTCTGGAAGCGACGGTGCTAGCTCCTTTACATTTTCTTTCATCCCCACAACAGTCTCTTCGGGTAGGAATCACTATTCCCACTTACGGATGAGAAGCCCAGCAAGCGGGATAATTGGCCTGAGGTGGTGCAGCTGGTAAGTGGCAGCACTGCCTTTCCAGGCCACTTCTGACCTACTCCAAAGACTGCTTAAGAAATGCCCCGTACATTATGTAATGGGGATCCTGAGGCTTGCTAGCGGGACACCAGGAAGCTGGTCATCTTTCTGTGGCCTCTGCTGGCTAAAGGCCATGTTCAGGGCTCACAAAGGTTTGATATTCAATTGCTCAGCAAAATCCAATCACCTGGGATGTGCTACTTTCTCTACATTATTACCAAACTCTCCAGAGAGGGTTTCCAGATGAGAACATTGCTTTATGGTCTTTGTTTAACTCTCTTGTGAAAAGGTGTTTGACTGCAGAGGGTGTCAGGTGCTTCACACGTGTGGTCTCACTGACGGTGACCTTGGGTGCTGTCCTAATAAAGCACTTTTACATATGAAGGCAAAAGAGCATTCATGCTCTTAAGAATCAAGCCATCATAGCAGGAATCTAGAAAACTTAAATAAGGGACCAGGAAAATGAATATAAGAAAGTGAAAATCAAAATCAACAAAAAACTATGAACCAGAGACACTTTTTGGGGGGTGGGGGGCGGGAGGGGAAGGATTGGGGTCAGAATGGGGCGTTTGCAATTGTATGGGGGAATATAAAAATAAAATTTATTATCTAAAAAAAAAAAAAAGAATCAAGCCATCTAGTGGGCCGATCCATGTAACTTTTGTTATACAAGCGGATGAGTAATGCAAACACTCAAAGCCTCAATTAAAAGGTTCTCTATGTATAAAATAATAACCTATCACAAGACTGTTGTGAGAACTGAGCTGTTTTGTGGAAGGTGTGCATATAGTAAGCCCTTGAGACATGCTTAATGGCTACATACTTCTTATGTCAGTTTTCCACCTAGAGCTTGTAAGCGAAGAGCATGTTTACAAATTTGGATTTGTAAGAAAAGCCGCTTTAGAGCAAATGTCCTTCTGTGTCACCTCACTGTGTGCATAGGCTGGGGAGCTGCTTGCAGTCGCTGCAGTGGTGGCACCTGCCTTACCGGTCCCCGGGCTGTCTTTGGCAGGGTTAGACTGCTCCTCTCTTCCACTTGGGGAGTGAAGAGAAAAATTCCCCACCACCCCGTGAGTGAACAGCTTTCGGTGACCCAGTGTGCTCTCCTCTACATGTATGCCCGACATGCCCGCTCCCCGGTGGGAGACCCCCGCTCAGAATGCTGTGTTCCAGTCAGCACCCTGGAAATTGCTCGGTCTTCAAAGCCAGAGCACATTCAGAAACAGCTGACTGGGATCTCTGATCATGAGCGAACCCTGGGTCTGCAGCCAACTGAGTCAGGAAATCTAACTGTAACCTGGGCATCATTATCATAAACTTGCCAAGCGCCGCGGGGATGAAAGGAAGCCCCGCGCTGGCAGCCGGCGCTGGTGGGCTATGCAGAGTCCCCCAGCACCTTCCCTGCTCAGGCAACGTAAATGGTGACTGGTTCCAACCTGCTTGGCCACGTGGCTGGTCTCCACCGCCAGATCCCCTCCAGAATTCCCAATGCCGATGACAATGACTCTCTTTCCAGTGAAGCTGTCTGGATTCTTGTAGTCCCGACTGTGGAGGTACTGTCCTTTGAACTTCTCAATACCTGCAAGAGAAGGGGGAGTCGTTGCCAAGGGATGGATTATCTAGTATCGTTTGTTAAACCTTTCATTTTTCTGCAGTGTGTAGAATCTATGCGCGTTTCTCCACATATTCTCACTCTCCGGCTGCTCTTTTCCCGCAGCCTCAGGGCAGAATCTTGTGATTTCCTCAGCCCAAGTAGTCTGCATAATGCAGGTTCTATTTGTCTTTTGGATTTGTAGACTCAGAATCTCTTCTGCCTCAGAAAACCTCTCTGCCCCTTTGTCTTTTCATCTCCGAACACCGACTCCCATTTCAGCGGAGTGTCTGTGTCTCCATGCACGCTGAACTCTGCACAGAGAGCTTTTTTTCCCAAAGTGAAAATCCAGGCCAAAGACTGTAATTAAATTCTTTCTTTAAGCTTTAATTTCTTCCTTAGAAACTCAATATTTCTGTTTGTTTCCTCGACTGCTGAAAAATATCCTCATTTACCCTCACGCGGATTAACGCCATCCTCACTCGACCTGGTGAGGATTAACACTTGGAAAACTGAAGTCATCGTGACACTGCATAGAGAGGCCTCTCGTTTCCCTCTGGTCTCCAAAATTGCCATTTTTCCTACCCCCAAATGGCAGTAACACAGTGACCCCAACGTCTTTCAGGGGAGCGTGGAGAACGAGGGTAAACCTTCCTTTGCCAAGGTGGGAATCACTCACCACCCTCCTCCCTCGGGGGTCAGGGCACGGGCGAGCGTCTGCCTTCTGGAGGCTACTCACCAGGGAAGCTGTGCAGGGGCAGGTAGGCGTTGGTGTGATGGCCACTGCAAACCATGACTCCGTCGAAGACAGAAGCCTCCTTCTTGCCTTCGGATTCTGTGACCACTTCCCACTGCCCTGAAGTGGAGAAGTCAGGCCGCTTCTTCACGCTGCACACAGTGGTCTGGACAGAGAAGGGAGGGTCACCGCGCCGTGACCCCTGCAGAGTTACGCCCGTGGCTGACACCACCCGGTGGGGCTCACGAAGGGATATTGGATTTGCACCCACAAATAAGAGCTTTCCTGTCCGGGCAGTGGCAGAGGGAGAACGCTTCTAGGCGGCAGGCGACTGAAGTCCAGTCGGCGCTGATGGCGCCCTCTCTTGGGCCAGAGAGAGCCGCTTACTCATTCCCTTGGACCTTGTCCCAGGGCCGCTGGGCACTTTAAAACGGCCTTCTCCTGTCGTCTGAGATACTCCAGGCACTAAAGCCTGTTCCTCCCTGGCCCTCGGACATCCGAGGACTTCCTGATGTCTTCCTACCCCCGGCCTGTCCGCACCGTCTAACCTTGAGCATGTGACTGAGCTGCAAAGTGGCCTTTTCTAGTAGAACAAGAAGCATCTCAGTGGCTCCTGTATGTGAACCTCTCGTGGCGCCCACACACGCCAGTGCGTATAAAGAGACTGTGAGACGGACGCTCAGGGTATCATTAAAGCTTTTCAAAAATATTAGTAAATTTGGGTTGCTCCACGTAGGTTCAGGAACGTTGAGCGAGTGTCCCCATGCGCTCCAGGGTCTGTTCCCGCACACCCTGCCAGCCTGCACCAGCCATCGCTCCTTCTAGCACGTTCTTGCTTTCTCCCAAGCTGGCGCCTATGCCCGGCCACCTTTCTCTTCCTTCTTCATCAGCAGATTCCTATTCACCCTTTAACATTCAGCTGGGATATCATCTCCTCTCAGGACACGCTGCTGCTCGAGCCGTATACCCTGAGGGCTAAGCATCTTCTCTGACTACAGTGTGTGGCTCTTTATGTTATTTATCACCCTGTAATTCTTTTTTTTCTCCATTAAATATATTTATCCTAATTTTTTTTTCATTTTTCTATCTCCTGAACTAGACTACGAAACCACTGTTTTATTTTGTTTTTCCTTTTTGTACCTTCACTGCTTAGTGTGGTACCAGACAAGTTAACTCTGTATATAGACAAGCAGCAAAGGGTTTTACTGGGCTATAAATGGCTTCCTTTGGGAGTTGCCACTGGATATTAGGTGACCCTTTATTATTTATCGTTAAACAGAAAAAGGTGTGATTTAGCAGAATGGTCAGAAGGTAGAAGATTTGCCAGATTTCAGAAATATTAAAAACAATGGAAAAATTGTGGAGTGCTTTACATCAAGAAGGAACCATTGATATGACAGAGTACATCGTGTTTTATAATCGCCTCGTTTTACAAACAAGAAAATTAAGATAAACCGAAGTTGAGGGATTTATGCCTGAAATCACAAAGCAGAACCCAAGTTTCTGTTCCCTAATTCAGTGTTCTTCCCTCGACACCAGAGTTTCCTGTTTCCTCAACCACTTCCCAGTACCCCAGGAGGCTGTGAGCACATGAAACAATGCACCAGGACGTACAAAAGGGCGAGCAGTAGCGAGCAAGCGTGAGGCCAGGTTTTAAAGTTCCCATAGCTGTCAATTCCACCCTATAACTGGGAAAACATTTCTCTCACTTGTTTTATTTGCAGTCAAACAGTCTAAAATGAAGGCAATGACAACACTGCAACTCAGAGCCCCCAGATAGCGAAGGTACAGGAAAGATAAAGCGTGGTGTCTCCGGATACATCCATGTGCGTGTCAAGCCAGTCTTTACATTGGAACCCTCAGTAAGTGAAACCATATTCTTCATTTATTTGATAAATAACTTCAAACACAAAGATACGCCCAAATTCCATACCTTAAAACGAATATACTTCAGAAGGTCAAATGCTTTGGCATACATCCTGAAATACTCCAGGACCTGGGAGTTGTGCATGAAGTTAGGAAAATGGTCTGGGATGGGATAGTCACTGAAGCACATCATCTCTTTAGAAGTGTTGATGACCACCGACCTGTAAATGCTGGCCCTTCCTTCTTCGGGCTTTTCCTACAGTAAGGAAGGAGCAGTCACAGCAACTTGAGAGTTAGCTTCATAGCTTAGAAGCAGCCAGTAAACATTTGAAAAAGTTTTTGAAAGAAGAGTCAAGTGAAATATGTTACACTCACTCACTCACACTCTGTCACACTCACACGCCTCCATCTCTCAGTATTTGTGTCCTCATGTAGTCCCTTCCTGTGCATCAGCAAGGCGGCTTAAACACACTGTGTAGCTCTGCATTTGTTTCTGTGGCTGTGAGGTATCTGAGAGGGAGAGATATGTCTTCTTGTTCTCTGTGTCTGGTCAGCACAGTCCCTGATGCATAGTGTATGTCCAGAGTGCTTTGAAATGAACTGAGTGAATGATGGAGAAAGAATTAGAAGACATTTAAAACTGTGTTTTTGAAACCTATTTAAGGACATTGTAAATAGCCTGTGTAACTTCCAGTAGAAAGGTAATATCGTAGAATTAAATTAACATTCTAATCAGAAACATAGTACTTTGTATGGCTGGGGCAGCCTGCCCTCTACACAGGCACCCTGGTTGACTGTCCTACCCAGGCACAGCTTTGAGAACAGTTGAGGAAGTTCACCCAAGAGAAGACAGACACCGGAGGGATGGAAAGCTGTATTAAGGGCAGAAGAAAAATGACCCTCCCTCTGTGGAAGGGGTGAGGACAGTGGATCTTCTGTTCCCTTGTCAGACTGTTGGAATCCCATGGAACAGAAGCTCCCTGAGGATGGTTGTTGTCAACCTGTCTACATTGGAAGCATGTGGGGAGCTCTAGAAAACACTAAAGCCTGGGCTGCCCCCTACCCCCACCAACTGTATCATGTTTTAATTGCTTTTTGTCTAATGTGTAGACAAAGTTGAGAACTGCTAGGGAGACACAGTGTGTTTGCCCCAGAAAGCCCAAGGCAGTGGGCTGGATGGCACTGACCTCAAATGTGCCTGTCAGCTAAACACCTGAGGGCAGTGGCAGGAGGGCATGCAATAACATTTCCACAGAATCTAACAGAGACACCGAGGTCCAGAAATGTTTAATCAGTGATTATTCACTTTGCTTTAAGTATGCAGTGTTACCCTTATTGTCACATAGAAAAACTGGGGGAAGAGCCATAAGGCAAAATGTGGCCGCGCTGGCTGCATATTAGAAATAGCTGGCGGAGACCTGTGCTGGCACCTGCTCTAGAGAATGGGTGCGATATTATCTCCTTAGGTGAGGAAACAGGTAGATATGAAACTAGAAGATGAAACTAGACTTTCCCGGACCACCTGTCGTCAGTATTTGTTATACATGCCCCAAGCGGTTCTTCAGTGTGTAGCCATATCTGCCAACCACCGTCCTATGTTCCCCTTATTTACGTGCCTTTGCTTCCCTTCAGTTATCTTTTTCTGTTTCTTTTTGCCATTTTTTTTCCCTGGGGGAAGGGAGTTATTAAATTTAACCTATTCATTTGAGGGTGTGTTACTTAATTTTTTATTTTAAATGAACACTTATTCATTAGCCACATTTTATGTTACAGTGTATCTAGTATTCTCTTTTTCACATTATACACACATTTTAGAACTTTACTATTCAAAATGTAGTTTTCAGATCAACAGCATTTCCACACCTGGGGACTTGTTAGAAATGTGTAACCTCTGAGTCAAAATGTCCATTTTAGCAAAATCTCCACTGATTCATGTGCACAATGAAGTTTGAAAACATTGCTTTGCTATGCTTTAAGGAATTCAAACATTAGATTATCTAAAGGATATTAAAAATCACTTGCCAGCATTAAATAATGATCAAATCCTCAGCATTCCATAAGAGACTGATCATTTTTAAGCTCTTCCATTCATATTGGAATATGAAATCACATGACATGTCTCACATTGGCGCTCACATCTGTAGTCAGTCTGATCTGACCTCAGTGAGGAGGCCATGGAGTATAATTAATATCTTGACAGTGTATATACAATTATGGAAAGTTTTCAGTGATAACAGGAAGGGGGCAAGTGGTAAATCCTACTACTGTTGGGCAGATGGAACAGAGGAAGCAGAGTAGAGACAGGAAAATACCAGTGATGGGGTCTGAGAAGAAAGCCCTACATGTGGAATTCCTGGGGTCTGTCACCAGAAAGTAAGCGGGAGTCCTCAGTTCCCGGGCTGCACACGCTGGCGGCAGTGCAGGGGCGCCTCAGCCTTGGGATGATCGCGTGCGCTTGAAACCGTCAGTGGATTTCATAAAATTGAGGGTCATAGGATGGGGAAGAACAGGACCCAGGTAACATGCTAGGAAGGGTGGGGAAGCAGGTCTGCCAAAGAGAAAATTCTTGAGGAAATGTCAATGTCAGTTAATGGATGTTGATGACCCCGGAGGTGCCACAACTGTGTAACGGTGAGTATGTGAAAATAAAGGTGTCCAGCTCTACCCGTATCCTACACAGCCACTCCAGACATTTTGTTTCACACGGATTCATTTACAAAACATGATTATATTTAGTACCTAATATGTGTCAGGCATCACACTGACCTCTCTAGATAAAAATGATGTATGTTTAAAATAGATGTGACATATAGTGGGATGTATGTAAAATATATGCAACCTACATATATGCAGCCACATCTGTAATACAGATGTGGTCTGTCTTAACAGAAGTTAGAGTTATGACGAAATACCGGCGATTTTCCAAGGAACAGCTTGTAAGATGTTGAAATTTTCCCCAAAGAAGAATTTTTTAAAAGCCCCAAAACAAAACAACCCTCCAAGTTAAGTCTTTAGCAAAGAACAAGTTTAAACCACTTTGTAGATAAAAGTCAGAAACCTGAAAAGCAAGTAGATGGCCCCAACTTCTTACCCTCAACTGGATTCATGCCTGTTCAGTAGTTGCCAAACCTGGCTAGAATGTTTACCAGAGGGGCCTCCCTGGTGGCACAAGGGGTTGTTGCAGCACTATGAAGCTGGCCTGCAGCATGAGTTCAAACACCCCCCCAACACCAGGGAGCTACCCACATGGTGCAGCAGACCTCTCCTGTGTCCCTGCTGTTCCCCTCAGCAGTGTATTTCAGTCGATCTGCCTGTTCTGCTCCCCGCTCTGTCTGGTGAGTCCTCTCACTCCCCTCCCTGCCACCTGCCATGAATAACTAACACACAGTCCGTACATCAGGCAGAGTAATTATCCACTTAGTTCCCACAGTAGCTCTAGGGAGTGGGTACATGATTATGCCCTTAAATGAAAAAACAGGTGGAGAGAGGTTTACCGATTTCCCCCATGGTCACATGACCAGTAGGTAAAGATACAGGCTGGATAATGGTTAAAAGATTAATTGATTAGAGGATTGCTGGAATCCAGACCCTCAATTTTATGAAATCCACTGAGCATTTCACAATGCACACGGGATCATCCCAAGGCCGAGGCTCCCCTGCACTGCCGCCAGCGCGTGCAGCCTGAGAACTCAGGGCTCCCACTTACTTTCTGGGGTCTTAAGCTCCGCACTAAGTCATGGCTGGATTTCAAAAGTAGAGTTTTCTACTGATTACTAAAAACTAGTTAGAAGCCTTTTCAGTTCCCGTCCAAGACAGATTATGACGAGCCCTGGGGGCCTGCTCTGACCTTATTCTAGATCTGAATAAGGACAATTGTTAAGTAGTTAGTCCCCCAAGACTCTGCCAAGATAAGAAAGAACTGTACTAAGGAAGGCTGTGAAGCCACTTCCAAGTGACTGACTGACACCGTGTCAGTTCTTGTGAAGTAGGAGACACTTATGGACGCCTTACTGCCTCTCAGCGGTTTTGAAAGGGAGTTGAAAAACAAACACCATGTCCTTTGGAGATGCCCTAGGGGGACGATCTCCTTTGATACTTAATAAATTTATCTTTTCAGGAGGCAATACCTTACCTGTTAGTGAGTTACAGGACTGTGCATATTAAAGCAACTTAAAAATGGAGTTTATTGAAAGGACAAGAAACCCACTGAGAGGTGCCCTCTGTCCTCTTTCTGAAGACAGGACTTTGAACTGTGGATTTGATTTCTCAAGTGGAGGAAAAATTCAAAGCAAAAGAGGCAGCCAAATTTTACAGTGTGTTCACTGGGATTATTAGAGAAATGGCTAATGCGAGCCAAACTTTAAAGAGAGAGAGAGAAGGAAAAGTAAGATCAGAGAAGACTGAAGGGGGATTTTTGAAAGAAGCTGTAAGCGGGTATTCTAGGTCCCTTAGCTGTTGACCAGAACAGGAGCAACCCCTGACGCTTCTGCCTGCTTGGAGGCTACCCTCTCGGGATAGCAGCAGAACTAACTGCCTAAATGAAAGCGCTCCTGGTACCTCTTCCTAGATGAGCTCAGTCTATGGGAAGGAAAAGCGAGGGCCGCTGCCCTGGGACAGGGCATGGCTGCGAAGAGCCTCAGGCTGGCAGCCCGCTGAATCACTGTCAAGCCCATCGCCTTCCCTGGCGCAGGTGAGCTGGCCCTCGTCTGGCCGCACAGAGTAGTAAGTATTCCAAGTATCAAGGAGCCAGCAGGTTTACCTGGAACCTCCAGAGCCCACCAATGTCATCCGACCTCTCGAAGCAGACGGGCTCCAGGCCCTCGTCCAGGCAGCACTTGATGGACGAGAGCCCGCTGGCTCCGCTCCCGACCACGGCCACTCGCTTCTTGGTCATGGTCGCCGCAGCCTGACCAGGCCCAGCAGAGCACCTGTCCTGGGAAGGGAGAGGGCGCGCATCAGTCGCGCGCCGGGGAGGGCGCTGGGCCGCGGGGAGCTGCACCTACCGGGCCTGGGGCGAGGGCAGCTGACCTGACGCGCTGGGGTGGGGTCCCCCCTGCCAGAGGATCCGGGGCTGCGAGCTGAGCTCCGCTGCGGGGTCCGCGTCCCAGCTGCAGCGCCGGGCGACCCTTCAGCTCGGTCGCGAAGCTGCGCGGCCCTTTATATTTTTGAAGGCGGCCATGGAGCCGCAGTGTGCAAAGAACCCGCACCAATGGGGTGGGGCTATTTCGCCCCACCTCCTTCAGACCAACACCCCACTTTCTCGGCGGCGCCCACTCCCTCCCCCAGTGGGAGTGAAACATGGATCGGATCTGATCGGGGAAAGAAAACAAATCCTACAAACTCTTTCAACGACAGCTGCCCGCACTTTCAACTACTTTCTCGGCGCCTGGGGGACCAGCAGCCTGACTCCGGCCTGCACCCTGCACCCGGCTTCCTGCGCTTTGCCTTAAAGTGACAAACCCCTGCCGGTGACAGGACTCCCCAGACGCCCCCGAAGCAAAGTCTGGATCCCAAAGCTTGCCTGGAGAGCACCTGCGCGGGGGGTATCTATTAAAACAGATCCTGGCCCCCCTCCTCACCCCTCAGCTCCAGCCCTGACCTCAGAGATTGGGTATTTGGGTATATGCTTCTGGCAGAATTTTACTGTAAAATACCCAGATACCCGTATTGACAGTGAACCGGGTGCCAGGGGTGCAGACAGGGATGGATCACGCTTCCTGCTTAGAGAAACTTGCGGTTTGGTGGAAGACACTAAAGCACAGATCATTTAAAAAAGATTTTTTAAATATACTTTCCATCACATGCTTGTAATTTAAAAACCTCAACTATCCACTTTTAAAATGTGACTTAAAATTTTCAAATATAAAGTCATGCAGCAAAAGCCAATGTCATAGACTTAGGATTTCACACTAGGCGTCAAATCTGGGCCCATCGGCTCGAGATTCTCTTTTGACATGTGTAAAATGAAGGTGGAAATGTAGGGTGTGGTCTGGGGCATCTGTCTGTCTTTACCAGCGCAACTCCTGGAATTAATTTTGCTCAGGATTCTTCAGTGCCAAAGATGACAGTCCTGGGACACAGCCTGGGAGGCTGTCTGCAGCCTCTGCAGCCTCTGCTGCACAAGATCGAGCCTCCCCACCCCCGCCCACTCCCTTCAGCAGTGTACTTTGGTCCCTCAGCCTGCTCTGCTCCCCACTCTGTCTCTGGTGAATCCTCTCACCCCCCACACCTCTGGCCCGTACCCCAGCTCTTGTGTGCATAAATAAATAAATCTTTTAAAAAACAAAACAGTGGGACTGCCCCTGTGTAGTCCTCTCAGCAACCCCAAGAGGCTGGTTCTCTCACCAACCCTATTTTGCATTTGGAAAATAGAGGCACAGAGAAGTTAAGCAACTTGACCACACAGGGACTAAATGGAAAGGCAGGAAATAAGCCAGGCAATCTGGCTTCAGGCCTGGGCTTCAAACCACTATATAGATTTCCCCGTTAGGTGATATTTTTACTTCCCGTTTCATCACAATTCTTCCTTCCATTTATTTCCCAATTCTATCCGCCCCTTTTTTTCTTTGCGTAACTGCTCTGTATATTTTGTACTTGAGTTGAACTGCTTTTTGCTGAGCTATAGCTGGCCTTGTTTAAACTACCTTAAAGGATGCTTAAAAGTAGGTCTTTGGTTTGGGGAATCATTGGGCTTCATCAGGAAGATTTCTGCTGAATATATGCTTTGACTTATATGAAAACAACAAGAAATCCATGAAACAGGCTAGTTCCCCTTTTGTTAGGCCTTCTTTGATTTCTCTCTCTGTTGCTTTATAATTTTCAGTGTAGAAATCTGCACATTTGATTTAGACCTAGGTATTTTTTTAAAAATCTCATTGTTAATGGCAGTATTTTTACATTTTCTTCTACTTATTTTTTGCAAGTGTAGGAAGTATATTTGATATTTTTGTATTGACTTTATATCACATGGCCTTGAAAATTTGCTTATTTTTTTAATAGTTTGTGGATTCCTTGTATATGCAATGTGTACGATCATGTTATTTAGAACTAAAGGTGGTTTTGCTATTTCCTTTTCAGTTTTTTCAATTTGTCTTTTTTCTCTCCTTACTGTATGGGAGTGGGACCTCAACAATGTCGTTACCACATTCTAATTCCTGGAGTTTCATTTGGTGAGATGTGGATACCTGGGTGAGGGCAAGGCTCTTTCCCAACTCAAGTTTTTTGGGTCTTCACAATACTCTGGATATTCAAAATTGTACAAAAATTATTTCATTTAATTTTCACATCATTATGGGGTAGCTATTATTATTTTCACTATAAATTAATTTGAATTATAGACCTTTTAGAAGCACTTTCTAATTTTTTGTTGTTGTTAATAAAAACATTTATTTTACATTTTAATAAAGAACCTGAAGTTTGCACTTTGGATTGACAATTATCCAGGAGTTTGCAGACCGTGTGTCCATCTCAACAGCGTGGTTCTGGGTGTTGGGGAGCCCCACAAACACATAGGAGCAGAGAGGGAGGAAGGGGACCAGCACGATTGTATTTCAATTCTTTCCTAAAAAAAAAACAACAGAGCTTTCTGAGACACTGAAAACCTGTGCAAAAGTAACTACTAAAGCAGACACTGTAGAGCCTCCCTGGTGGCATAGGGGGTAAGTCTTAGCATAGTGAGGCTATCCACAGCCACTGCAGCACAAGTTCAATCCCCAGCCAGGGAGCTGACCCACATGGTGCAGCAGACCTCCTGTCTCACCCGCTGCTCCCCTCAGCAGTGTATTTCAGTGGATCACCCTATTCTGCTCCCCACACTGTCTCTGGTGACACCACCACCATCACCAACCCTCCCCCCACCCAACACCTCTGGCCTATACCTCAGTTCTTGTATGCATAAATAAATTAATCTTAAAAAAATCCAGTATTTTAAATTTATAAAACACAAGTTTTTGTTATTTCTAAAGGTTACTTGCTGAGCTTTGTGTTCAGAAAAATCACAGAAAAGAGACTTCCAGTATACATTTGTTCTGGAACTGAGAAAAACTGGATATAGAAAAATTGAGTCTATAGAAAAATTGGATTTATGAAAATTACCAACAGAAGATCAAGACTTACATGGGACAAACTACACTGAGGAGGATTTATATAATATTTATGACTTTTTAAAAAAATGCTGGCTTTTAATATTTTGCTCTTTTATCTCTAGAAAGTTTGTCTTCAAACTAGGCTATAATCTATAAAATGACAATTTGCATATTTTTTGTGAGCAAACTGGAACATTTGCTTTTTTCTTTCTCATCTCAAAAAAAAAAAACAACTTGTAGGCAACATTTGTATTTCTAATGATATATCTATCTTTTCATGATCTCAATAGGGAATTTTATTTATTTCTCCTTAAGCTAGAAAATTGGAAACATTTTTGTTACAAGACTTTGATTGAAATTCTCTAGGAGTTGAATTTGAGCTGAGCCCAGAAAGCTGAGCTAAGAAGAGCCTGTCACCTTGCTTATAGGGTTCCAAAGAACTCCATGAAAGGTGAGGAAGGTTGCCTCACTTGGCAAGACTGGAAAAAGTCCTGGGAACCTTGAGAAGAACTCTCAGGTGAAGTTTGGTAAGTCTGTGGCTTTGATTCTGAAGTGTACATGGACAGGATGTTAAAAGCTCACTCTAGGCCTTAGGGAGTTTTCAACAAAGCCAACAACATTCTGCTTGGTTATTCTGCCCTATGGGTCAGATACGCACATATGCAAATATTCTTCCCTTTGTGCAAATATAACTAAGTTCAAAATGATTTGAATTTAGATTAGTGTACTATTGGGCAGAATAAGGATGAGGGTAGAGGAAAATTATGTCTCAGTAACTTTCTGTATTAGTCTCTGGTCCTCTTCAGTTCAGACTGTATCCTAAATGTCATCATCTTGAAAGGAAAAAGTTACCCCTACTATTTGGGTATATGCTGCATACTTAATTGCTGCCGCACTGCCACAGAGGCCTTAACATCACACCAGCAACTATGGTACCAGCAAGTGCAGACCTTCCATAATAGAAAACCCCAACTTTGACCTCCTTCAACAGGAAGTAGCCAGACGATAGGATGCCCTTTTCTATCACAGAAATGGAAGGTCATAACTGTACCCAGTAGTGGTTGTATAAATAAATAAATCTTTAAAAAATAAAAAATAAAGATTTATTTATTTATATAAGCACTGGGGTACAGGCCAGATGTGCGGGAGGGTGAGAGAATTCACCAGAGCCAGAGCGGGGAGCAGAGCAGGCAGAAGGACCGAAGTACACTGCTGAGGGGAGCAGCGGGCGGCAGGAGAGGTCTGCGTGCCATGTGGGACCCTCGCTGGCAGCCGGGGATCGAACCCGCACTGCAGAGGCTGAGAACGGCTTCATAGCGCGGCGCTCAACCCGCTGTGCCACCGGGGGAGGCCCAACCTTGTCTTCTTGAGAAGAAACATTTCTAGGATAATATGGAAAACACCAGGTATTAACAAAGCCACCTGAATCTCCCCAAAAACTTCCAGATGCCCACATCAAAAGGAGGAACTAACCTTTGCCCACCTCCCCTTTGACTCCTTTGTGTAAATACCCCTGCACTCTACCAAAGGGGAGGCTGGTGGCCTGTGGACTGAGGGTGGCTGCCCTCAGTTTGTCGACAAATTAAACTATTGGGTTGTTGGAGAAGTTATGACGCATTTTTTATGTTTTTCAAGCAAAAATGCATCTTGACTTTTCCGACAACCTGATACTTTCCTTCTCAAACTCTTGTTTCCTATTATTGGCTGGGGGGAAACAGACTGGCGTTCGGTACCATGACTGCAGATTCCCTGCAACCAGCTCAGGAAAAGAGGAGCCAGATTCTCACCTTAGAAATGGGGGTGTTTATAGTCCCCATATGGAAATGCATACATTGTGCAAAAATGAAAAATGATGTAAAAAATATATAAAATTAAATTTAAAAATAATTAAATAAATAACTTTTAAAAAGGCCAAAAAAAAAAGTGGAAGGAAATATAAAAATAAACATAAATAACAGTCTTAAAAAAAATAGAAAAGAAATGGGGGTGTGGAGGAACAGCTCTTCACAGGCAGGGGAAT